AAGAAAATTGAATGAATACGAAGCACTTTCTGTTGTGTGTAAAAATGAAATATCTGCCAAGAAAAATAGAAAATATTACCACAAGTAATATTTTTTTATTCGAAATTTGACGATATATTGATGCCATATCCGAATGACTAGGTTTTCTACATATACAAACTTTTCATTCGACGTTATTTAAATGTAATACAATTCGTAATAATAATAACTCCTATTTTGTTTTTGCAGAGAGGAAGACTTCGATGAAAACAACTACTAGCACTGAGCATTTTTTAAATTTGTAAAACAATAACACCTAAGCTTGGATCAAATTCAGCAGGAATGTCATTACTCCAATAAGATGTACAATAATTCATTCACAGAAACTCGCACAAAACGTATAGGTCGCGCTTTTATGAAACTTTGTGAAAAGCAAAAAATCTTCTCTTAATTCTGGCTGGACGTAAAATAAATTAAATTACACGAATGTGGATCAGTAAATAAATATACAGTGTCAAGTTTGGCTTAAAAACCAACTAAATCATTTTGTTAAAGAAGAGAGAAGAGTTTTTGATTTAAAAATAACGTTCGATATCAGTATTGTAATATAAAAATTAGTACAAAATCAATTTTGAACATTTTGTCATAAGAATTTTCTTCTTATAGCACTGTATTTAATCTGAATCAAATATGATATATAGAAACATTATTTGTAAATAATATATTGTTATATGAATCAATTGCCCAATAAAAAAATATGAAAAATAGTGTTTTATTACAGTTATGTTTTTTGAAGAACGCAAGTTTCATAGAAAAAATGCAACATTTTCTCGAAATTCATTGTTGAATGAAATGAAGTACATAAATAGAACAAAGTAACTAGATACTTTACTACAAATTTAAATAAATAATTCATAATATTTTTAGAACCCTATAATTTTGCAAACTAAAATAAAGAAATGAGCATATTAACAATGATAAATATTAGAAAAAATAAGTTTAACAAAACTTGTTAGTTTTAATTTGAAGCGAAATGATACCAATAATATCAGAGCAAAGCAATCGTGCTCTTTAAAGTAATCAATATTCATGATGTCTGCGGCAAAACCCATAAATTTTGTTAACGTCAAAATGTTGATGAATTAGAAATATGTCCGAAAGGTATGCGTGCGTCCTTAAAGCGAATAACGCTTTTTCTTTAAATGCCATTATTTGCACTAAGATCCATTTAAGATAAGGTAACATATAAACGACGGAATGTAAATATCGTAATTTCTGCAAATACGAAAGAAGTTGGACGCCTGCGTCGCGACCGTCCGGCACAAACTCAGTGTAATAGTCGATTCACCCTACATCCGACAGTCTAACAACGTAAGTAATAAGCAACCCTTAAAATGTAGTTTTAGAACACCAATAATTTAAATAAGTGCCTTTCACGTGTGTGTTTTTACCATCCGATACAATGGCTCGAAGAAACAAATGTAAGCCTCGTATGATACCTCAGCAAGACAAGAGAATATGCGGCTGTATCTGCTTTTGCCAACTTGTAGTAGTATTTAGTTGCGTATCGCTTATTTATCTAACAGTGGCTATTTACATTCCATCCTACAGAGCATTTCGTAGTGGGTACGAAACACGTCCGGTAATGTGCCAAACAATTAACATCAGTACAGAAAACAACTGTAGCTGGGCTTCTTGCGGTGAGTGGTGTTTGACGAAAACATCTGGATTTTGCCCGCAGATACATTCTACTACTAGACAGAACGGTACGACAGTCCAATTTCTGAACTGTACCAACTTTCACGCTTCCATTTGTCCACCAGTTAATTCAGACCAATTAAAAAAGCATAATTGCAACAATGGCACAGAATGTGCATCCCTCAAGGGGGTCTTTAACTGTTCTTTAGGCCATTGCTCTAATATGTCCCAACTATACGAATGCCACTACAAAGCAGACGGATTTACAGTCGACAGCGACAGAGATAACGCGAAATTAAACGGATTTTTCGAGTGCAGAGGAGCTAAGTGCACTAAAATAAAAAAAGCGTTTTCCTGCGATCGCATCTGCAAAGAAAACATCAATTCTGACACAAGCAATGTTTACATTTCTAAAGGAGATAGCATCAATTTTGCCCATTGCGATTCCGCCGTAGCTACTACAAAAGCTAATGGCCAAGAAGAAGGCGTTAAAATACAACCTACACAATTCTGGACAAAAATGCCCAACGAAGCCTTCATGGTTTCATGTCACACTGTGGATTTCGATGAAGCCACCCAATCGATACAGTAAGTTTATTTCCAGTTTTCATTTGTGTAACGATGCGATGTTCCTATATTTAGATATCTTCTAAATAAATTATTAACCTTGAATCAACAAAAATAAGCATCATATGATTCAATGTAATAAAAAATGTATCTTCACTACCACTATTTTTTCTTCTTTATTTCGATTTCAAATACTTTATATTTTTTAAACTTCTCATATTGTTATACAACATTTTTGTATTATCTATCGCATTATTCCAAACTTTAATGGATCTACTTTTATCTATTCTAACTATTTTTTTTCTTGTAAATATTTTTAAATTAATTTATTAATAACATTTTAGCGCCACCGACTGTATCAATGGAAGCATCTTCGAAATATCATCTCTGCCCAAACCGTTCATTACATTCAAGGAATTCTGGAATCTAACGGGCAAACACAGAAATATAATAGACCCGAAGAATGAATTCGTACCCTTTCAAGAATACTTAACAATTTACAATGCTTCCCGGCTATACATCAACCTAGATGGATGCGTGAACACTCTGAAGGGCGAATGCTCGGACTTCCTTCAAACCCATGGCAAAGACGGGAGAAATCAGACAGCGCCATCACGATACCCATGCTTCTACAACAAGGTGAGTACTCATCTTGTACGTACATTTATCTTAGTGAAATCGTATTTATTCCAGAATAACTCGTTTATGGTGGTGGCCCGTTACGACCTGGAGAAAACCTGGAGAGATTTGCTGATAGCCATCAGCATTCCATCGGTTCTATTCGTGGTATCGTTCGTTACGCTTTGCGCTATAATGCAGTCGGTGAGAGTGGATGACGACACGAAAATGCGCTGCAAGTACTGCTTCGGTACGTACACATCGGACATGACTGAAATGATAAACAGCAAATACGAAGTTTCCTCGCCGGAATCGGATGGCCCTTTCAATAGAAGAGCGAACAATCAAGAAGAACTGAGTTAACAAACTTCGTTCATACAATAATACTTTTAAAATGTTGATAACAAGCAACTACGCTTATCTGGAATGTGAGCAAAAAATTCGATTATTTTGATGGGATCCATAGTTTCTTGGGAGTATATGATTTGCATTTTTGATTTTAGAGATCTACCCAGATATTTTAGTTGTTGCGATAGAAAAATTTGAACCAAACTATTAAATATTTGAATTTGTAATTCTTGTTAATTAGACAAGGAATACATTCCGGAGAAATTAAAGAATAATCCGATTTTCAATTGCTTACATTCTGTGACCCTTAGATGTAAAAAATGAGCAACAAATACACTTTATACTATACACCAATTGTAGTATAAATACAATTTATATAAATATTATACTGAGTGAAAGCCCTTTTTATTCACTTAGTCTTTTGAATATTATGAAAGAAATTTTAGGTGTTCTATACATATGGCAAACATAAATATACAATGATTAAAGTGATATAACAACAATATTATATTAAACTAATTTTTGAACACCATGTAGAGTGTCTAAATTTTAAGCATCGAATTATGTATATTCCAATTTATTACAGGAATGCCCAATTAAAATGTTTCTTTTGTTACTTAGATTAAATGAATAATTTTACAATGGGCTTCCTTTAGAAGATGTCTTGTTTTACATATTTTTCACTTATTTATTAAAAATGAATAGGTATATATTTTTTTATAATTAAAAAATTATATTTTAATGTTTTCTACTTACGTATAATTTAAACAACACTCTGCATTATTACATTGAAAAAAAGCAATTTTGATCAGGAAAAACCAATTAAATATCCCCAAAATATCATTAAAACAAATATTGAATTTGTTAACGGGCGAATTCGTTAAAAATAACCAGTTCCGGAAAATGTTTGGCAGAAAATATTGTAATAAACGAGCTTAACTTGATGGGTTATAATCTGGGGACCAAAAAAAATTAAACCACATTTGATATTTTGAACGATTTAATTGGATTTTCTAAATTTCCCGATAGGACAGAGAACTCAGACCTCAAAGAATTCTAAAATAGTGGAATAGATACAAACACCCCTTCTATTTTTATGAACTATGTCACTGACTCAGATGTTATCTAATATTTTTGAGATGTTGTTATAGAATAAAATCTATAGGTACATCGCAGATTCTAAAATACAAATTCTAAATCGTGTTTAAATGTGATGATAATGTTAAACCCTGCATGAAACCCTAACAATGTGACTTCTGTGCAATGAAATATTATGTACCCTTATAAATGTTTACTCTAGAAAGATAATCGTTAAAAATACTAACTGAAATATGTGTGGTTTTCTTTCTCTTCTTGTCGTCTATCTAACTTTAATCTTACAGATTATTTTATGAAATGTTATTGTTTAAAATTAAACAAAGTTCTTACTGCCTTGAAACAATATTAAGACTAAGATTCAAAATTCATACAATAAGAGTTATAATAGAGAATTTCAGAGTCTATCGAATTATTGTTTTTCAATGAAAGCTTTCATATGTATATTATATTTTTTAAAAATAAGTAAAGAAATGCATGTTGATCTAACAGAAAGAGATAAGAGAGAGGAACATTTATTTATTTTGTTTCAATTTTGATTATATTATATACGAATTTATTTTTGATGTAATCCAATAGAAAAAAAAACAGTTGTAATGTGCCTTTGTGGGTATTTATATGATTAGCCTATATATTTTGTTACGTCATAGAAAATATTAGTAAAAATCATTTATATTGATAAAACTTTGTAAATTGGTCTAACTTTGACTGAATTCTAAATACAAAAAATGTAGTAGAAAATTCGTCAAAAATATGAATATTTTAGTATCTTAAAATTTGCTCAGATATTTTGTATGCTTTTCTATTATGAGTAAAATATATTAGGGGTTTTAACTACCCAATATGAAACTATAATTGTATATATTCTTATATGTATATCTAAAAGTCAATGATTAAATTCGGACCATACAAAGAATTTAAACGGTCTTAAATTGTATACGCTCAAATTATTTTATAATTAATTTTATTTTGTTAGATTTTAATTTGATAGATATAACTAGTTCTTAGCTTATTTTGTTCATGTTCATTTGTAGTAAATTGTTATCCCTTATTTAAGTTTCTGTATAATAAATTGCGCACTATTGTTTTCTTATAATTAAGATGATTTCTCACATTATTCGGGATAACTTTTTATAGAGCAAAATTGAACATAACACTAATTTCTAGTCATAGAAATAATAAAAACCAAATGACCGGAACGAAAACTTGAAATGACTAAATCAAATATGTATTTCATTTACCTACAAGTTTTGTAAAACTAAACTATTTTTTAGTTCTTATATTGCTATCCAAAAACTTATTTCTCTAACTATTATACTCCAAACCTAAATGTTGTTAGCAAATAAATGTGTATCTGTTAATATGTATAACTGTGCTAAACTGTTTAAATCTACTTTTTCTCAGAAATATATATTTGGGTTACATACCTTAAGCTTGCGATCTAAATACCGATGCCAATGGGCCCTCTTCCTTGGTGCTCATTTATCTCAAATACCAAATCATTGGAACGTGCTCGTATTCTGCCATTTGTGATGACCTGGATGAAACGGTTATTTAGAAAACGCAGTTATTATCCATAATTTCAATGTTATCAAAGATTCAGTAAAATTCTGTACTTAAATTTGCTATATTTTTTACTGGTAGAATATACTATCTGCTAGCTGTTAATGTTAAATGTATCTTAAATATATGTATACAAAACACAGTACAGGGTGACACACGTTTAAAATATTATATAGTAATGAATTAATGGATTAGTATCCAAATGATTTAGACAATAGAAGTTCATTTCTGCCATCTAAAAATACATGTTTCACAAACATAGCCAGTGTTAGAATAACAAGGCAATTTTATTTTATATTTATTTTATTAATTATTCAGGTAATTTAGTTACATTATACATGAAATATATGGACTGTTGTTATGTGTTTTATCATCCCTGTATGCAATCGATGTAAAATGTTGGTGTTAAATAAATCTTAGACAAGCATTTTGTGTATTAATATTTAACATACAAGGTGATGAATTCACAAGAGTTACAAGCAAAAAATGCTAAAGACATAGACATATATAGAATATATAATAATACACCTCCCCTTCAATTCCCAAACATCTTAATAGTTAGGTTGTTAAATACAACAAATAGAGTTTGGATCCACATATAATTACTTTATATATAATGTAAATATATAATATCAATAAACTAAAACTAGCAATTACAAAATATTGCATTATACAACTTAATAATTATTCGTTAGATCTACTATTTACACCCAATTCCTCCAAGAAATCTGGATAGATTTCAAATGTTTGTCATTGGCTACTACTAGCTTCATACTGATTACCAGGATCAAACTGAACAAAATAATAAGCTGGATGTCATTCCATTCCTTGCTTTTGCAATTGAATCAGCCCATAACGTTCCTGTTCTTTCTCATATTGCTCCTGAAGTAAACTGTCCAGACTATCCTGAAATCTCTGTCTTAACGCCAAATTTTCTATGTTCTCGATTTTATTTTCTTGTTGCTGTCTTTTGGCTTTCAAATCCGCAATTTCGGCATCCAGTTCATCCACCCTGGCTTGTATACCTACTGGTATAAAATATGTACTAATAGGAAACAATAATAAATTGTAAACATTTACCTTTTTGGTCGGAACCTCTGAAATCCGAAAAAGACATGCTAGAAGTAGATTGTTGATAGTAATCTATTTCTTGCATAAGATTTGGAGATTGCGGGATATCTCTAAACATTTCACTGGTAAACTCAGTGAGTAATTTTGAATCGGCAGAGTTGTTCTGAAAATTTACAAATTGGATAACATGTTTTAATATTGTCGATTTAAATTACCAAAACAGAATTAGAATCTGTAAGGTGACTGTCTTCGCCGGAATTTTGACTGTTCTCGTCTAGAACATCTAAAACATTGAGGTGTGCGTCTTCATCTTCTGAATCACTAACAGCACCACCAAATATATCGTGCTCGGCCACGTTTTTAATTGGTTCTGTAGTGTCCTTTTTAACAACAGTTCCTTTGTTCAATCTATTTTCATCTTCTTCATTTAATACCTCCCATTTTACACTAACCTGAAAGTTTATATGTGTGAATGAACTCTAAAATGTTCAATAGACTATACTTACAGCATCGTTATCAATTCTCAACAGTCTCTTTACTTCTTTTTCAATTTCAGGAGCTTCTACATATTTCTTTTTCAAAGTCTTCCGGAACCTTCTCTTCCTTACATTTTTAACAGGAGGAGTGATTCCATGGGGCCATAGATATTTTTTATCCACCTTATTAGGGTCCTTCTTCTTCTTTTGAGGAGAATCGTCATCTGTCGGCGTCTGATCGTCTTCATCTCTACATATTAACATTTGGCAAATATCTGCAGTTTTGTAAAAACCCTTTGAGTCAATTGTTTTGAGCGATTCCACTATCGTTGGCAAATCAACGACCTTCGCAGGCATTAACCAATGATCTACTCTGACTTCACCGTGTCTCATCATTTCGTGATCAATTTTTATAGAAACCCTGTCTTTTAACGAATGGTTACTTCGAATTGCCTCCCGCAAGGCTCTAGCTGGTTCCTAAAAGTATTATATGAATTAATAAATGCGATATTACCATCTGCAAATAGGGTTTATTTGAGATTACAGGTTACGAATAAAGCAAAACCAAATAGCCATTTAACAGGGTACATGTATTATTGGAGGTTTTAATATAAAAATGCTACTTACCACAGGTAAACGTAATATAAACTGTGACTCCAGTTCTGCTGGTGAATCGGCTTCAATTCCTTTATACATATTTGCAGCTTTAATACTTCGTTTTACTTCAAGACAACAACACAAAACATAACCTTTAAAACACACAAGTGACACGTCAAACGTCAAATGTCAAAATGTCATAAATCGATTAGATCTTCTTGTTCTTACGTTCTTTTACTTGTTGGTAATCAACTATTGAGATTTATACATGTAAAAAGAAAGAAGAAAATGAGTGCGTTCGGATTTTATTGGTATAAAATGTCAAATATTGTGTCAAGTATGTCATTTGATTTAAATTTTTTGTAGTGGTATGACTGGGTGTTACCAGCCGACAGAAACCGATCTCGTCGATTGTGGACGTGCTTTTTAAAATGGTGTTGTCAACAATGAAAAGAATTTTTTTTTTATAGTGTTCATAAACTGTTTAACAAATTTAATAGTTACACTAATGTAAAATACTTGAAATTTACATAGAGAAAATGAACGGTCTAAGTTTAAGTGAATTGTGCTGTCTGTTTTGTTGCCCACCATGCCCTAGCAAAATATCAGCTAAACTAGCCTTCTTACCACCTGAACCCACATACGAATTCGTTTCGGATGAAAATGGAAAATACACTTTGGCGCTGACTGAACGGGCAGAATGGCAATTTTCCGAAAGAGAAAAAGAAAATATAGAAGTATTCTTCACAAGTACAAACAGACGGAATCGCATAGCCTGCCTTTTCGTTAGATGTAGTAATACTGCCAGATTTACAATCTTATTTTCACATGGAAATGCCGTAGATTTGGGACAAATGAGTAGTTTTTACCTTGGTTTAGGCTCCCGTATTAATTGTAATATATTCAGTTATGATTATTCAGGATATGGTGTAAGTGCAGGGAAACCGTCAGAAAAGAATTTGTACGCAGACATTGATGCTGCTTGGACAGCACTTAGGACTAGATACGGTATAAGCCCTGAGAATATTATACTTTATGGTCAAAGCATTGGCACCGTACCCACTGTTGATTTAGCTGCTAGATATGAAGTTGGAGCTGTGATATTGCATTCTCCTCTCATGTCCGGCATGAGAGTAGCCTTTCCTAATACAAAGAGGACTTGGTTTTTTGATGCCTTTCCCAGGTTAGTTGCTAATTGTTCATATATTTTTATTTCAGTGTTATTTTCGCTTTACATTATTTATGGTATGTTGTCCAGGAAAAGTACATATTTTTTAATGTCTGTTCAATCCAATATGCAAATATTTGAACTATGTTGCTTAGTTTCTATTAAGTTATTTTCTGGAATTCATGAAAGTGTTGGTGGAAAATTCATTTAACATACTAATCATATACATTAACAGCAGTTTAGTACATTTTACAAAATATTTTTATAGTTAAATTATGTCAATTATTGTGTTATTTCTCTATAATTTAAGTTATTTATTAAAAAAAAAACATTAAGAGCACTGAACTATGCAAATTTATTTGTTTGATGATGATAAAAATCTTTTTTTATTTATCTAAATACTTTTATTAAAAAGTATAGCGCCTTACAATTGAAAATTGTGAAATTTTATTATTTGTTAATCAAAAAGAACCTTGATATTGAATTTATTGTATAAATAAATGAATATAGTAATAACACATTAATTTAGCCTTGTAAATGTTTAAATTTTATATGTTTGCACTTTTTTAACATATTTGGTATTTATTGTTTTGAGCGACTTCATTTTTTTGCATTAAATAATTTGGAAAATTTTAAGAATGCTATCTCACAAAAATAGCAGCTAAATATATACAAAAGACAGAATGTGAAGTATGTACAGCGTCAGGTATTTTCATGAAACAGATGCTTCTTGTTATTTATTTATCACATTTAAATATAGGTATCTAAACAATTCCAAATAGATAATTCCTGCTTATCTAGATCGATTCAACAACTCATTTTACTTGTTGGGAAAAACTTCTCAAACAAATAAACAATTTGATAAGGTATCTATTAGACATTGTTCCTGGATTAATTACAAAGGCATTGTTTATATACCAAGCAATTGATCTCTATTAATTTTGTGGCTATATTTAGATCACTTCAATTTTTGTTTCAGTATTGACAAAGTTCCAAAGGTTATGTCACCTACTCTAATAATTCATGGGACTGAAGATGAGGTAATAGACTTTTCTCATGGGCTAACCATTTTTGAAAAATGTCCAAAAGCCGTAGAACCCTTATGGGTCGAGGTAAAAATTTTTATTTATTTTACTTCATAATACACCTTTAAACTGATGTATTTTCAATCCAAGCGGGTGCATCATTGTGAAAATAATACTTATAAACCATAGATTATACAGGTTGATGCATCAGTTTGCAATATAGGCTATGGGTGCAATAAAGACAACTTCTAGATTACTACGCCCGAAATCGTCATTAGAACCAAGTGGCTATACTGTGCGCGTTTTCTGATATTCTGATAGCGTTACTTTCATCCAGCAAGGATGGATGAATTAGACGATTATTTCTTTGATAGTCCGTTAATGTTGTTACCCACATTTGCCGATAAATATCTCGGTTATGGTAATTTTTGTCGGTGATATCCCATAAACACCTCTTCCCGTAGACAGGACTTATTAGTTTATTAAATGATTTTAACGACCTCGTACGAATTCGGACGTTTTTGTCGTTGACAGTGTAAACACTCTAGAGAAGAAACTACAGGTTTGTTTTTTCTAACAAATTTGTCAGAAAAAGAAACGTTGATATTGTGGCAGCTCACTCTAACAACCGTTATTTTAATAATCTTTCTTTATTCAACTTATAGAATTGGCCATATTGCAAACTCTTATGCACTTATGTATGTGTATAATAATATAGAGATAGATGTTTTGTACAAAAATGTCAGTGATCACCCACTCGGTTCAATTAATTCATTCGATAAAGAGATTAAAATTTGATATACCTGAATTTTTAGGGCGCTGGCCACAACGATGTAGAATTGTATTCTGTATATTTAGAGAGGCTCAAGCAATTCGTTCGATCAGAATTAGACAACGATAACTGACAATTGCTAGGAGAAGATGTTACATTTAGTTCAGGTACATCCAGTTCCGTAGCCGAGAAGCTTCTTTAGCTAGTGGAAGCAGGATCGGCGCACGTTTCTCTGCAGTCGATATCCTGCAAAAATACGAGAACAATATTGTGTTAATTTGTACAGTGTGCCAGCAAAAGTCGGTTCTTGGTGTTAATATTATTATTTTGAGACTGCTAGCCTCAATGGGTTTTGTTCAATTTATCTGGAATATATTCGTTCTTACTGTACATCTAAATGAAAAAAAGTAAGTCTGATACAATTGAATGTGAATACTTAACTATTGCCTTAAACTTTGCAATACAATATCTGTCTCTATAAATAAGAATTTAATTTCATTAAAATGTAATAGATGTTTTTTGATGTGATTGCAGTAAGAATGATCTTTATTTGGAATACGATTTATCCTTAACTATGTAATTTCCCAAGCTGTAATATTTATAACCATGCGGTCATTTAAAATAAATAGAAATAATTGCTTGTTAAAATTCATAACATGTACTTTATCTAACATATTTTTTAATATAAATAATGATCTTTTACGATATGAACTTTATTTTTACAAACAAAATACAAAAAGTACATAATTTAGAAAGTGCTAGTAATGTACAAAATTCTTTTACACGAAGTCACACACTCGATGATGAACAATATAATATGTGTAAATTAAATTTTTTGCAACATTTGTAGATTATGCATTGAACAAAAAATCCCGTATGCCTAGATGTTGGTTTTTTAAGAAAAATCGTATTCTTTCAATAAATTGTAGGAAGCTCTTGAATCGCATTTTTTACTGTAAATATTGTTACTTGTGAACTTATCAAATGTGAATATCTGAAGACAATCTTTTAAGTGATGCAATATTTAGGGGATTCTAGAGTACATGAAAACTTAAGTTTTCTTTGTCTTACCTCCTATTTTCTTCAATTTGTAAGTTATTTATTTATTATATTTTCTTAAATTAATTGTGAAAGTGTCATTGGGTAATATTGTGCTCGATATTAAGTTTAAGGAATTGTTTAGAGAATATAATAGTTTCGTTTTTACGATTTAAATTAGGTTTTGGTTAACACTTTTTGGAATTTTCACTACTTATTACTTAATACATATTTTCCTAAGATAATTAAAAATAGCTTCTATATTTTATTTTATTACAAAAATCTTACTAAATAAAATAAAATATAACTGTCTTGTTCTACTATCTAATTTATTGAGTAAGTTTGTACTTAACATGAAATATTTTAGTGGTATAAAGAAAATTACTTAAGTTGCCTGTGATAAATTTGTCTTATTATTTGCTAATTTTATGTAAAATGAATCAATCAACTTTGTAGATTTTAGTAAACAAAAATTTTGATACAATTTTAAAAAAGAACATATGATTTGAATCAAAGTGTATGAAACGGCAAATTTGAAATTTCCAGATTAATTTAAAGGGCGATTTTTTGCAAATTTAAAGTACTAACCTCCTATTTTAAACATTTTATTGATTTTTTTTTCATTGAGACAAATTTTGCGCTACTCTAAATCAATAGGCGCTTCTTTTTAGGTCTTCCTCTATGTAATATTTAAATATCGTTATTTTTTAATAAAAACCTATTAACCAAAAGCTTGTTAGCCAGTAAACACAAACGATGGAATATATTTATTGGTACATTTTTGAAAATACGACTTGATTGTACTTTTCAATACATTTATAAACATAATGCTAATTCAAATTGTGCAATGTTTCGTATAGTCGTAAAGATTCTTTAGTTCAATAGAAAAATAAGTTTTCATGTAAATTATATGATATAAAGCGGATTTGCGTTACCCGTGTGGATTATCAATTATGTTAGGATGACTTAATCCTACAAAATTGTAAGTAACATTTTCTACGCAAGCTATAATCGATTCTGTATATATAGGTTTTCTTTATTTTTTTTTTTCAACGGAATAAAATCCATATTAAGTCTTTGTGAAGTACTGAAGTAAGTCATGCATGCAGTTTCGAAAAACGTTTTCGCAAAATTTATTAATTTTTAAATAATGACTTACATAGTATAATGAGTGTTTAAAACGATTATCTTATTTTATATAATGGATTCCTAAAAACTAAACTATACTTACGTTGAAAACACCAACATAATAAAATTCTAAATAATACTAAGATGTAATATGACTTATCCTCTCCTGCATTTAGCGCATTAATTTTTAGATTATAATTTTGTACAAATTCGTTTTCATTAAATCTACCTTTAGTTTTTGTGCGAGGACGAATTGTAACAAGACTAAAAATATTCTGGATAACCATCTTAATATGACAAATATTTTTGTTGTCTTTATCGCAAATTTTCTTTATGGATCTCTATTTATGATATTTTATTCTGATCTCCAGTGATCAAAAAATTTAACAAAATTTTAATTTTAGTACTTACTAACGTTTTGTCATATTAGGACAACTGATATGAAGCACATTTTTCGTCGGAAAAAATGTGCACACAATGTATTAAAATTGACGGATTAAAATGCAATATTAGGATTAAGTAAACTTAATTATGTATTATTTAAAAAGAATATTGCTACAATACTGCCTTAAATCTTAAACTTGGAAATTCGGATAAAACGTTATTGAGATTAAACCTTGTAAGTAAGACATATCAAAAAATTACTTTCAAGAAAGAGAAAATAAAATGCACAAAATGTATCCTTCAGTAGGCTGTTAATTTTTTGCATTTTAATCATCTTGGAAGAGGTTTTAGATTTTTGCTTCTTTAAATTTATTATGCCTAAACTGTTTGTTTCAATTTTATATAATTAATTACGTATATCCTACAGTACTGATAGTGATTACTACGATATTTGATCTTAAATTAAAATTATTAATATTCCTGAATTAACCGCATGTTTTAGTTCTTCTGGAGATATTCAGGACAATAATGTATCTGAAAATATTTGTTTAACCTTACGGAGATACCTAGTACTTTACCAAACTCATGTTATATGCCCTCAAATAAAAGGTTTTTCCAATTTTATAAAAAAAATGTATTAAATAAAAGCAAAGATTCATGCTAAGAGTATTTGAATTTTTTCATATTACCTGGAATATCCATTTTATTATCTTCAAATTTTCTTATCCCACGTTTTAATTCTCACAAGTTGGCAGATTTAAATTAATATAAGAAATGTATAAAATGTATCTCATTAATATTGCTTAATATAAAAAATATGCTTAATAATAATATAACGATTGATAATTATTGCATACATTATTCCATAACTAAAATCCCTAAATAAAAATACTTGCTCCGCCTATGCTGTTCATGACTGCATTGAGTATCAATAAATGTCAGTTTCCTTCTTCTTTTTGTAATCGATGACATTTGACGTATATATTTCCATTGTGCTATAATATTACCTGCGTAATAATTAATTGAAAATAATCGAAATCGAATTAAATCGTTTCTATGTACGTAAATTAAATAGTTTTAGGAATTCGAAAACTATTCTAGAGTGATCTATTTTCTCTGACGTGTCAACAACAGTAAAAATTTGACACTTGACAAAAACTGACGTATCTTATCTAATTTAATAGATCATTTGTATAGGTATTACATTACGTTACAAAATTAGTTTTAAAATTATATTACCAAAATACGCAGTGCCATTGCCGACGTTTTGAGCAAATTTAACAGTAGTGCTATTGTTTAAAAAAGTAATAGTTGAAAAGATTTGTGTAAGATATTCCGTATAGGTAAAAATAACTAGTCATTCCTGTAAAACATGGCTGACGATGTTCCGGTAAATAAAGGAAAACCCGAAGAAAAACCTGCAGAAGACGATAAACAAGAGGAAAATGCTTCGACCAACAAGATCACGCTTCATGTTAAAAGTCCAAAAGAGAAAGAAACCTTTCTGGTGGATCCAGAAACTGGAATTAAAGAAGTAAGCCTACGACGTCAATTCTAACCTCCATTTATTAACAAAAATTTTTTATTATAGCTTAAAGAGACCATTCGAAAGAAGTTCCCGGTGGAATCTGATCAATTAATTCTAATATTCGCAGGGAAAATTCTGAAGGACAACGATACTTTAAAGCAACACAACATAGTGAAAGATGGGCTCACTATTCATCTTGTCATAAGATCCAGCAGTAGAACGGGCACCAGTACTGCTACCGATGGTGGACAGGCACGAACTTCAGGTATTACAATATAAATATAGAATTTAAAAAAAAAATAATCGAGAGCTTAATTGAAAGATAATAATTCGTGACTATTCATGTTAATTAACCATTTGTTTCAGAACCCGCTTCCAATCCATTTGCTAACATGGGCGGATTGGCAGGTTTAGGGGGCCTAGGGGGGCTAGGAGGCCTAGGAGGTATGGGCAATTTTCCTGGCTTGGATCAGTTAGGACTAGGCACAGCTCTAGGAGGCAACCTTGCAGATTTACAATCTAGAATGCAAAATGAAATTCTTCAAAATCCCGATATGATACGGAGCATTCTAGACAATCCCGTTGTGCAGAGAATAATGAACGACCCGGAGAATATGAGAGCATTGATGACGAGAAATCCTCAAATGCAGGAATTGATGGAAAGGAATCCAGAAATCAGTCACATGCTTAATAATCCTGAATTGTTAAGACAAACAATGGAATTGGCAAGGAACCCGTCAATGTTGCAAGAACTAATGAGAACTCATGATAGAGCTATAAGCAATTTGGAATCGATTCCTGGTGGCTACAATGCGCTGCAGAGGATGTATCGAGATATACAAGAGCCAATGCTTTCTGCAACTGCTGATCAGTTCATTAGAAACCCATTTGCCGGTTTAGTTGACAACACATCAGCTAATAATCCTCAACAAGGAAGAGAAAACACCGAACCATTACCAAATCCTTGGAATCCTCAAAGACCTAACACAAATAACTCATCCTCTACTCCTGCTTCTGCTATAACTCCTTCTATGTCAAATTTGCTACAGAGTTTAGGATCTACCGGAGGCATTCCAACCTCAGGAGGTGTAACAAGCCCTGAAAATATGTCACCTGTTGTTGATATGCTTCTTCAGGATCCCAACATCATGGATGCTATCATTGGAAGTAGCCCTTTGTTCCAAGGAAACCCTGAGATGAGAGAGCAGATGAGGTCAATGATGCCGCAGATTTTGCAACAAATACAGAATCCAGAAATGATGAATATGATGTCGAATCCTCAAACGCTCCAAGCTATCATGCAAATCCAACAAGGATTGGACACTCTCAGGCAGTCTTTTCCTAATTTAGTTAATTCCATGACTAACATCCCTGGATCTGTCCCAACTACTACAAGTGCTACAGGAAATACAACAGCTGCAAATGCTACTACAGGAGGAACGACAACAGCAACTACTACCAATACTACAACAAACACAACTACTCCTACAAACCCACAGCAAACCAATGCATTTTCAGAAGTAAGTCAAATTTTATGTTATTATTTGGTACTGATAAAATATTTTTGTAGTTAATGGCCCGAATGATGTCTGGCCTAGGTAGTGGAGGTGGAGGAGGAGGAACTCCAGAAAATACATTACCGCCTGAACAACGCTATCAGACCCAACTTGATCAATTAGCAGCCATGGGATTCGTTAATCGAGAAGCAAACCTTCAAGCTTTGATTGCTACGCTTGGGGACGTAAATGCAGCAGTAGAAAGATTGCTAGCATTGGGTCAGCTTTCAATGAGCTAACCTTTTTGAAAGAAATAATTTCATGTTTATTATTCATGTATTTCCTTCATTATGTTTCTTTTTATAGTTTATTATTGTTTTAAAATGATTTAGTTCAAGAGAAAATAATGTTTGCCTTGCTTGAAACCTTTTTTTATATAGGAAATTCCAGAATTTGCAATCGGCATAATTCTTTAACTAGAAAAAATTGGAATTTCTCGTTAATATTATATAAATATTTATGGTTGAATGAATACAGGTTATGGGAATTATTCTTAATCTGATATAAAAGATAAATGTAGTTTTTAAGAATTTAAAAAAAGGTACAAAGCAAGACTACAGAAATATCAACGTTCTAGAAAACGTACAGATTACTCTTAATACGCAGAATTTTCATATTTTCTAGTCAAATAAAATCTATAATAAACAAATTGTTAGAGTATCACCCCGACTAACCATCATAAAAATTGTAATAACAGCGAACATTATTAAGTACAATTAATCTTAATGTTTTTAATGCAACATAAATCAAAATAATCTATTTCATGCGTAAAAGTTTGTTTGGTGAGATTTTTATGCTAGTTTGAAGGTACTTCAAATAATATTGAAATAGTATTTTTAACAACTTTGCTTCTTCATATTGCAAATTTGCTGTATTTTTCAAGAGTGTTGATGTTACTGTATTTCAAAACTTAAAAAAAAAGCATTTGAGTTGTTAGCATTAAATATGCACCATGAATTAGTTAGCTCATTTCATTACTCATTAGTTTACTCACAGATTTACTCATTCAATGAGAACAGAAAGTCGTCAAAAATCCGAACTCGAAATATATCTTCATAAACAAGTTCCATAATATCAATTTTTGGCGGTTATTCTGTGGAACGTCTTTGAATTATTTCATAAAAAAAGTACTTGTTTTTCAATATATGAAGCCATATATAATATATATTTATATCTGTGTGTTTTTTAAGACATAGACTTGTTGCATTCCAGTGTAATATTTAAATATTTTCTTCAAAAGTATTAGGTGTTATGTGTGATATAATAGTTTTCAAATAATTTCTATTAGGCCTATGTAACAAGTCTCTTTTCGATTAAAAATTATAAATTTTGACTGAATATTTCAAAATATTTATAAAAAATGTGACCTAAATTACAACCAAAATTCGTTTGGTAAATTATAGATACACATTAATTCATTATTTTGTAAAAGTTAATCTATTTTCGTTAATATACGTTTTATTAAAACGCAAATAGCACATAAGAAGATTATTGGCAAATACAAAAATGGTTTATTTAGCATATTTAAAACATAATATTATTTTGCATTACTTTTAACATGTATAATAATATTAGAGTTTCTAATGCGTGGTGAACTCTAAACGAGTCCCAAAAAGTGCTGAATTGATTTGATAATTACAATCAAAATTAATTGTTCACTATGTAATATTTTAAATTTTATCAGTTTGATAATATACAGAATTAAGGGATTTCACAGCAAATATTTTAATTTATTGATATATGGACGTTTTTAACAAAAAACTTAATAATTATTGACAACGAACTAAAATTCCTTACTTAGGGGTAACCATAGACCATGGAAAGTAAACCAATTGTGAAATTTATTGGATAAAATAAAATGTTTTTACAAGTTATATCAAATATACTATCTGGGCGTGAATAAACAATTCAAACACAATTTATATGGAGTACAAAATTATCGTGTGAAAAGGTAATTGTGTTAAAAACATTTCCAATTACCTGTGAACTACTCCTACAAAATATGCAAAGTTTATTCAAAATAAATGCCTATCGGTCTACGTACTTCCAAGTTAACACCATAATTGGTTAAATTAAATATTAAGGAATTTGATTGAAAGTGTATAATTTATGAACAATAAAGTAAACAAAGGCAATAACAAATTAAAACAATCAGTAAATTGTACAAAATAAGTTAAAATTAGTTTATCTTTATGGCCCTAAATCCGATAAAGGGACTAAAGACTTCATTTGATGAAAGTAGTCCATATGTATAATAAATGAAGTCAAAATGTTTGCAGGGATACCCCTAAATACCCGTATACTATGTAAAGTTTATATTAAATTATGATGTGCTCAATTAATTTCATCAAATTTGACGGGATTAATAAAAGGTGGGCAAAATTTCTTGTTAATTTAACTGAAGAAAATTCGACCAATGGAAGATTGTTGAAACAGTTGTAAATATCTCTACTATCAAAATATATGTTTGTGTATCCTTATAAAAAATAGTTCGAACTTTAAGTAACTTTGATAAATAAACACCTAAGTACCCAGTTAATACTTCAAGGTGTATTTAGGATAATGAAACGGTACATGAAAAACATTGAAACAAACTTTAATAATAAAATTTAAAGTTTTGTAAGCACAGATGAATCATATGCTATATCAGATGAATCGTATGTTTCAGTTTACTATAATAAACGTTTGAAGGGTTAAGAGAAGATTATTACATTGTAACGCTTATTTGTGACTGTTATGTGTCCTTTCACAATTACCCAATAAATAGCAATTTTTTATAATCATTTTGTGTCTTAAATGTAGAGGAAATTCTAGAGACTGGGAAAGAAGCAACTTTTGAATGTAGAATTAGCTGTTTTTGAAACGATAATTTTGTTTTTATACATGTTGTCTTTTCAGTGTTTGAAATCACATAAGTGTATTTGAAGACTATGAATCGTGTTATATATTTTAAATATTTTGAAAAATAAAAATATATGAATTACCAAGAGCACAATAGTAAGCAAATTTCTATTCCCTTATTCATAAATCATAATTACACAGGGTGTTAATTGAATGCCGATACTTCAGGATATGAATATTTGGGTGATTTTAAGAAGAAAAGTTTATATCGATATATGTCCTAAACCTCTTAGTTTTTTTAGAATTTTTCTACCATAATTTTCTTAGTACTCCAGATATTTTTATGAATTTTTGTATACACTTTTTAATTATTAAGAAGCATTTTTTGAGGAAAAAGATTTTTTTTAATGTTTACCAGTGACGTCCGTACGGGATTTGAACTGAATGTGTTAGAAAAAAAAATATTACGCCACTGTTTTCTAAAAACCAAAATTATTTTTAAAATCCTCATTTATTTTGTAGCAAATTCGGTCAGAAGACTTACTTTCGTACGACGCACCATCTTCGGCATATATGCGACTATATCGGCATTCAATTAATTTACACCCTACATAACAATACAGATGATACAATAAATAAAACTATCCTCTTTTTGCCTAATACCGTAAGTGAATAATGGCTATAACAGGTAATAAACTTACTAAAAATGCTATAAATCTAAATAAACTTACCATTAAATTCACATTTAGCAAACTACGATTAAATGTAACTTTACAAAACTACATTGTAAATAGCATCTCAATCATTAACTATAAAAAATTTTAAATAAAGCCGGATTTAAATAATTTTAAAAAGGTGGTATAACAGTCATGATAGACACTTCCACTTCTTTTTTATTTTGGCCGAATAACACTAGCAGCGTAGACCTTTAATCGCAAAGCAGAAATTATGATGTGTCAATTTTTGACAACTGTGTCAAAGTGAAACAGCAGAACAGCATTGTTTTTATTTTTATTAACCTTATTACAAATAACTAATATAAAAGCTGTTATTCAGTTGGATTAACTTAAGAAACGAAGCTTTCTAAATGATAGATCTTAATTCAGTTTTTGATTTGGCCGAATCATTAGCCACTGAGGTAAATAACATAAATAGTGATAAAGAAACAATAGAACTTCTCATAATCTATGGTTGTTTTGGAGTAGTCCTGTTTTATGGCGTGTCTCGATATTTAGATGTCAAACCAGAAATTGTGAGGACCATAAATAACAACTATTTCTTTTAAAATCGCATTTACAAAATGGCAGCTCCTCCAAATCATTTTATGCAGAATCTAAACAACCCTCCACAAATGGGTAAGATTATGCTTCAATTACTCTTACAAATAACTAAACAAGATTAATAATTTTTTTCTTTAGGTATGAGGAGTTCGTTTGGACCAAATCCAATGCAAACGCAAATGACACCTGGAAGTATGCAAAATGCAATGCCATCGCAAATGCCCGTTCAGCTCTCAAATCCAATGGGCAGTCCAATGGTGCCTCAAATGGCAAATCCAATGAATGGAGCTATGGGGAATCAAATGAACCCTAGTATGAATGGAGGATCGCCTATGTTGGGCCAAATGAATCAGCATTACGGTATGAACAGTCCGATGAATGGGGCCCAGATGGTTCCACATCAAGCTCCTGCTCAGATGCCAATGCAACCGAGACCTATGGGTAAGGGAGTCGCAAAATTGAAACTAATAGTTTCAATTTTAATTATTTCTAGAATTTGCTCCAGCCTTAAATCATCATGAAATGCCGCAACAAACGCCAGGAGTCACGCCTACGCCTACTGCAGTACCTGTTCAGCAGCAGCAACAACAGCAGTCCAAAGAGTTCAACACTGCATCGCTTTGCCGGTTGGGACAAGAAACCGTTCAAGATATTGTTAGTAGGACACAAGAAGTTTTCCAAACTTTGAAGCAAATCCAGGTATGTTTTATAAATATGAATTAGCAAATGTTTGCATTAAAATTTATTTTATAGCCTCCAAATGGTACTCCTCAATCTTCGAATGCAAGCAATGAAAAGAAGGCCAAAGTGCAGGAACTTTTGCGCACAATTAGAGTCCTTTTCAAAAGACTGCGCCTCATTTACGAAAAATGCAATGAAAACTGTCAGCTACAAGGAATGGAATACACTCATATTGAAAGCCTAATTCCCTTTAAAGACGAAATAGACCCCAAGCATGATGAGAAGAAAAATTCGGAAGCTTATCGGTTAGCTTGTGAAGAAAGCAAGGAAGTCATGGAACAGGTAGTTTTGAAGAACAAGCAGTTGAAGGAAGTCATCGATCATCTAAGGCGTATAATTTGGGAAATAAATACAATGCTAACCATGAGAAAATCCTAGCTAGGCCTCATTATTGACGCAGACAGTTTTATTTAATTTATTGCTTCCTAATTAATCAGAAATTATTTCAATGTTATTCGTTCAATCTTTATTAATATATTAGGTTTTAATAAATTTACTGAACTGAGAAATGTACAAAAATGTAAAATACTTTTGTAAAAAGGTTATAAACAACTTGATGTATTTGTTACCAGTAAAGTGAATTTATTATCTAGAATTTTTTTATAATACTTAAATTTCCCTACCCACATAAAAAATGAAAAGTCGGATTATAAAAAGAAACATTTTCTTTATTAATATCACATCTAACAGTACATGCTGCACTGAAAAAAATAAAAATAAATTCCTTACTCCAAATTTAATAATCTTGCCGGTCTTATACTTTCGTTTTGGATCTGGTACAGCAAGTAGATCACATTCATTTGGTCATATAATTAGTTCAACATCTAATAAAATTGCAATGATATAATCTTGAAGGTTGTTTCACTTGTGCTTCCTTAAAACAAAATTATATCATGAAACATAATCAATAACAGGACAAACATTGAATCACATTGAAATTAAAAACTCTTACAAGAATCGCTCATCAAAATAATATCAACAATTACGTTATATATATCATATAATATAAATACTGGATGAGATAGTCTAATTTGATGAAAATAGATTTAATGCAAATAAAACTTATTTTACCATATTTTAAACAAAATAATTCTAGTCTCACTGATAAAAAAACCTAAAAGCAATTCACATATACAACTGAATAAAACAACTTATTTTTCAAAATAGGATTTTTTCGATTTCATAGAAATAAGTAAATTAATAAAAATCAGTCTTATAAATAATTTAAAAATAAGTACTAAGCATAAAACTTGGCAAGTTATCTATTGTAGTCATGTATAGTTTAAGGAGGGTCTCGCCCAGGAAATTTCGAACAGAAATAACTTTTAAGATTTATACATACCACTAAAAGCTTCATATAAATAACAATAATAAAATTAGACTATTCACCGTTACAGAGATTTGTTAACAACAACAATCTGACAGAAACACATAGGTTCGTGAATTACTCTGTTAATTCACGTTGAAAGTGTACAGCACAATGGCTGCAAATATCTGCCTCGAGGCTCAAATTGTGGCAAATTTTGCAGGTCATATGACGGTTGAGAATGTCTTCCGTTTCTGCCTGCGTTTGTATTAGATGCTGGTCCCCTTTGTCTTCCAATTCGACTTGGGCCAATTCGCTTTCGATTTCGGACAAAAGCTCGTTAACTTCAGATTCCCTCATCAAATTAGAGGCTTCCGGGTGGGATTCCAAAGCTCTCCTCAAATCTGATATCGACCTATAACTGATCAATTCGCTGTAGTCCTCTACTATTTGCCTAAATCTATCGACGCTTCTGCTGCGATTCATCTTCAATTTGTTAAAAAAACTCTAAAAATCCCACCAGTATGTTCAGTTTGAGGTTAGGAAATAGAAAAACGAACACTTACATCCCTGAAATTACTCCTTATTGATACAGTCGAGCTACTGTGAAGGAATTCACTCCGGGCTCGATGTAGGCGGCTCATTTTCTTCAGTTCCTTTTTATCAGACATAACTTACATTAAATTCTCGTTGCGAATTTTGAAAATAGAATAGATAATTAGAAAAGTGTAAATAGTAAATGTAAATGTCACAACCACAACAGTGATAAATGTCAGAGCTGTCAAATTGCCGCTTGTCATGTACAGGATGACCAACTTGAACGAAAATCAAGGCATCCAATACGATTGAACAATTTTCCTAGGAATTCAAATTTCATAAGAATTCATTTATTTTATTTTAAATCTCGGTTTATTAATTAATTTTGGTATCTAATTTCAATCACCTAGCAGTATTTTTTTACATATCTGCTTTAAAACAGCTTTTTACAGAAAACTATTTTGTATAGAAACTTTTTGTCTTTAATTTTGCTATTTAAAGAAAGGCATTCTTTAAATGCTTAAAATTTTGAGAAAACTCTATTTTTTATAAGGTAAAATTGGATATTGTTAAATTAATACACTTACATTGCACCTAAAAATTGAATATATTTTACGCCCACATACATATAATACTTATTATAGAATAATATTAGAAAAAAATGTCCACATTCGATCAATAGAGATTTGATAAATGGCCATTTCGCCGCACCTAAATTTCCATGGAAACTCGCTGGTAAGGTGCGAGGGGCGGTCAAGGAAAACCCATTCCTCGTCATGAGCTACAATGGGGAATAAGTTGGTGACGTTCACGGACCAACAACTAGAAAATTACCAGGTAAGGATAGTTTCTATTAAATCACTAATTGCCCTTCATAAATGCTCTTCTTATAGGACTGCACGTTTTTCACCAGAAAAGAGATTTTAAGGTATTACCTACCTATTTTGTTTAAGTATTTCCTTTAATTATTTACGATTTCTAATTAGTTTAAAGAGTTTTGCTAATGTATTTTACTTGAAGTAGAGAATCATCCTACTATAAATAAATAATAATCATCTATAAATAAAAAACTTTCGTAGGGTTTTCAAGAGATTTCGGGAAGTTCGTCCCGACGTCGTTCCCAAACAAATGAAGAAAAACGAAGCCATTAGCGTAAGAATTCCTTTGGAGGACAGCGTGGAAAAAATTCCCGAAATACATGTAAAACCGCCAAACAGCTCACAAAAAAAGGAAAACGAAGTGATTCCGGCAAATTGAGGCAACAATACCCGTTGTTTTCTGGGAATTACCGCTTAATTTAAATGTATTTAGTGACCGAGTTGCTTGAAATTGCCGATCAATTCGACGCAAACTAAGCACGCATCATATGCAGACAGATATAACGTGCGATATTTTTTTTAGGAAAATCCTTTCAAAAGGCGAATATGCGAAGTATTCTCCAGAGATGGCAAAGGCAATTTATCCTTTGAGGATTTTTTGGATCTGCTTTCGGTTTTCAGCGAACAAGCTCCCAGAGACATAAAAGTTTTTTACGCCTTTAGAATCTACGGTAGGTAACTATTTATTTTGTCAGGAATAGCTAGACAATGCGTATCAATTCAAGATCAATAATCGACATTTTTTTACAACAATCCCAATCACAGAAGAAGCCAAAAAAATTCTACAAGTGCTATTACAAGAATTAGTTGCACGTAGTTGAAAAAAGTACATTGTTAGCCTCAAATATACTTACCAAAATACGTTTAATAGACTTTGATAGCGACCAACACATCGGATTGGAAGACATCGATAAAGCCCTGGTTCTGCTCACGAGAAACACCGAGGACTTGACGCCCGAGGACCGACATCAAATCGCCGAGAAGGTGATAGAAGAGGCGGACGTCGACGGCGACGGGAAGCTCTCCTACATGGAATTCGAGCACGTGATTTCCAGGGCTCCGGATTTCTTTTCGACCTTCCACATTAGGATTTAAGAAGAAGTGTTCAATACGTTTTTCCTCTCAAAATTTCGAATAGTATTACGAAGATATTTTTTTAGAAAAATTTTATTAAATTGTATTCGATTTGTACACGTTGTGAGAACTTTTGAATATATACAGTGCATTTCTTTAATGTCCCCCCCCCCTTTTATTTTTTGAACGGATCAACTTAGAAAATTGAAATTTGGGATAATGAAACTAATGCATGATTACTATATTTTGGAGTAAAATTGACAGATGAAAATTTCAAGATGGCGACTGGGCGCCATCTTGGGAAATAAATTTAAATGGAAAGGGGGGTCTTGTGATACATCATTTTGAAGCTCCTGACAAATACTCTACAACCCTGGAATATAAAGTCAATATCTGCACCTGCTACAAAATGGCGGACATTTAATAATTACCTGAATAAATCGACGTTTAACGTCATAATTTGAGGAAATAAGCTGAGTTCTGTTCAAAAAAAGCTGGAAATGGTTGCCTTGAACTTCTTGATACAAGAACAGCCTATCCGAACATTTTCGAACATAGTAACGTCGATATTTTTACAAATATCTGTAATTATTTCTCGTATATCCAATATTGAAGCAGGTTTAGTTTCGTACACATTTTGCTTCAAATAGCCCCATAAAAAAAAGTCTAAAGGTGTCAAATCTGGTCAAATTCTGGTCAAATCCATTCCGTAGGACCTCGACGACCAATCCAACGATCCAACGACCAGGGAAAATAGCATCCAAATAGTTCATTACTTGTCTGGAGTAATGTGGTGGTGCTCCATCTTCCAATGGGCGAGAATTGGCCATTTTAGAGTTAGTTGACGTGCTACCTAACTGCAATGAGAACTAAACAACCGAAAACTAAATGAAAATACTTTGAACACTAGGAAAATCGAAAACTAAAGAGAATATTTTGAACACTAGGAAAACCAAAAACTAAATGAGCATATTTTGACTAAACAATTAATGTTCGTTGTCGTACTTAAATTTTTTGGAATTTTTTTAACCAAAAATAACCTGTCAAACCTTATCGGTTTGCTGGGATTGCGGTTTGCCATAGAAAAACAAATATTTCTAGAAAAATTGATATTATTTTGTTTGTATTCAGGTAATTATTAAATGTTCCGCCATTTTGTAGCAGGTGCAGATATTGACTTTATATTTCAGGGTTGTAGAGTATTTGTCAGGAGCTTCAAAATGATGCATCACAAGACACCCCTTTCTATTTAAATTTATTTCCCAAGATGGCGCCCAGTCGCCATCTTGAAATTTTCATCTGTCAATTTTACTCCAAAATATAGTAATCATGCATTAGTTTCATTATCCCAAATTTCAATTTTCTAAGTTGATCCGTTCAAAAAATAAAAGGGGGGGGGGACATTAAAGAAATGCACTGTATAACCCACGTTAGTATTCAAATATTGATAATTGGAATGATCTATTAGGAAGCAGGCGCTTAAATCTTGTATACTCTTGAATTGTGAAACAGGAGAATGCTTTTTGTTGCTGATTTGATTAATAGTAATATTGATATTGTATAACGGACGTGAAATGAAATTATCATTTAGGTAATGCGAGATACTTTGTTTGAAATATATTTTTTAGGGAAAGGCTTTTCCTACAACTAGCCTATAATATTTCGGAAATGTAATGTCCTATTTTTATTTAGTTAATTTTGCTAACAAATTATTATTATTTTTATTAGATATGCATATTTTTCAACTTTCATTTCGGACGTACTAAATTCTGCGATTTTCCTCTTAGAAATTTACTAACCATCTAACCTTATATTGCGGATAATTTGTATTTATCTGCTTAAACTGCATATGCTTAATGATGAGCATATGAAATCCGTACGATTTGAATAATTGTGAGAACTTTTCTAATCAAATTTAGGTAAAAATCATTTTGATACGTTTTATCAACATTTATTGTCAGTATATAGTTTGATTTGACATAGTTAAGATTTCACATTTTACATTTATTATAGATAAGTTACAAAAATAAATAAAACCAGTTTACCTCTATTCATGAGAAAATATGTTCCATTGCTCCTGAAAAATAAGAATTTCGATGAGTAAAAAATTAACGTAACAATCACCGACTCAGATGTGGCTTAATTTTCTCCATTTTTCTCCATCGATTTTTAAAAGGCACATCTGGGTCGTTGGAGTTGGAGAAAATAAATTCAACTTTCAACAAGCATTAAATATAAAATGGTGGTTACCTTAAGAAAATAGCCTCTCCAATGATTTCGTTCCTTGTAGACGGAGATTATCTTTATGATATCGAGGATAATATTTATTTCTGAATGTGCTCAAACCCAAATAAATACATTTATTAGAACATTTGTTAGATAACAACATCGAACATATAACACCTCATTGACATTGATGTCTTACTTTTTTTTTGGATTTTCGTAATTGAACATTTAAACGATTAAACGGATACAACGAGTGACATTGATATTATGGTAGAAGATTAATTTAATTACCAGTTCATGGACACCGCTGTTTGTAGCTCTAGGTATAACCTAAATACCTATACGAATAATTCATCTTTAAAAATGCTAGATTTGTAATGAATCTTTCATTGTTCATAAAATCAAAGCCTCGTGTTACCCAAAGATGCCCATGTTTCTTGACTATACCTCTAGCTAACAAATCATATATACAAATCCTTAGCTGGCAATTATATTCATAATTACTAAAATCTTTACTTAATTTTCTTTGTGCTTTTTTAGCGACTAAATAAAAAACAACCAAAAAATTATAGTCCTCTCTTAAATCTCTTGGCTAGTAAATAGTCACAGTATTTTCAAGAGACTATACTTTTAGTTGAAATTTTTTCAATAATACTTATCTATAAGTAAATCATCGATGTCTTACTAATTCTGCCCTATTAATAACCAGAATTAGTGAGACTAGAAACTTATGGGAAAAAATTTATTGTATTTATCTAAGAGTAAATATATTCCCACTAAAAATTATTATTCATCTATATTCTAACTTTTCACTGCAATGCATAAAATTTACTGGTACCATAATATTATCGGTTGTTACTTGTTCAAATTCTGCTATGAGAATTTCTGAATTTTCTCATCAACAATTTTTGTACGATTCAATTTAATATTTTCCTAACCTAGTTAGTCATCGTTACGACTTCAGTGATACTCTTTCACTGCAATATTCGTGAGAAAATCCACTAACTCTAAGCAGCAAGACTTGCAGTGGAAATTAAGTTTAAGCAAAGGCCCAAACTACTTCCGGAATCATTGACCTGGAGTTACAAACAGTAGCGTTTATTATACGAACTGCTAAGCACTCTTCTACAATTGACATTGAATCCATAGAATGATTGAGTGAAGAATTTGAGGAAATTCAGAAAGATATAGAAAGTGGAGGGAAGAGTAGAAAACATTAACGTTTAACATTTAAAGTCCTAATTCAGCCTTTTTCTATCACACATTTATAACATCCGATAAACTTCAAATTTTGATATTAAACAACAGGTTCTCAGGTTAAAGAATGGCTTAAACTTTGGACAGTATACAACAGACAATAGATATAACGCTTGCCGAGTTAGCTACCCGACCAAGCGAGGAATCACAGGTCTAAAACAAATACTGGGAGGAACGACGACGATAAGGAGGGGGTCTAACCAACCGAGGGTTAAATGGCCCAAGAGCTGCTTCGTTGGTTGAGGAAGCGCTACGGTAGATCGTCAGATTGCGGATCCTGCAGCACGGCCCTTTCGGGCACTTGTCGTTCATGCTCCAGTAAAGTAAAGGTCCCAAAGCGGAGTGCATATGTCCAAGGAAGAGTGTCAGTTGTTGCACGTACTCGGGTGTCATTCCGGGCGCCATGAATTCCTCGCAGAATTGGGTCACGATGTACGGGCACCAGCAGATGATGAAGAAAATCGAGAGGCATACCAAGCAATTGGCCAAACGGCGACGGCTGCGTAAAGTTGTAGTCGGTGGAGTAGCTTCTTCGATGTTGTCCTGTGCAGTCGGCATGCTCATTTGCTTTCTTCCCTATAAACACGAGTTTATTCGAGCATATTTTTACCCTAGCACGATTTATTCATGTGATATTATTTCCACAAAATATGAAAATTAATGAAAATAATTTGTATTTTCCATGATTGAAATTTACTTCACTATAACTCATTTAAAATTCGATAATCGATGTAATGCATGTTATTCAGGAAATTTAATGGGTTTTGTCACAGATTCTATTAAAAAATCATCAAACAATACAACGAAATTATTAATATTCCATACATATTGCTTATTTAGAATGCTGAATATTTAATATGATAGATTTTTAACTGCTACTTTATTATCTTACTAATTTAGAATAGTTAAATAGGTTTTAGAAGTTAGTTAACGCTTCTCTCAAAACTTTTGCAGTTACTTATTACCTACATGATATTAGGGTTATTAAATATTTTAGTATTTAATATTCGACTATTCAAAATATACTTATTAAACAAATAAATTAAAAATTATATTGTATCGATTATTATTAACCCTGTGTAATTTTCATTCTATGTTCCAGCAATATGATATAGTTAAGGTGCATACAATTTCGAACGCTTTCGATTTGCAAGATTATAATTTAATACATCCTCGCTTCCTTTATCAATATGAAATTTGATTAAGGGAAGGATCGAATGCACCAGTGTACATAGATAAATTGATTATCACGAATTCCTTATTTGTGAAAATTATTAACTATAGTATATTTATCATTTAAATCGTTTTTAACGCAACAATTTTCATACGGTTAGCATAAAAATAGCTAATATTTAACCTTTGTTACCGTACAATAGAAGACAAAAATACAAACAAAAGTGCATTTGCTAACAAACTCGCTTGATGCATTATTTTAATAACACGTTTTTCTAGCGAAATTTCCCTACCCACAGCAAAAAATATCTGCTTTTAGAGCTCGTCCCAACACTTTGTTTCATGTTCGTTGTAAAAAATTTTAGGGCAAACGGATAAAAATAAATCCTTATGAAATATGATTACATTATTATACAATAAAAAAATTATGTTAGCATACAGTTTGTACATTAGGATTTTAATTAATTATTTTTAAATAAGCGAATGCAAAACGGAGCAGTCAAATAGCAAAAGACACTTTGTATGGTAATACAGTTGGTATTCATATTAACTAGTAGGCAGTACTACTATATATATGCCATTTTTATAACGACCTGAAACGTGTACGTACTAAACATTTTACTGTCTTAGTCATTGGTGTTTTCTACCTACGCGTTACATCACAATGTATTTTTATTTAACATTATAAACAACGAGTCGCTTGCATTGCATGTCTTTCAAAAGCGAACGCCCAACGAAGGATTTATAAGTACACGAAAATTGCATTAGAAACTTTCTCGGCTAAAAAGTGAAGCTGATGTTAAACCTCCCTAATTTGTTGTTTCCGAGTATTTACATCAATGTTATTGCGGTAAATTGCGGTAAATTACTGCCCGCAGTTTTATAAATAAATAATACATCGATGAATATTCAAGAGGCTCGTTGAAGAAAAGACTTCGAGAGTTCCCTACTTGCGGATTACGATCGCTCCAGAAAAAGGTCCGCCAAACTCTCCAGACGAAACTTCTAAAGCCCCTCTCTAACAACTAAGTCAGTCGAGTTAGAAATGTTTTTTCCCTCTCGAATTTTAATATCTCTCCCTTTGGAGCGCCAGTTAAAATTTTCGTCTTATCATCGCCGAAACGTTAGCATTTGTTCGTCTTCGTACGGTTCGAATTTTTCAAATACCAGCAGAGCGTGTGTTTCATCGTTTAAAATCGCTAAAATAAACAGCTCATCGAGTCGACACCGAACGCTGTACTCGAACTTCTATTGTAACAGCAAATATTTACACTACCGCTCTAATATGCTCAACAACGAGGTCAACACATCCTGCATCCTTCCACCAGAAGTGCTCCTTCGCACTTTTTTATTGCGCAATTTTACCCGCACAATAAAGATGAAAGGAAAAAAAGCATTACTTACCCCTATTATACTGACCTTGGGCATTCCTGCGACAATGATGACGTGGGTGGGTCTTCTCATCAGCGGTATCGGTAGCGGTAGTTCTCCATGTTTAGCACGAGCAGTAAGTGACAGAGCGGTTAGCTTTTGGTGGACTCCCAAGTGGCTCATCATCACGGTGCAAGCGGGCAAGATGTGCACCAGGGTGATGCGGCTGATCATCAGCCCCTTCTTCCAAGGGTATTTGAATCTGGATATGATCTGGAACGATGCTAGTATGGCGGCGGAGAGCCAGGTTGCGGCGACGGTGATGCTCAGCACTTGGCGTCTAGTGACAACCTGCCCGATGGGACGGTAGTTTTTCACGGTGAAATAGCGATCGATCGACACGACCATCATGGATAAAGTGCTCGCCGACACCGGTAATGCCTGAAAATTAATAACTAATTGAACTTTCTTGGTTTACATTTCGCCTTTCAAGTTACTGCCAAAGCTCAACGAGATTCGTCTTTAACCTTGTATAATGATGGTTAGTATGCAGAAGGTTGGCTTTGAGTGTGTACTTTAAAAATATTTAATGGAAATTGCAACAAGGGCTCTATTTACGATTTAGAGCCGCTTTATGACTAAGAGGAATGCTTAGAAAGCCTTTCTGCCGCCCTATTCAACGTATTAAAATTTACTTCCATTTATGCAGGAATTTTTTATTGCAAAATTAACAATAGTGTCACTCGATAAGTTAAGAATGTAATTGTTTTTTCAAATGAAATTGTTTTCCACCGGTTTTCTCGAACCAGAAGAATAAACAGGGTGCGTAGATTAAACAGCGATTGAAAATACCAATTGTGGAAAATAAATAAAGTTTCTCGTTTCTTGTTCATTAATATTATTCATAAATGTTGGAAGTTTAAATAAGACAAAGAATTAATTAATCAGTTAAAAACAAAGTCAATTTGAACGTGAAATATTTTTACAGTCGTAGAATATTAAGTTGATCGCCAGGATTATATGTATTTGTTTCAAATGAAATTGTATTGACTTTATTAAATTTGTGTAGGTATTTTTCACAAATTCCGTAGGTATTATATCACATTTCTTTTATTGAATCAACATCGAAATTGACGTAGGTATTTTCATTCATCAGAGTAGCGAATAAACAAAAAAAAACGCAAAACGCAATTGAAAATTGATTGCATTTTATCGGTTATACCTATCGAACAAATATAAATTCGGAGTGAAATACGTTTTCCATAGGTATTGCTATGTCATAAGGTGCATGCTGCTTAAAATGCCCGGTAATGAAACTGAGATTAAACTTCAAAATTTGACACATCACTTCTACGAAGCTGGCGTCAACTGAAAGTCTAATTAAATGTATATTAAGTCAGTAGTAAGGTGGAAGGCAATCGAAAAAGAAGACGAAACAGGAACCGTAGCAATTTCGATTCGAGAATAGACGGCATTGTCAAATGGCATAACTCACTGAAAGTAAATGGGGTAGATGAGTGAGTTTAATTTACCCTACAGAACTCGACTTCGATTTTTCACCGAAAACAACGTTGCCGAGGGAAATTGATGTTCCTGACTGTTGGCACTGAATTCGTAAATTACGGGATGATGCTTACTATTTCTTTTAAAAAATACGGCTAAGCATAAATCAAAACGCGACCGTCATAAAATAGCTGCGCCCAATTATTGCTGTATAGCAGTTTATAAATTGCTCGATGATTCTATAAATTCTCGGCATTATAATTATCGAAATATTCAATTATTCAACCATTTGGGGTCGAACTTGGGTCTAATTGGAGTTTGACGAATTAATTACGTTGTATGGCTTCCGAAACACCGGGCCTGAGGAAACCTATAGGGACAGGGGCGTTCGTAATTAATTTTCATAAACCAAATCGTATCTATATATACGAATGTACAGTAATTAAAAGATTAAATAATCAAGAATCCATCGATGATACCTGCTCTTTAAAATGCTAAAAGTTTGATTACTTTTAGTTTTGGATCGTAATCGATTCTTCTCAATTTTATAAAGGGTTGTTTGCGTCAGCTAAGTTAAATGTTCAATTTAGTTCGAAATCATGCAAATGCATTGGTCAATTTTATAACTCCGAATTGATTTTGATTTAGACGTAGCCAACTTTATACAACTTTTTGTTAGGTAGGTGCTGATAGAGTTAAATTAGGTAATAAAATGAATGAAGAAAACGAACTGGTCGATATAGAAATAACAAGAATCTTTATATTGACGACGTTTGAAGTTCGAATTTGGATAAGTGTATGTTTGTGTATGTGTTTGTGTATATATAAATTTAATTAAATAGTGAGTGTATTAATAAATTGTTCTCCGATTTGGGCCCGATTTAATTGAGATTCACCGCCCTTTAGCTAAGTGTTGGCCATTTCGCTGGATTAAATCAATCCTTAGGGAGGAACGATCTTCCATCGAAAATCCAAAACGTGCCCGTTCGCGCGTTGTAATCAATTATTTCCGAAGACATGACTTCTTAAAAAATCCTCGACCACTTATCCTTTATCCTCGTGCCCTTTAGAGATACGTTTGCACTTAATTGATTACCAGTGATTGCGGGAACTCACGAGAGAAATAACTAAAATTTATCAGAAGTAAACTAACAATGGACACTGTTACATATTTATTGAACGTATGTAATGAGGAATAATAACTGTTTGAAATGAATTTACTTTTGCTTTGTATTCGGCAACGGTGATTCGATAAATGGCATATTGTAGAGCCTTTTGTGGAAATTTTTCGTAAAAATACATCTATCACAAAAGGGCGAATGCGGCAATAAAATAAATCCGCGTATATACTTTATGTTGTGCCGAGTCAGTTTGGTTGGTATTTCAAAGTTATAGAAATAGTTAAAACGACGTCATTTTAGCATGCTTTTAACAGAAATATCGATTTTCCTCTTTGTTTATTGCCATAACAAATATTAATTGAAATTTGTATAAAACTTTTCAAATTTTCTAGTAAATTTTGAAGCTTTTTTATATTTTCTTCTAATACGATGGAGGAAAACTATATGCAATATAACTAATAATCGGTAAAAAAGAAAAAAATCATTCGATTCTAATAATAGAATAACTATAAAGTTGTTGAAAATTTCGTAATGAAACTTTATATTGAAAGAGCTTTTATTCGAACGGAATTATTGAAATTCATTCGTTCCTTCAACTCCCTTTGGGTGAAAATTATAGCATAGCGAAAATATATGTTTGCGTTTTGTTCTCTAAATATATTGCTTAAGTTTAGTTAAAATGATTATTTATTAAAACCATTATAATAAAAATTTCGAAATATCTTAATATTTGCGAAAAATTCGACTCTTTTCATTCAGAAATAAACTTATGATAATTCCATTTCGGTGCATTCGCTGATGCATTTTGTATGTATATAGAACAATCAATAATGCATGGAGTCCTATAATACATATATGCATTCACGTCTGTAATATTGAGATATCGGAGGAAATGATTTCATATTCGAACATTTTCGATTTATTATTTGCAACGACAATAATTGTAATCTTTTTATATGATATCCATATTTTAACCCATAACCGATGTTCTTCTCAATTTTATTAATAGATTCGTATGTGTACCTATTATGTCGATTTTAATTGGAACCATGCATTTAAATTAATCGTGCTCTGAATTATTTAAAAAATCCCCTCTACTCTAAGAGGTTTCCCCTCTCTCTAATTTTTGAATAATTATACCAAAGTGGGTACAAGTCTTTGAAAAACTTGCTATATTACATTTTTAAGCGTAGAGGGATAAAATTTTATATGAAGACACTTATTCATTTTGATGCTCTTCGACTTTTATGAACTAATACTATAGGTTTAAAGAATCATACTTATTGGCAAACCTCGTATATGAGATTTTTTGTTTTAAACTTATGAAGAATTTTATATAAAGTTTAATTATTTTCAAATTTAAGGTTTTCCACATGAGTTCCACCTAAATAGACAAACTGTATACGGTAGATGTTAATAAATTATGAAGCTTCCACGAAGTTTGAGTTTCGATGGGAGTTGACGATTTTATCGAAGTTAAATACAGTTTTAGATCCTCGATAAATTGGAGTTTTGCAAATATGTTCAAAACCAAACGGTCTGGCCTTTATATTCGATTCTGTAATTACCGTTAGGGCTACTAGCCCTTTTAGGTCAATGGTAGAATGGTTACCCGATATAAATACGGAAATTTCGGCGCTTTCAACAAAAGATAAAAATACGAGTAAATTACTCCGACTTTTTTCTCCCGTAATTTTTTTTATAACCCTTATTTGCTAATTAAGATCGGATTTTTTTATTTAGAATTTCAAATATCGGCTCAATAAAAGCCGCTTTGCTCTTGTAAATTATTGACAAAAAATTGTTCGTTTTATTCTTCGAAAGCCCTTAGTCGTAGTTTTTTCAGTTTTAATTCCCTTTTGTTTTCGATTTCACTAGTTCATTTATCATCCCAGCAATACGTATTCATACTGGGAACTGGGAACAATACTTGAAGTTGATTCGGTATAAATTCAAATCTGTTTTATGTTTGGTAATAACAAAGGCAGTAAAAACATGGAAATTGGTCGTAATGGAATAATTTGCCGAGGAGCTCATCATACGAAATGCCTATAAACGTATAGAACAAATTTTTAAAAGCGGAATTTCGTTAATTAAGAGCTGCAGATTACGGGGAAATCGCAACCTATAAATAACGACAAAAAATCTATATGGAGCTAGTTTGAAATACAAATAAAAGTGCAAAATTTATTGAGTATAATACCTAATAAATTTGGAGCATTATTGTAGAAACACTCAAATCAATATAAACAAATCCTCCTATTCTATAGCGTGCAATGTAAATAAGATTGTAGATCCTTTGTTGGAAGTCACATGTTGTTAAGGATTAAAAAATGGAAACATAATAAAAAATGTTCTATGTTTAAAAATGTACCTAACTGTAAATGTTTGATTTGCTTTCATAGTTTTCAATACCTCTGTGTATTGTAAATCCAAATAGAGTGCATTTTAGGATCGTACGCATTGAAAAAAATTTTAATCCACTGAGGCGTGTATTTATAAATAAAATTTGTTGGGGTAAATTTAACAATGCAGCTGATGCAATAAATGTATAGTGATTACTGATGAATTGGTATTTAAACCATCATAATGATTAAAATTTTCGTTCAATATAAAATAAATAGGCTATTAAAATTATGGATTTTATGATACGGATTATTTATTTCACTATAATTAACTAAGCAGCTTATTTTAAACTAAGTAGGCATTTCATTATATTTTTTACTTTTTGGAGACCCATAAATTTTGCATCAATTGTGATACTACAATATAATGATATAATAAAAACAATAAAATGATATAAAATAATCTCAGACTATGACACAACAGGCTTTATAATAATCGCATTAAAAATCGAATTTTCAGACTCTTTATTCCAGAATTTAATTTACGCCGAAAAGGAGTTAATTTATCATTTTACCCCGACAATACAATCAACAGAATTGCTTTCCCCCTTCTCGTTATACTCTCGATATTCCTCCTATAACGTTACTTTGGTTTCTTCAATGAATTTTCCAATAAGTCGGGATGAATCGGAAGCGAATAAAGAGGACGATTTTCTTGGAATTTTATATAATTTCGCTTTATTATCTAACCTTATCTGTCACTTTCATGTTCAAATTTGAAATCGACATAATAATAATTATTAACGTTAAAAAAATGAAATAATACTATTGAAAATATAAAATACTTCGGCTGTTTTACATATGAATGTAGCACAATCAGTTTTTTCTCTATAAATAAATTATAAAAGAATAGTTTGTTTACCAATTTTTAAATATCTCTAAAATTCACGATTTTTCTTTAAAACTTTACCGAAATAAACTGATTGCTAATAAGTATAAAGCACTAAGTAATTTGTGTACCTATGCCAATTTAAAATATATACAGGTATGTACATAATTAACTTTCCGTAGAATCGCCGAAGAATATTGGTTCAATTTATACGTTATAAAAAATGGTAATTGGCATCAATAGGGCCTTTTTATTCGCGCAATAATCACGTTTTATGTCTGCATAAAACGCAAATTGGGCGGCACATTTTGTCCGAATAATTTTTGCGTGGAATTAATTTAGGTAGCGAATTGTTTTTCCGAGCTTCGAACAACGTCTGGTAGTTTGGAAAAGGTTTTTATTCCGCTGTAGCGTTTGACGACATCAAAGAGTAATAAAATAAGTTCCTAACTAACTAATTTACTCTGACTAACATGTATAATAAAGGTTTATCGTGGAATAATGTTTGGTGTACTTTGCGCCGCAAAGTGGTGTGCGGTTAATGTAATCCCTAATTACTCTTTGAATGGATTTTTTTTACTTACAAATAACGGGAAAATTCCGAAAATTAATATGATACGATTTTTGTTAACTGCTAATTTCTGCTTATTAATGTATGAATGCGAAAAAATATATGTATGTATTCTTATAAATACCTGAATGAATGTAGCGGTAAGATTCCAGCCGGTTGAATCCGGTGGTAAAGTGTACAAAAGAGCAGTAATGGGACCGCTCAAGCAGCAGACGAAAAAATCAGCGATGATTAGACCAAGCAGAAGTGGGCTCTTGGATCCACGGCCCCACCACAGAGTGACCGCAAGAGCCCCGTTTCCGATCACTCCGACCAAAAATAAAACACCATAAATAGCGATAAGAACCTCCATTGCTGCAACAAAAATAATCGAGAATTTAAAAATCATATAAAAATTAACTCAATCGAATATCGTACTTAATCGAGATGAAACCCCGGCATAAGTTGAATTTTCCAAATCAAGAGGAGAGAGCGTGAGTTGCGGGGAGCAGACCTGGTCGAAACTCCAGTCCCTACTGATGCCCGGCAGAGACTGAAACGAACACTGAACGCATCGGAGGCAGAAAGACTGCCACCCCCAGCATCTTTTCATCCCTGACAAACGTTGGTCTCTCAGTAGCATAGCGAGTTGGTGTATAACGAGCATTTCTGGGGGTAGATTCAACTTCGAATATACAAACTCATCGCTAAATGAGTGTATATGAAACTGAAGATTTCGTAATTAATTGGCTGTTTCAAGTTCAGAAGTAAATAAACAAAAAATTACCCAGAAAATAAAGTAATTAATAATTAACCCATTCATCAAAATGAATGAATTTTCCTACCCGCTCGTTTCGGTCGATTAAAAGAAGTCCATCGAACGTCTAAAATGCTCGTCGATTGTAAAGGCATGCAGATCGTATCTTTCTTGGTCAGATTTCTTTTGAGATACATGTTCACTGAATTGATCCAAGCCAAATAAACTCTGAAAAGAGATTTCTGAGATGATTAACTGGTTTTTCTATTTTCTTTGTACTTACCTGAAAATTTATTTCAATTAAAATAATCCCGCTAAAGAAGAAGCAGTTATTTCCAATTTTATTAGTTTAAAAAGTATAAATGATGGAAGTTCGTAAAGTAGTGTAAATTGAAATGCGATTTCTCGAAGACCTGAGAAAATGAATTATAAAATATACGCGGATTTTTTTGGATCTAATGATGTAGGTAGGTACAATACATTTCGTTGAAAAATCGGCTCAAAAATCGATAGGATTTTTTTTTATTTTCCGAGAGGCAACACCTTTGTTTTTTTCTCTCCGCATCCTGAAGTGGAATACACGCAATCTTTCAAGCAAATAGCTTTCCGTTCTCGGCTAGCTAGTTTACCATTTGAGCACGTAGAGCTTGGAGTGTTTCAGGAGACCACTTAAAATTTTCATAAATTTCAGTATTAAACGCTTAATTATTTCAAGCCTGTATATAAAATTTAAAGTTTACATTTTTACTATTTTTCTTACCTATACTGCGTACCTAAGCTTATTGAAAGGCTGCGCATAATTTCTAATTACCAATACTGTAATTATTACGCCAACTAAGCGAGATTTTTTGGGAAAGACAAACTGTTTGTCTTCTTAATTCATAATTTTCGGCTTTGTGTACCTAATAAAATTAATTCGGCATTTCGGCCGCATATTTGGCGTAAAAGGCTTTATTTGCGGACGGTGAATAGCGGCAAAAAAGGGAAAAGTTTCGAGTGTATTCAAAAGGAGACCTAAGAAATTAGGATTTTCAACAGATATTAAAACCCGAAATGAAAATTGAGGGAAATTGTTCGACCCTTTTTGGGGTTTAAGTCGAAATAGTTTTCTCCGAATACTTAATTCCAACACTTACTCCAAATTTACTCATCTTGAATCAATTCTTGTATACCGATAATCTTCTTTTGATGTAATTTAATTATTCGATGAAAATTAGATTTACACAATCGACTCAATCATTGAACTTTTGACAATTATTCGCCCTTAAGGAATTAAATTAGGAAAACAATTGAATTATTCGACTAATTTAATTCCATTCGAATATCCATTAGCGAACTTGAATGATTAATTAGATATTCAGCATCGTATATACCGGCTGCAAAATTGTATGACTTACTAAATATCCGAAAATAAAAAATGGAAAATCTCTGTTGATTTTATCGTCCTCATGATTTATTCCTCCGTACTTCAAATGTGACTGTAAAATATGAATTTATGCCACGAAAAATTGGAATATACTCGATTTAAGAACGAGTTAAAAGTTTGTAAAATACGAGCTTCAGAAAGGTCGTTTAATATAATATACAATACAACCAGCAGATATATTACATTATTTCGAAATAAAAATTTCTGGTGGAAGAGGCGACTGTTCCGCCAAAATATAAAAATTACATGGCGGAATCTAAACCTGACAAAGTTTGTATTCGAATTTAGTTTCACTTGTTCATTACAAATGTTGTGTAAATGTGATACCTACGTAACAGGATTCCTTGCAACATTACACTTTTTCTGCCTCACGAAGACAGCGTAGGGAAAATTCGAGGAAACTTCGAGGCATCAAAGTATATAAACCCGTTAATATTGTAAAGCGCGTCCGAGAAACTATGAAAGATTAAATACGAAACTTTCAACGCAAACGAGAAAAGCGCCTTTGTTCGCTTTTATTCACCATCTTCGAACCCCAAAACTACACGGTCACCGCCTTAATTTATCTCGAAATCATTCCAGCATAATTTTATTAAAACTCCGAGTCGTCTAATTTTTAATCGCCACGTTTTTATCTCTATCTAAGCATTAAATTAAAACAACCGACGTGCAATCTCTACCTCCTTTTACGCCCCATAAGAAGACCGTCTCGATAGTTATTCCAAATTTTATTTTCTTTTACTAGTAATAGTAATAGTAAAAGCCAGTTGCAAGCAAAATTAAACGCTTGTATTGTGACTTTATGGCCGTAGCTCCGGCAGAAATGACCCTAGCAAAATCGATATCCCCCATATACGAAACATACCGGAATAGCCCATTGAATTTAAACCTTTTTTTTTATTTTTCGTTCGTTTAAAAAGGTGTTAATTATTAAAATAATTAACATGCTTATTATTTGTAAATTAAATACCAGATACACTAGATGATTTAGTTTCTTTTTCCCATCTCAATTTTCTTTATCATTAAAAAATTGAGTATTGGGCTTAAAAAATAATATTGTAATATTCACATATCTTTTTAAAAATAATAAATTTAGTACGAATGGCAAAATGGCAAAATAAATGACCACGAATATAAACGATACATTATTATTTATTTGCAGAGATGGTTAGGTTAAGAGCATTGTACAAATTTTCCTTTCAATTAAAGCAATATCGACTAATTCCAAAATAATATGTATTAATGAATGTTAATTATTGTTAGGAATTTATTCAACTGTTGCAATATTAATTTTACCAACATATTGGCTCTGTGTTTGAAATTTTGCTTTGAATAAGATCACAGACCATGAACAAATTAATTATTTCACGTGCATTTGTTCCTTGTAGAGCATAGGAAACTACTAAACTTATTCACATGAAGCTTAGCAAATTTAACTATTACATTTTGAAATTTAGTTACACAGGAACCTAAACGATTTGGTTAGATTAAACTTTATTTGCGAAGTTTTAAGATAAGAAGAATTAGAAGAAAGTTATGAATTTAAAAATTTAATGACTATGGCAATGATAGGGAAAATTTTATAATTCATTAAATGCAATAATTTCGGTTTTAAAGTTTATTTTTCGGGTTGTTGTTAATAGTAAATATATTTTACGAAAATAACATTTTGTGTGTAAGTTATTAATTCATTGTTATATTAATATTTTTGAATAAATCGCACATTTTTAAACCATCAAAAACCAATAACCCATAAAAATTTTAATAAAATGCATATATAGAAAGAAATAAATAATAAAAAAATCTCTTATAAATTATTGATTATTAAACTGCTGTTATTATTGCAAATTGTATCACTAATTGCAATTGTATTGACCTCATCCGCAAACATAATTTTTCCAGCGAAACAACTATCGTATTCTTCCAATACCAGTGCCATTAAGCTATGCTAAATTATGTACCTACAATTCAATTATCATAATTGCTTTGTTTGTCTTGCAATGGATACTCTACTAATCCATTTTTCTGGTTTCTAACTCGTTCGCTCATTAGAAGGAAATCGAATAGCGAACGAATCGACCGCAGGAATGGCGATTGTTACAGTAAATGAAATAATTTCGGGGCGATTGACGGGCAAATTCGCGTACGCTACTGACGTTGTCCGGTGGTTGACCAAGGCCATCGAGTTAGTAGGGAGTCCTAACCGTCGGCGAAGCGCATTCTTGGCGTAGGCGATTACCTGAGACCTGTGAACCAGTCATTCAATAGCGGTCGTAAACTTTTTGAGAAACTGGTGCTAATCCATATGCCCGCTAAATTTTCATTCACGTCATACGCATAAACGTTGATTAATTGTCAGTGCGATTGCTCGCATTGCATTTCCATGCGAGTACGGCTTGAATCGGTGGAACACGCTGTAGAGTGAGCAACTTAATACCCATCAGAGGGCCGAAATTTTTGATCGACTTAAGAAAAGCTATCATTTATCTCGCTTTTTGTTTCGTCATTGACGTGTTTTTTATTCCCTTTGAGTTCCCTCCATTTCTCTCTTATAGACTTTCAGTAATTTATCTTCTGGTGTTCACGTGTCGCCCAATATCTTGTTAATTTATTACGAAAATCCTTTATTTGGGGCTGTTACCAACATGATGTTCCTGCGCCTTTTCCAAGATGATAGAGGAGCGCCAATGGTCGAACCTGCATAAGAGAGCGATTCACGATTCTGACAAAAGCCACTATTACTCGGCCTTTTGGTCTTTGATTTTTTTTTCTTCTGGTGCAGTGGATGTTCGGCATTCACTAATGCATACTTTACCTACTACAGGGTGATCCCACTGTCCATATTAACATTTATAAGCCCATTGTGTAGTTAATTTTGTAGCAGTTCACTAAGAAATTTTGGTTGATATAGGATCAATTTATATCCAATTATCCGCCCTGTACAGAATCTGATTTTCTGATCCGGTTGGGGAACTTTTCGACTTTTTTTAGGTACGTTTTATCGAAAATTTAAAAGTATAATGAGGGTGCATAATATATGTATAAAGGCATAATGAGGGTCCGTTTCGGAGATTTAAATTATCGTTTAACCTTATCCATGCGAATTTAAAAATTCGCGGAGATATTGTCTCTTAACTAGAGCGTTCGTGAGACAAAAAAATCGCTTTTGCATAACAAAACGTTTACACCCCCACAAAATTTAGCCTGTTCAATTAATCTAATTATTTTACATAATAGAATTTTAGGTAATTTCTTTATTTGCCGGTCGAAGATAATGCGCATTACAGCTTAGTGGCGATTTTTTAAATCATTATCTCCGTTCGTTCAACTTTGAAAATTTCAAGGTGAATGTTAGATATAAAAATTCAGATAAATAAACTGATTTTCGATACATTCAAATACAATCGACAGTGCGCGCATAAATCGTGACTACAATAATAGATTATAATTGACAGCTTGTTATACCGGCATGCTAACTAATCTGGCGGTAATGGAAAAAAATATTTAGCGTGCAAAGATTTTTACGGAAAAATTAAAACAAAAAATGTTAGGTTAGAGCTAATAATAAAAAAAATATTAAACAATTAATTGAAAGGTAAAATTCTTTAGAAAGCCGATAATAATTTATGATGCAAATATTTAACGTTCCATTTTTGTAAATTGTTGTGGTCTTATAAGAAGCCTTAGAAAGATCCTTTAGAACAAAAAACTTCGTCAACGGTACAGTTCATGACGCAGATTCTCTTAATATATTATTAATGTCAAAGGTGAAGCTTTCGAATATTTCACATCCGAGTTTGCTGAATTGTGAGGATAAATTTTTGAACACGATGAAGGCTTTTATTAACGCTGCCATCCTGTATACATTTTAAAAATATAGAGTAGTATTGATTAGAAGGCCGTCAAATAAAGTTCTGTATTTTCAAAGATTCAACATGTTTTATAATGGAAAAAAGGGAAAAAAGGTAAAAAAAGGTTTCCAGAGTTTCCAATCTATCCCCGCAGACCAAATAATGAACTTTATGTTACGAATATAAGGTTTTATGTGAAATCCGCGAGATAATATATTGAATCCCACTTTTATGGAATATTTTATTAGATTTTCTAAATTGAACTAGATTTATTACTGATCGTCAAATATTATGTCAATTTAAAATAATATTTTTTTTTTCTGTATACACCTTTACTAATTAATTATAAAATATGTTAATCGATAAAAGGATGCTCAAAATTTCCATTTTCTTCAAATAAAAAGTCCTTTTACAAGCTCGCCAAATTCATTAGGAACAAATTTATTTTTTAAACATATAAATGCCTGCCTGTTCTTAAACTTACCCCTTAAGGATATTTTTGAAATTTCCAAAAACATTGAATAGTTTTCTCGGTATTTGGGAAATAGGATATTGCATTGAAAGCTCTATCAAAAAAATATAGGTAGGTACGCACTTAAATAGGTATAAGTAACTAAGTATTTAAAATATTTTTTTAGAAATACGTGTAGATTTAAATTTTGAATATAAGAATTTAGAAGTGAAACGTTTCATATAGGTATTATACTTTATACCCGTCTAGATTTCGGATCGCCGGCGTCTATGAATGGAATGAAACTCGACTGGACACGGTACTGGCCCAACCGGTTATGCTAATACCAGTGGGTAACGTTCGATCTGATGCTGATGATACACAGTTTCTCCGTTTCGTTTGCGGGATCGAAATTTATATGTATTAAAACTACGCTAAGCCGCTATTAATTAACCCCCTTGACTACGACTTTCGTACGTACGAAACCGCGCTGGCCGTTTTCACGGGGGTCAGGAGGTTCTTGAAAATTATGATGCAATTTGTTAATCGCCCAATTAAGGTGAAACTATCGAACGTTTATATAACAACCCATTAATTTTCTACTATTATTTCAGCGCGTAGGCCGAGGAAGTATTGTGCTGCGCATTTTAAGGGTCTAATGGCTAATTTGTCAAAGGAAACTGTAATATAAATCCAAGAAGACAACCCGTAATGAATTATTGGCTTTACTTTACAGAAAATCTAATTAGAATTATACCTATGTCGTAGATGAATGGTTGGATTGTATCTAACGGTGTTTCTTATAATAAAATTTCCAATACGTAGTTCGTATTAGTTTATTTTCCGGGATAAAAATTCGCTCGTTTAGATTCATTGCATGGAACATGCATGTCACTGCTGTTGGAAACGTATCACGGCCATTTGCGTTTAGGCGAAACAAAATGAAAACGCGTCGGGCCAAATGAGGTGTCAGAAAAACAATCGTTCTATCACTATGTCCATCAAGCCGAATAGCATTAGCAGGGAATATTCAAATTGATCGAAAATCCTCCGCCAATGGTCTACCGTCGACCTCCGCTCGGCGAACCTCCCGCGCTCCGGCCATTGTACAACCGGTGGAATGCGGTCCGAGTCTTCGTTTGGGCCGTAAAACCAACGTGGCCCGATCCAGACCAAATGGCCACGAATTCCGATAGACGAGCGGCGGGGCTCCGATCTTCTTTAGCGGAAGAAAACGCCGCGCCATCGGAGAGCTACAGGCCGTTGGAAGAGGTGGTTTTTTGCCAGTTCCACTGTCACTATCGAACATTTTACCCGCTATAATTTAATAGATATTCCGTAAAGCGCACATTCATTCTACTAGTTCAGATTTACCTTTAAAATTCCAATAGCATAACTTCTAATTCAGCGTTTAAGTATCTAAGTAAGCATTAAATTCCCATAAATCAGCAATAAAAGTAGCATTAAGCTATGTATGAATTTCGCAATACATTTTGTTCGTACACGAAACAATTGCGTTTTTTTGATTCAGTTTTTTTATAACAATAATTTTTATTTAAACAATACAAATTATTCCAACATTGCTATTCTAGGAATACTATTTTTACCGCGATCAGGTACAGGACGAATATATCTGTGAGTCACATTAAATATTTAATTTGAAAAACCGCTAAAATTTGATATGCACATCAGATTTCAGCGACACAAAAATGTTGGTTTTCATATTTTTTTGTGTTCTTGATCAGATTCGAAATACGCGTGTACTATTTTGAAATAGTTAGTGACGTATTGTTTGTGGTTATTATTTACGTGAAACGCTTCATTAGCGTTGTGTCAATTCAACTGTCAGGCATTTTTGTATCATTTGAATCGTATACTATAGAGGTAGGTGCGTATATTCAAATTTGTATTTCATTTGTAAAATGTTTAAACTGAAAAATATGTAGGTACTTGCATTGAATAGGGAGTCGTAGGGTGGGCTTTGAAATACCTTGGAAATTTTCCTTTGCCTTTGGTTAAATGTACAAAGGCAGGTAGTGCGGTGACGTCACAGTTGGGTGTTAATAAGAGGGGTTGTTGAAGAAAAATAATAGAAGAATGGGATAATAAAATCCATTGGAATAAAGTTCAGTTCGTCTCGAGCTGTTGTAAATGTAGCACCGCGTAATTTTGCAAACCAGCACATACGAGAGTCTGTTAGTGGTAAAGACAGCAATTTGCTACATACAGCGAAATTATATTTTAATTTCGACTTGAGGTAGACGCGATCTCCACTACGCCGGTACTACCCAAATTACTGATAGTAATTCGTGGTGTGGTACTGGTGTAGAAAATCGCGCGATGTGATAATCCAAATAATACCTTGAGACGAGAAAGTTTGGCAACACAGTGGTACACAGGCTTGGCTTTTGAAACTGGTTTTACTAAACGACAAACTTCGAGAAGTGGCCGAGACAACCGAAGTTCGATGAGGAAAGCGAATCGTCCCACTTGCTAAAGAAGCAGCCGCCCGATCGGTTCTTCACGTGCGACAGAAGACAATGTTAACGATATATTTTTGAAGACTCGAGTGCGGGTATGTGCCGACGCGCCGAATCACGTGCTTCGAATAAATGTGCACAGAGGACTGTAGAATATGCCTTAAGATTGGTGTTTCTATCGTTAATTTTCCATGGAACTGATATTTTCTTTGGTTATCTAGCTGTATGAGTATTATAGACATCATAAAGCTAGGTTACCGGAGTTAAAACCAGTATCCATCCTGCGGCATATTCCTCGTGTCACCAACTCGGATATAGGTAAAAAAATAAGTTACAAATTTATTTTCACAATGTATTCGTAATCATATCGATGGAACGAATATGTTTATTAATTCTCATTAACAATTAGCAGTAAAAATATATTCGTAATTATTAATAGTAGCTTACTTAACACTCTAGATCCGGTTGATGTAAAGGTGTATTTGATAGTCAACCGTACTTGATCAGGATATCTGCATTTAAATTCTGCAAATTAAAAACCAAATTACAATCAGTATACAAAAAGATAATTGAATTTGACAACAAGTTCATAATGAAACAATAAAAAATATTACAGTACAGGCCTGATACGTTTATTTATTTCACAGCTATCAGACCACGTATCGGCATGCATAATCAGTTTAAAATTCATGAAGCACCAGCAGTCAGTCATAAAACGACCTTGTACTTCCTGTTCTTCTTCCTAAAATAATTCTGGCGAAACACACAATTTCGAATTTAGTTGGTTTTATGTTAAGGTTTATATCATTTCGCTTTCGATTTATTGTGTTTGCGACTTGTTTAATAAATTCAAGCAACGAATTTATTGTATATGTACATGTCGAGTCGGTTCGTGAACAAAATAAACATAACCAAAAGCGTAAAAAACAAATTAAAGAAGTTAAAAATCTCGATTTTTCACGGCGCTTTGGTTACCGAAGGTTGGATTGTTTCAATGAATGAAAAAAGTTTCGGTCGAACTAATAAAAGTACCAACCAAAGATTTGTTGAGAAACTGTTATTGCTAGGCTATCCAATTAAAATTTCCTCCAGCGCTGTATCGATTTTGAAACCAAAAAAGATGATCACATTTTCAAATGAAAATGAGGGGAAGGCTAAAATTCCTAATAAAATTTCTCCCAAAAATATAGCTAATCAACTTCACTATTTATGCTTGAACTATTTTCTATAATCTGCATAATCATGTAAGATACTCTACTTTATTAGAGAATAAAGGCACTAGTTTGATCCGATTTCATCGACTAGGAAAATTACTCGCCTAATAACAAACGCGGTTTCAACAAAAATCTATCCGATCGTGATACTTTCGAGTCGAACATTTTATATGCACATGCAAAATAAACTTTCTAAAATGATAATTTAAGTCAAATCTCTTGAGAGTAATACACGAATCTGCCCTTGAATATGTATACACTCGTGAAAAGATGCCGTACATTTTTTCGGCATTTTTTTTTGTAAACGTGATCAAGACTTCAACCAATTTATTGTTCCAGTATGATATATGACCTGCGTTGAAACTTGTTCTGAATTCTCAGACGGACCTGAGGAGGTAAAAAAAAAGAAGTGAACGTAATTAAAGGTCTTCAAAAGGGGGATTATTAAAAAATGTATTTTTAATAGGATTCGGTTTCAGCTGGTGAAAAGAGACCTTTTAAACGATTCCTGTTGTTTGGTACTTTCTTTCCGAGTTTTTTTATTAGCCTATTGTAATTAAAATAGATTTGTTAATGTAATGTTTAATTGAACCTAACAGGTGGCTCATACAGAGCTTCTGAATATAGCAGAAAGGAAAGTTGGCTGATATAAAAAAGACAATTTCACAAATATTAAAATAGAAACGAGGATACAACTTAAATTTTTGATTTTACTTTCAGCGAAAGAATTATACGATATTAGATTAACTTTTCCTTATGGAGAATTCAAACTCCTGTAAACATTCAATTTAATTTTGAAGGTTTATATTAGATTACAAAATATTGTATTCATACGAATTTTTTGTCGAAAGTGTATTTTATATTCGGTCACGTTCTGTATACGTTTAAACATAATATGTTTTTTGAGTAGCGCCTTTCTGGGAAAATGTAAATAGGTATAACAACAATATAGGCTGAAATTTGACAATAAAAGCAGGATATTTTAGTGATAAGTAATTTGATAGTTTTCTGAAAATTCTGAAAATTCTGAAATTGAATAACTTAACTGAAAACTACATTTAATTTATTTTTAAATAGAATTTATAAAATTTCACTTTAGGTAGGTAAACAAGTGTGACAAATAGACATTATTTTTATTGCAATTTCGTTACATTTTATGAACTGACTAACCGCTAATAGCTTGTAAAGGTAATATATCTCGCTTATTATTGACCATTTGTTCCACTACTAACCAACATTTCAACGTTTATGCCACTCAAATGTTAAATGTTACACAAAGAGCTTGGAATTCCGAGCCTTCCTTAACAACTGAACATATTTAACGTTTACAATCATTGTATACGTACATATTCAACTTCAATCGTTTGATTGTTTTATGCTTTGCTTCTCTGCATTGCTATTTTAACCGCAGTTCTCTGCCGATTGTTCCAAATAAATCTTCGCCCAATTTACCACTTTTAACGTTGCCGAAAACGTTCGACCACAATGCCAGGTCGAATTGGAGTAAAATAAACGCTCCGAACAATTTTAATTGCTCTATGTGCTTTGCGAGTTGATTAAAACCGAGTTACAAAAAAAAAACACGTTCCATCGATACAATTTTTTCTTCCGTCGATTGCCTCTAATTCTCGAGCAAACATGTATCGACCTATCGTATGATTTCCAGGGGATTACGAACATATGTATGTATATGGAAATAAATTACCTGTACATCTGATCCGGCTAGAATTAGCCGTGACTGTGAAATGGACATCATCGCTCGGCGAATCCGGTGCGCAGAAATCTCCAGAGTTGAAACTGATGTCACTATTTACAGTTATTCCTTTACATACCCTGTCGTTCGTTGTGTTACTTTTGTAAGCGCAGACTACGAGATCGCCATAATCGCTGTTTTTAAACTGAAACAAAATCGAGGGAATCATCTAGTGTCGGTATACAACAAAATCGAGGGAATTTTCTAATGTCGGTATATTAGTATCATAGCGAAAACGCCGGCTGATGATTTAACAAACTGCATGTTTCGTCTTGTACGGGATTATTATTCCCGACGAATGGCTGGATATGCAAATCGAATGTTCATGAATTAATCATGGAATTGAGACGAGGACGTTAAATCAGTGGGTTGTGTTTTGAGAGAATCGTTTAGAGGAATTTTCTTTGGAATATATGACGAAAACTGTTCCAGTTCAATACGAATTAATAAAAAAAGTATGCACTGTATGTACATGTGTTGACGTTATTTTTTTTAAATAAAATACCGTTTCACTGCACTTTCTCTCATTTGATTTTCAAATTAGACACCGATCGACATAGATAATAAATACTAATTAATCTTTGGAATATTATTGGAAAATTCGAACAAGTTGACATCCTACTCTTCGCAACGCCTCGCACGAACAAACAGCAGCACGAACTTTAAAAGTAGAATAGAAAAAGAATACAAGTGGAAAAAGATACGCGACGCCAAACAAAACCTTCCCCGACCTTTTCCCTTCGTGTGCACAACATGTTACCGGTTAAACAAACACCCTAAACATCCCACAAAATTTATTTATTGATCACCATCCCAAAATATTTGATACGCCGTTTGGTTCATAAATAAATTAGTACTTACATTCAAAAACTGCTTAAGTGTTCGGTAAATTATATTGGAAGTAGAAAGTATTTGTTAAATTCTATAGTAGGCTTTATAATATTAAAAGTGACGAGATTATTAACCGGTCAATGGCTTCTTATTATACACCTACACAACAAAGTCTTAAAAGACCCAGCACCCAGTCTGTATATGTAACAGCCTAACCTCAGGAATTACATTATATATTTTTTAGTCTGAAGGATGAATAGTAGATAACAAGAGTTTCTTTTTTGAATTCATCCAACCAAACAGCGTTTTTCCACAAGAAAAACAATCGAAAAAAAGAAATACAATAAACGTATATAAGGATTTCATCGCTTATCAGCGGGAGCTCCGGAGGAAAACGCGGATGCATGTCATTTTAAAATTGGCGGTTTCCTTTTTTTCCTTTACCAGACTTATGTAATTACCGGCGAGCGTGGAAACGCGAAAAAATGCGAAGACCTCGAAAAGCGGGAAAATGTGGTGAGTGGTGAGTGGTTAGCGGCAGGTACTCCCCACAAAAATTTCGCATTTTGCCTAAAAAGCATCGGTCGTTGAATAATGGAACGATATATTGGAGGAAAATTACTGGATGTGATTTTTTTAACAGTACCGTCTCACAATTTTTTCACGATTTTTTTTAGTTTCAAAATTGTGATGGAAGTACCTACTGAATTAAATATCTGCTATTTGAAGATTAATAAAATTAATTAAGTATCTTTAAATCCTTTAAGTAGATTAATAAATGATTATACAGGGTGTCTCGAACTTATGGCACTAAATTCTAGGGGTGGTAATTTGCATAATTTAAGATCAATTTGCAGATTTCATTTTTCTAAAAAAAATTTAACAAACAAAATAGAGCCGTTAGAAATAAATGCAAAGAGCGAATACAACACTGGTCGCAATAGTCAGCTAATCGGAATTTTAACTAAAAAAACAGATACACGGTGTATTTATCAACGAGCGCAAATTTCCCCCTCTGTCCTCCAGTTTTCGAAAAACGTTACCGATACCGATTGTTTTCTAGTGCGAATTGTATTGTTTTGTTTATAACATCGGGGTTAGATTTTTGTGATTAGACTTTAGTGAGAATTATTTGACAGTTTTAGTTCTTAGTGTTCTTCTCAGTTTAGTTAGTTCATGTTAGTGATATTCTGGAACAATTAATTGCAAAATTGGCAATACCACACGCGTTCAATGGGATTATTAATAAACAATCACGATGAACTTCGCTATTTTTCTACAACAAAATAGGTGAGCTAATATTCCTTTCGAGTTTATTTTGTTCTATTCGTACTTTTTAAAAATCCCGGTTTACTTTTAAAATTTATCCATGATTCTAAAAACTTAGATACTGTATGGAATAAATAAATAATAAACAAAATTCGAATAAGATATCACTCTTAACTTATAAATTATTATTTTGTCAATTCTAACCTATGCCGAATGTAATCTATCGCGCGGTGGAGGGCGGTTTCAACCGATGTACAGGACCGCATTTCTTTGAAATATTTTTAATATTTCAAATTTTGTTTATTATAAATTTTTTAGAAAAATGAAATGAAACTACCATACCCCTAGAATTTAGTGCCATAAGTTCGAGAACACCCTGTATCTTTTATAAATGGCACTGTAAAATATAAGTAGCAACTTATCAAATGAGTCTCAATAATTTATAATCACCTACAAACAGTTACATAGGTAAAGAGAAATTGGTAGATAGAAAGACACAAAGAAAATTAAATTTACTTCTACCGCAGAAAATCCTCGGACTCATTTATAACGCGACTAATCTCTATATGCCGTTCTCAAAGGTAAGAGTATGGGAGTCGAGGTTATCGAATTATCCGGCGGCTTTCTCTTAGGAAGTCGTTCGACGTTTCGCGAATATTCCGTACCTTTTTTTTTCTTGTCTCGTGTCGCTAGGAGGAAGCCATCCGCAAAACAATTTCATTTCAATATAACCGAATCGTAAACTCCCGGCTACAAATACATTATCGTCGGCCTTTTTCATTTTCCATCGCACTGAAAATTTATAGTACTTTCTCGTCCTAAGCGATCGAAAAAAAGCATTTACTTTGCGCATTAACGTTTTATGAGATTATGGAATGTTAATTAATAATATGCGTAATTTACCTCGGCGTTGACGACGCCCCTCCGAATGTACTCTTTGTTTATCTCGTACACGCTCTCGAGCTGGGGCGTTATGAAATCCTCGAAAACGACCGTGTCATTGCAGTAGAATTTGATAAGATTGGCGGGGATCCTGCTCAGCCGATCGGCGACTTGTTCTACCAAAGAAACAACATCGCTCGAACTTCTCATTGTCGAATCACCGTCCTGCAAAAGCTGCTGCAGCGAGTGTTCTCCAGTTTGCGTAACGTAGATCATCCGAGTGGCGGGATAGGTGGTTTTCAGGGAACGTATGAAGAGCCTGGATCTGGTTACGTCGTCGTCGGTTAATCGACCATCCTTGCTGAAGACAAGGATCACTTGACCTTCCGGTTTGAGTTGCCTGCCAGCGCAGTCGTTGTTGGTTTTGTCTTGATAGTAATCCATCAGCGTCTCCAGGGAGTCGGCGAGGGAGAGAAAGCCAGGCCCTTTAAAAAAATCGGTTACCTCAAATTGATATATCCTTGTGGAACGGAAATTATCAGTTATTTTTGAAAGCGCCGACAAGAAAATATTCTTATTACCTGTTAATTAAACGACTCGAAACTCTTTAAAGAACCGAGCAAATGTAATTATTATACAGTAATTTATCAAACGCTGTATAATCCGGCGCTCAAAGAAACTGGCTGGAAGGAATCGTAAATTGGTATACTAAACTTTCGTCATTTTATCTCGGGGGATGCGAACAAGGGATGACAAAGAAAAGTGGCCTACTTAATTTCGATAAAAATTAAAAAAAATCCTCATATTTTTTAACAGGTTTCTAAGTAACGTCGTATAATTAAGAATAAATTTCTTTGTTACCGGTCTAATAAACAAACAAATTAATCCCGAAATCCTGTTTTATCGGAAAACCTATTATACTTTTACGCGTGCAAATTTACTGTTTCTCATAAAAAAAATAACGACTTATTGAAGTTGCAAAATATTTCTTGCAAGAGGACAATAGTAGACAGTAAATTTATTTTAAGCGGAATACATACATTTATCATTTGGTTCATTGAGGTCCGTGAATATCTGGAACACTTCTCCCGTTACGTTAACCATCCAATTTCCTGATTGACCATTTATAATTCCTACCTTGCTGGCGTAATAAGACACCTGAATGGCTTCCGACAGCAAACTGGAAAAAAAAGTCACGTTGATACCCATGAAGGCAGGGTGGAGAGAATGTAAAAGAGATTCAGTTAATTACCTTTCATACACGTCCTAGAAATAATTACACTCTAATTAAGTTTTAAATAACTAAACTCGGAAATGATAGCTAATTACTGAAACCCACTTTTATTTTCACAGCATATAAGAAAATGGACATTTTCGTGGGTTGATTTAATTAAATTTCTAGTCGAGATATGAACAAAACTGACGTATTTTTCCTCTATTCGCAAACGAAATTTTCCCTTTTTGAAAATATTAACTCTATATACACAATAGTTTTATTCTCTTATCATGTGAGAAATTAAAACTTCTGCTAACTAGAAAAGTTAAAAATAACAACCCAACTTTAATTAAATAGATAGGTTAAGAAATGTATCTCTTCATATATGTGATAAAATGCTGGTTTCTATAAAGCGATAAAGTTTAATCCTTAGAGCATATTTTTTTGGTCAGAAAATTTCTCGGATTGGAAGGAATAAATGAAACGGAATATAAAAGTGGATGATTAATTTTCTCTTCGTGGTAAATCCCTTTTAGGAAACACTTGTTCCTTTACAGAGAGATACTTTAAAGCTGTGCTTGTGACAAAATTAAATTCGATAGCAGCCTCACTAATTGACAAGAAAGCCGTTTAACCCCAAAAAATGCTCCGGGATATTAATGACAATTTTTATGTCGTTCCTGAGAAGTTAAAGATACCTTTTATTCGTTGGGTTATAAAATATTAAAACAACGACGGATCGTTTTCGAAATAACGATGCTGTTTATCTTTATTCCCCTCGCACGGTAAGAAAAATGAAGCATTAAATTTTGAAGAGCTAGAAACTCGTATAAGAAAAAAATATACATGAAATCCGCTTAAATTGGTACATTTTTTTTCTTTTGTGATATTTACAAATAATAACGCAAATAATTCAGTAGAAAAATGTTTCAGATAAGCCCATTTCCGGAAATCAAATTCACATTTCAAAATAAAAATGCAATTTCTCGGCCAGCACAAATTTGTTTAAAATGCAATTTAAATATTCTCTTAACCATGTAACTCATCTTTTTCCATAATCACATCCGCCCACTATCGCTATCTTTAACTTTCCTAGTTCTAATTTAACTGATCCTTTTTCATTGAAATCTCCGGCACACGAAATTTAATTCGCATAAAATTTGATTTCGCTCGAACGAGCAAATTTCGTATTTACGAAGGTATATATAAGGAATTTTGAAACAAAGAGGCTTAGCGTGCATCCAAAAGAGGATTAGGGTCCAGTATTTTAACGAATATCCTCGGATAACGGCTTTCTCTGTTACGCAACAATTTGTATACGAGTTTTATAGGTAAAAGTACATGCTAAAAAATACGCACGTAAGAAAAATAAAGGATATATTTAATACCTCATAATAGGATTAGGATTTACATCAGATTGAATTTTTGTCGTTTTATTTTTGGAAATATACAGAGCGACTAAGCCCAACTCGTTTAGGCACGATTTTTTTGTGATTTATTTAATTTTATTCGTTAATTATAAAGGAGTATCCTAATATATTTTTTAACATATATTAAGATAGGTTATAGCGTGGGAGCCGGTAATTATTACCAGGCTAATGAAAAATAGCAAATCCGTTTAAGCCGAAGGAACGTATAATTAAAATAACATTTAGATTTATAATGCGACGGCCACCTCCAAATAAAGTCAGTTAAAATCCTTGTTAACCACATTAAATGAATTTAATTTATTTAACTACCAAATCCAATAAAGAAATTTGGGAATTCATCTCACTTAAAATCGTAAACAAATAAATTTAATACCAGAATTGCTGTAGGGCATGTTGAAAGTGTAAATTTCGGAATTTCCTATAAAATAACACCTATTTCAAAAAAAATTCATAAAGCAACTAAAAATCCGTAATACTTATTAATAGTTATGGTAAAATTTATTTTTTCGCGTAGGTGATTTTATTATTATTTAACGATGTGTCATACACCTCTTCACTTAATGATTCCGTCCTTCGAAATTGTTAGGTTCCTGTTCGGAATTACTATGAAAGGTTATTTGAATAAAAAAACTTACTAGATCATTTGCAGTGCCTTGTAGTAGTCGAAACTGTCGTCAAGAATAATAATTACTTCGAGGGAGGCTCTCATTTGCTTTCCATTTAAGTATTCTATACCATCGTACATCTTAGTTAATTTCTCTATAAAAAATTAATAATGGCTGTTAAATTTAGTAACGATAAATTCGTATCCTTTGAAAAATTAGGTTCAACAGTAAATAAGTTTTGTGTGTTGAATGAAAATCTGTTAAATGCTGTGAAAGTAAATTGTGATAAAGTAAAAAAATAGTTGGCCTAAAAATTCTACCAATATTTATAAAAAATAAAAATAAGCCAGCGAATAGTAATATTCTGAATAACAAATCACCGTATACTTGATATCTTCTTCAAGATTATTTTTCTTTAGTTCCGTAGTACTTTGGAAACTAATATGTATAATAGTTGTTGGTAAAAGAAGTTGAAACTGTAAATCAATTTGCATGTTGCAGTATGTATTCCTATTTTGTAGTCACGCTGCATTGCAAAGGTAATTTCGTGCTCGCTTTTTGTGTGAAGGTCGTATTACAGAAAATATTGTATTCCGCAGACGTACCATTCCTCAACGTGGTAACCGACATGAGTAGAACAAGAAAGGCTTGCTGCTCGTGACCTTTTTCGGTAATGCCGTTCAATCGCACATAAACAATTTCACAGGTATACGTAGTACATACGCCCAAGTGAAAATGATTTTCGACTATTTCAGAATTTGAATAGGCAGATTTCTATAAATTTCTTACCTGCGACAGTCTCGAACTGGCCGCTTAGCATTTTGGCGAATTCCTTAATAGCCTCGTCTGAAGGACTAACCTTGAAGCGCCCTATTGTTTGCAACAATTTAGCGGAGCCGATTATCTGAAAAGGTTTCAAAAAGATTAACTTATCCTGTCCTGAGCGTCACTCGCCGGACCTTCGGGGACGCTCGATGGGCCGTGTAATTTTTTCAACCTCAAGATTACGCCGATAAGAAATGTTAGGTACTTCGGGGATAACATTAGTCAGCAGAAATGCGCTGGAGTAGAAAATAGTAAGTATGTGAAAAAAGTGGCTTACCTGATCTTCCAAATTAATAGCACTAAGAAGAGATTCAAAACTGCTAGATCTATTGTTTGCCCGATAGTCGAATTGATAAGTAATGCCCCTTTCGGAGTAATACATGTCTAGTACTTGAGAGATTCGGGTGCTTTCCAAAATTCCCATCCAGCCTTTTATGTGAGTACCCAAAATCGCCCCTGGTGGAGAAGTTAATTCATATGTTAAGCGTGCCTTTCCTTTTGATGTAGTATTAGAAATAGAACGTTTAATAAATCTCGATGTTTCGTGTATATACGTCATGGGCATAAACTTTCATTAATTATACATCACTGCTTCACTTTAAAAGTTTAGTCGTAACTTTTGGGCCTCTAATATAAACAAGAACAGGGTTGATATGTACCTCAACTTAAATATTCGTAATTTAATATCATGTCGGTTATGGATGTGGATAAGGATCTCGTCTTTTTGCTTTTACATACATACATGCATATACAGCCGAGGGAATATTTTAAATTGAATTTAATTCAGTTATTTTTAGTTTGAATGTACAAAAAAGTTTACTTAGAAAAAAGTTATGTAAAATTTGTATGGTCCTTCTAAAACTCCGTTGAACATTTATTAGGTAAGACCGTTGTTGTGTACACAATAGCTCTGTAACTGTATGCTCAAGTATCAAATTAAATTTCCGTATAGTACTTTTCACAACAGTAAAATGTACGTAAATTCATTCAGTTAAAATCATAACTCAACAGTACATCATTTAAGCATGATTTCTTATTTAAATTGATGAGAACGAACGAAGTTTTCTAGTAGTTGTCTAGTAGTTTTCTAGTTCTACTGTAAATTCGATACATCGTTAAAAGTTCATAATTACCTCGGTACCTATGACTTCCTTTGACATTTTACCTTTAAGAAAGTAATGGTTGCGAAGTAATGTAACGTTAATTCTTTAAAAAATCGTACAACACGAAATTAGGTTCAATTAAATTTGAAATACTTCCTCGTCATCGCTCGAATAGGTACTCTAAAAGTATATATGTGCGCAGTAAAAGCAAAAAGTTCCCAACATAATTGCTCTCAAGTAGTATGACGTATACCATGTGCGGGTTTCCTTACGTTTGAACGCAAAGAGAAAAATATGTATCTGTCTCGTACCGTTATTTGATTTTTTTTGCTACGTGGAAATGTCTAAACATATAATATAGTTGTGTAGGAAGTATCAAGCAGTAAATTACCATCGATTCCTGCCAGTATGTCAGCCTCTGTCATATCCCACGTGCTCGTCTTTAAGTAATAAGCTCTCGGTAACAACGTGTCGTTCCAGAAGCCTTTATTTCCGATGAGCGGTGATCCCGTGGTTTGATTGAGTATCGCCCTCGCCAAATCACCGGCCATTGTTGCCACCCACACGATATTCGCTTCATTATTACCGATCGCGGACGCATCGACACTATTATGGTTTCCGTTTTGAATAGCCCTTAGAGCGCGCCCAAACGTCACGGAATTGTCCTGCAGACCGGCAGCGATTCCTGATATTAGGTGCGTCGCAGCTATCGGGCCCCATTTAGTTTTTATCACGCCTTTGGCCAGAGGACAGCGACTCAACGCGCCGAAATCGCCCATTTCGCTGAAACATTCCTCTCTGTCAATTAACGGCTATAGTACGGAAAGTAATTTATTAACCCTAATAATTGGTGCATCGGGTCGGTCCTCGGTGAAGTGGACATAGGAATGATTCGAGTGCGAGAAAGAAAGTGGATTTGACTATTGTAATGTCGCTCCAGAGGGAGAAAGATGGCATTATATACAGAACAAGTACTTGCGCTGTTCTCAAATTGTTCAGGACAGTTTTAGAATCATACAGTACTCTTTATCATTTTGAATCGTTTAGAACTGTCCAAAATCATTTAGAACCGATTAAGGACTATTTGGAACCTTTTTTTGAACTTTTAGAATGCTATAATTTGGAATGGTCTCATCTGAAAATTTTAGTAATTCATAGAAATATTCCTGAAAATCGTCAAGTTTAGTAAAATATTCTAATAAAATCATCAAATTTACTATTAAAATCTTTAATGTAAATTTGTATTTCCCAAACCTACATCGCCGCAGGCCGACCCGGTATGAGGAGTAAATCGCCCTGTTTTAATACATATTGCTTAAAACCTCGCGGAGAAAACGTAAAATGATTATATTTTCGATCGTTGGTAGGTACTCTTTCTTTGGCAGCCTTGGGAACCGGATTTCTTGTTATTTGTACTAAATTTGCAATTTCTAGTAAGATTATTTTTAAACCGACTCCGTTTGTAAGTCATTAACATGCATGTACTACGAAGACATAATTAACAGATATTCTACATACACATATGTATGTACCTACAAATTACATTCTGAGTATTCCTAAATATCGTATATCTCACAATATTCCGGCGAAATTTCAGCAATGAGTAGAACCGGAAATGCAATGTTTCTAGTTTTTTTTTGAAAATAAGATAGAGCTACTTACAGTGGCATACTTGATCGATCGTTGCACGTTAAACTTTCATCGCCTCTCTCAAAAGGATCAACTGTACTGGATATAATCGTATGGAGGAAGCACAATTCCGATAAACTGAGCGAGTTCCTGGGAAATAGATCAATTTGTCCTGGTATCAAATAATCTGCCAACAGTTTGTAATTGTAAAATTCATCACCCAGAGCTCTGAATGGGATGAAATCTTCGTTTTCTCTTTGAGTATTCCTCGTTCTGCGAATGCCGTTAAACAATACTCTAAAAAAATGTAATATTTAACGTAAACATCCTGTATAGAACAAACTCATCATAATAGCATAGTTATTCAAATTGTTCAAGATTTGAAAGATGTATTCAAAACAGATTTTGGGCGTGCACTTTCCTGAGTAGGCGGGTTTAGATTACAATTGAATCATTAATTTTCATAGAAATAATTTTTCATGCCTTTCAAGTACAGTCGATGACAAAATCATCCAGCTTATAAGCAATATATCTTTCAACTTTCTTGCCATAAACAATGTGTCCTAAAATCATCGTCTATTATTTAGCTATAAGTAGATTCATTATTTATTAACAATTGCAGATGTATTAATTTCATTAAGATGTAGTAATTAAATAATGAATTACCCGACTTGGTAAGAAGGAAGTTTGTAGTAAGCAATTTCTAATAATAAAAAATGCATTTATTTTTATTATCGATCGTTCTCACCCGTGTATTATGGAGGTTGCAAGTAATCTCGCACTAATAGCATTCCTCTCGTCTATTTCTATTTTTCTTAATAATTCGATTAGCAGATGGAGAGTCAACGGTGGTCTAGCGGTAATTTTAAAATCGCTCTTGTAGCAATCTTGTATGATCTCTGGTATAGCAGAAGAAGTCTGTGTTTCAACATGACGGATAATAATACTGACTGAAATAGAATTATGTTATCGTTATCCCACCGGTGCTTTGATTAAATAATAATTTTTTCAACTTACAGAGTACTATTAACAGTATTTTTAATAAGCACTTCATTCTTTATTCATTCATTATTAATTTTCTGGTCGAAATTTATTGATACACTTTACCCAGTTTAGCTTATCAACTGATTCATTGTTATCTTTTAATATTTACCGTGAAAGATAATAATCGTTAGATAGCACAATTTTTCTAGTAGTTCAAATAAAACGTAGGGTTTCCAAACCCAAAGTTTCCATTATTTTAACTTAGATTACCTACTTTGTTGAGCTTACTTTGTAGTCGATATAATTAACTTTTTCTATTAAAATTTCAGCAAAATAATTAATTACTCGCATATCGACTACAGTTTAACTAATTTTTGTCTCTCGCCTAAGGCAACAAACGAAATCGCTTGGTTATTACGCAAGTTACACGTTTTCTCATCTTATTCTATTTCAAATACACCTGTGTGTAGCATGTAACATAATTCAACGAAAACAAATTCACCTCTCGGCAATTCGAAGCGCGTCGGAGTGCTTTGAAGAAGAAAATCGGCATATTCTGCAACAGCAGTCATTAATTTGAAACAACGAGAAATGGTCTGATTCACACTGCTTAGTTTAACAATGTATTTTTCAGGTTTTCTTAGAATCAAATACATGATTTACAGATATTTTGAACCATTGAATTTGCAATTATGTTATACAGGGGATTCCTAAACATCGTGCACATCCGAAAGGTGGTGATTCTTTGGCTTATTTCATGACTAAAAGTTCAAGTAAACATATGTCCACAAATGCTTTGTTACTGATCTACATGGTCTTGAAATTTCAATTTTTTTTGTTTTTTGAGATATATTTTTAAGATATTTTTTAAGATATTTTGTAGATATTTTGATTACTACTTGACTCGAAGAAATTACTCTCTGTATTCAAACGTTCCGTACAATATATGTAAAAACACTAAATATTTACCATCATATTCCATTTTTTTTAATTAATTTTAAGGCATAACGTCATATTAAAGATTATACAGCTTCATTCGGTGTTATCCATTTAATTTTCAGGATTCCGTGTAGCTTTTGATTTATTTACATGCTTCTTGTTCGTTCCCTTCTCGAGCCTTTGATAATTTTTCTTCGCATGGAGGCATGACAAGTAATTTTCTGAGATCTCCGAAATTAGTTTTATAGGGTGTTTGTTGGATTAAAGTGTTGTGAGTGTAGGGACAAAATTGAGTTCCTGATCAATATGAAAAGAACTGGATTTTTTAAGGTTTTATTGAATAATAAGTATAAAATTCTGCGAAAATGATTAAAAATTATATACAAATTTAATTGAGCGCATATTTATTTATACGATATAAACGTAGGCGTTTAAAAATTAGGTAGATATGTTATTTAATATTATTTTAACCGATATTTGTATAGTTTATATAGTTTATTTTGAAAACATCTTAATTCTAAACTACAGAAAGACTACAGTTGTTTAAGTTCCTTTGCCAATTTTTTTACTAATTAAGCAAATTTATTGTTCAATTGGTGCTCCAGGTGTGACCCGAATAATGACAAAATCTTTGGTATAAATGGTAATTGCACTTCAACTCATTGGTAATGCTTTATAATCGTAACAAATAAACAATTATTGATGAAATAAGTAAAAAGTTCGCTGTGATACTGATAGAACCACTCGTGCATCTCACGTTTTCTAACGTTATTGTAAATTTTATGCTATCTGGAAATCGGCAGAAATAATCTGAAAAATACAAGTTTTATTATTTCATTACAAAACGAAGGTGAATAAAAAGAAAACAACATAAAATTAACTCCGAGGAATAAGATTATCCAACATCTGTTATCAAATACACCTCCACAAAACTCAGACGACAAGGAAATTACTATTGATTTTAATTTTCAGTTCAAGAGATACATCATTTTTCGATTAAAAATTCGCCAGAAAGCCCCTTCAACAGGGTCTTTGAAAAACCATTGAAAAGTTTTAAATAAAATTCCGCAACTTTGTGAATTAGAGATACATCCGTCATTTTGTTTGAAATTTATTCAAAATTACAATAAATTTACCTCTGCATCCGTACTGTGTAGTGTTTCCATAAATCGACAAGTAAATTGGAGAACATTCCGTAATGCTGCCTGTACAATAACTTGAAATATCAACAGAATCTATGTTCGTTTGCAACGTTTTGCAATTCGTGTTTTGATTATCGGGCCTGCTTTGATTTCTGGAAATGCAATAGGTTATGGAACCAGTAGATAATGCCTGTATTTTTAGGCTTCTTCCTCCATCTCCCTTAAAGAAATAATTCGGCGCAATTCTATAATAGTTGAACGTATGGAGATCGACGTATTGGGTTAAAGATACTGTGCTTGTTGTGCCTTTAAAACCGTAACCACAATTCGGGTTAACTATTGCTCTCGGTACTGAAATAATCGAATAGTTAATACGAATAGATGGTATTAGATAAATGTGTAACGTATTGTACTTACTTGTCTTGATTCTATCAATCACGTTTTGAGCAATAGGCTTCAAATCGTTTTCATTATTACTTTCAGATAACGTAATAAAATCTTTATTAGGATTCAATAGAACGCTTGAGTAGTCTGCAGGCGAACCATAACCTAATACCAATACTGTGGTATCTACAAAATTAATTTGTTAATAAAATACAAACATATATGAACTGAAACTAAAAGATAAAAATACTTCGTTGGAGAAAAATAGCAATAAAAACTGTTTCGTAAAACTGCAAAGTATGACCTTACCAGGTAAGAATTGTTTTATAATTTCCTTCCTTTGGTTCAAAAAGTTTTTCTCGTTTTCACTAGGAGCAGATTTTGTTACAAGCAAAGCTATCGTAGATTCACCACCCTTGTACGTATTATTATTTAATTTTGCCTTAATAGTTGATTCCATTACTTCATATACTCTTGAATAATCGAATTGTCCAGAAACTGCAAAAATAAATTGATAATTAGAGCGCATTATTTATTACGATAAATTACTCACACTTATCATGAACAGTAAGATTGTAGGCTTTATGGAAATCTATCAAATGGTTGGTATGGTTGGTAATGTTAACACCATTCGTTCCGCTGTATAAAGTGTATCTCGAGTTATATTTATTTACATCAATTCCATCTAAAATATGCCTAAAATACACCAAATTAATTAATAGGAAAGATTTTTAACAAACTAATAAATACTGACGAGATAATCGGCTGCACGCTACTATAACTTAAACTGTGGTCCAAGAAAATCAATAAATCGGTGGTTGTTCTTTCTATAGGAGAAGATTCCGTTTGTGGACAAGTTGGGTCATTAATTTGAGCTAAAATTCATCGAACTTAATTGCACTTTTCTGAATATTTATGTAATAAAATACTTACGCAGATAGCTGCTGAAGTTATTGACAGCAGCATCGACTAACTCATCGTATTTAGACTCAATCACGGTTACTGGATATTGACCGATCCTATCTAAAGTACCTATAACAGCGCCGACTTCTTCAGTAAGCCTTTCCCCAGTTATGTATTCCGAGTAAAGTATATTCCTATTGCACGCCCTGAGCGATGGATCAAATACGCCCCTTTGGGACGGCGAATAGTACATATCAATTATCTGTGACAGTTTAATGTCGTTGTATTTTTTATGGATAGTATCCAAACGTTTAGCTAACAGCAGGCCGTCCACTGATCCTCGTATGTCCTGATCGGTTAGGTCTGTATAAGTGTTTTTTTGCAAAAAGAAGTATTTCGGATTGATCGAGCTGTTCCAACCGCCAGATGTGCCAATGTGGAGGGGAACGTCTGCTTGCATCAATGCTGAATGCGCAAGATTACCTTAAATATAATTTGCATTGGTATTAATATGCTTCCAAAAGTCAGCTTGAGGCTTTCTTTACTAATACTATTCTTGCAAGTTGGGTTGCCTAACATTTGAAAATATTTAGAATAGATTTAGGATAACTGCAAGTAAGCTTACCAGCCAAAGTAGTTGCGTATCTATTATCGGCTCCTTTATCGTCCTGCTCCTGATTAAACGCTGCCGCTAGACCCCTAAGCACATCTCCAATGGTTACTGTTCCGTGGTTTGTGTACATGACACCCATCTGAACTGGGCAGTCGCTGTAGCTCTCCGATGGGCTTTTCATGAAGAATTTTCTAGGCGAAAGTTCTACCGTTTCCGTATCGCCATCTTCTCTATTACGCCTTCCTACTGATGCGTTCCTAGTGGTGCGATTCAACAATTCGGAGTCTCTTCTCATTCTCATCTGGTATTGAGCTGATCGTACGCACGTTGACGATTCATCGCCTCGTAATGTAGAATTGATGGTATTGGAGATCATGTAGTGGAAATAGCACTAAAACCATATCGTTGCAATCGAATGGTGAAAATTCATTTAAAAAAATACCAACCAAATCTGCTTGATCGAGATCGCCGTAATCCAGTTTTTGGGAAGAATTCGTTAAATATTCGTGCAAAAATACTGTTGTTTTGATAGCCTCATAGCCGTACGGAGAGAATGGTATTGCTATACTTAGGTCAGTAGGCCTTAAAGTAGATAGGATAATTCCACTTTGCTGCAATCTGTACAAATAATAAAAATCGTTACGAATTTCTCGAGTCCTTGAAGAATTAAATAAAGATAGCGATATAAAAAAGAAGGGGGGCATCAGAGGAAAATTTAAGGTAAAATAAAAAATACAGCATCGAGTTGCCAAAAAGCGCCTTATTGTTAAATACTTAAAATTGATATCAGTAATAAAAATATCCGATATCGATAAGTATATAGAGATAGCGTCTATTCCTTGAAAATATAAAGTCTCCGTGCAAATTGAAATATGTTACGGAGCTAATAACTTTACCTTATCTATTAAATAGCCGTTACCTTTGCAAGATTAATGCAGAGAAGTCTCTAATTGTTACGGTCGGATTGGCGTCTTCGAGTCGCCGCAGCAATTCAAGAAATACATTCAAATTCGTTGGCGGTCTGTTATTAGCGATAGTAATTCCGGGAATGGCTGACACATTGTAGCAAGGTATTAACAAAGGTTTAACTCCGTTTAATTGACAATTTATTTCAGCAGGAATCGCCAGTAGGGAAGCTAAGGCAAAAGCGTAAAATCGGAAATCCATTCTCTAGAAAAACAATAAACTTCTATTATTTTAGTGAAATGAAGTAAATGCAATTAGGACTTGGCAAATAAGTTTATCGTTAACGTCTGCTGTAGATATTGCCATTGGTTAGATTAGATAGACGAAAAATTTTATGCCCAGGGCAAAAAACTTTTTTCCTATCAATCAACCGAAAAATTAATATTTTGAAGCAGCAGATGGTTTTTATGCTACTACACCCGAGTAATAACACGAAGTGTGTCATTAAATATTCTTTAAAAAACTTGAAAACCGCAACGTTTTCCATAATGTACAATTTTATAACTATATAGGTTTCTCAAACATAATGAATAATAAAACAATTTCTTATGTTACAGAATAAAACTCTTGATAGCTATCCTTGCTTACTTCTTGTTTGAATAACATTTGAAAATCTCGAAGGTGTGTCACTCAAAAAAAACATTAACCTTTCACCTTTAACTCATTTCTTAGGCGACATTAAACAATTAAAACTCAATGCGAAATTCAAAATTCGTCAGCCAAATTATAACTGGATAAACAAAGTTTGTTCGGAAAACTTTTGTGAATTAGAAATTTAGCCTACTTTTATTTAATTTTATTAGTTAGGCGTGACCAACCTTTTTTTTTCACCAAGTTGTGACCAAGTTTTCATACGGGATCAACTTATAGATTAGCACAATTCTAATGTAATTTATGCACAGTAGAAATCGGGTATTTAGGTTACTTATATTCAAATATAAGAAAAAGATATTTTAAGGAACATACCTGATTAGTCTTCACGGTTCACTCAGTTTGTAATTTCTCTCGTTGTAGCTATACGATAAACGATGTAGATAAGATAAACCAGATATCTACTAATACACAGTTTACAGCGACTAAAGTCACTATCTAATCTAATATAAGGATATACAAACAGGTGGATTATTGTCAATATTACTCATTAACTGTTAAATATATGAAATATATATGGAATAATCACTGTAATAATATTACAATTCGGTAATAATATAAAAATATAGGTACGTAAACTGAGTTTGACTGCAAATTTGTATAGCATTATTTTCATTGATAATAATTTTTGTCCTAAGTTCACTAATGTGTTCAAGTTTTCCTATAAAATCAAGAGAATTTAATCCATTAATTCCTTTGCATGTATTCGTTAGTAGGATTTTATTGAAAATAACCAAAATTTACTAACTAAATGATAGTCGTGTTAATAACTTTACTTCTATATTAACTCTCTACATTGAAGAATGTATTTACAACAAAATAAATATCTAAAGACTACTTATCACATCTTACGCTCTGGGTATCTTTTGGATGTTGCTGTATTTCGAATCATCTTTTGGTTTTTTTGCTTCGCTAACTTTATTGTCCTCTTCAGGCGCGGGATCTTCGTCTAGGGTCACCTTCTCGATCTCCGATATTCTGATGCGTTCCGGGTATACAGTTTTAATTTCACCATCATCGTCGGCTTCGTCCTGTATGGAACGAGCAAAAGTTATTCGGCCGTGTTTCTGTGCATAAAACTCGAAGGCCGCGGCCAAATCGGGGTTGATTTCTTCGAGCGGCGTTTCACCGGGCCTGATGTAGACTGGTATGTACCCCGGACCTCCGGTTAAATATTGCATTGACGGTGATTTAGCCAAAGCTGGTGCACTTTCTAAAGCAAATCGATTAAAATTTATTGTAAATGTGTGCAGTCTACCGGAAGGAATATTATAATAATTATTCGATTAATGTGGTAATTTGGATATTAATAACAAATTGAATGCTTTTTAGTGTCCTTGATATTAACTTTGAATGGCAATGTATGCATAAGGTTATTACGATGTTTAGTAATCGTACAAGTTTGCATCTTATATATTAATCTAGATGTTAGTAAAATAACTGGTATATTAAGCAATTACTACTTCATATGTAAATAAAAAAATACTTATTATGAACTAAAATTTGCTTTAATAGTTTGCTTCAACAATTTTGATCCTACCTCGAAAGAAGTAACCACATGTTCCCTTAAAGTCATTCTATCTCTTTTCACTACATTAAAACTAAATTAGATTAGTTAAATTCTACACACCGGCCAATTCAATACAGATGAGAGAGACGGAGAACATCGCCAATATTCGAGCGAACATCTTTGGTTAGTTTTTAAAATGGAATCGACAAACGCTGCGAGAATCGCTGAGTGACTGGCCATTGACTTTCGGAATACCTTTTATATGCGTTCCATCTTGGGTTTGTAGGTATGCCAGCTTTCGATGTGCGATGATCGGTCGGTGTGTATCGCAAACGGGCAATTTTTCAGAAAATTACAATCCACTGAACCTACTTTTTTTACCTCTGAGCTACACAGCGACCACAATTTACAAATGCCATTAGCATATTTTAATTTTGGCTCAATTTAGGAAATATCCGGAATATTCATGTTTGAAATGAAATAAATAACTAACTCGAAATTGTGTTATTCTACTGCCCCACAAAAGTTAAGGAAGTTTGCAAATTTTGTGATTATTTTAAAAGTTACAGACTTTTTGATCATCAAATTTTCAAATATGCGAAATTAAATGTCTTCTCTCATACCTGAGTGGATTTTTTGTCCCTACCTCTACAATTCATACAAAATTTGGCGATAAAAAAACCTGCAACTTTTAAATTAATCTCAATATTTGTAAACTTCCTTAATTTTTGTGGAGCAGTATATACACACCTACGGACACGGTGGGGAATGGAAAATATTATCATTTCGAGGAATTTCGTCCTGGAAATGTAGATAGCATTTAACGCCCCTAAATAGTCCAATGGTGTTAGTTGATTTTACTAGAATTTCCTGATTTTATAAAATTGTTCGATTCCGAACGGGAATTGTTTGAAACCTTTTGATTCCGTTAGCTCAGTAAATTGAAATTGAAAATTTAATGTCAGTCATCCATGGGGTTTGACCTTGAACCCATTCGAATTGCATTTTTGTTTGTGATATTGCAACCTCAAATATATATAAAAAAAACAATTGAATTTATCACATTGGATATTTTTCACACAAAATTGTTTTTGAATACACCTCAAGTTCTTTGAATTTCACGGAACAACATAAAATCATTTTGCAAGTAACTCATTATTTGTAGCCGGGCTTTTTCTGTAGATTTCGTCGCAAACCATAAATTCGCCCGAGGACGTTCTCTCTGCGAACGCAATAACATTTTCGGGGGTTCAGTGGATTTTAACCCTGTTACTTTGGGGAAAAAAACCAGATGAGAATGGAAATGGGATAAAGCGAAAACGTAGCTACAGGGTGTTCATTTATATTTTAACCGAATTAATTTTGTGTAACTAAGAAAACTCGAAAGTTTAAAAATATCCGCTAATCCAAGTGTACATATATTTTTCTCCTTGATTTTTATCTTATTGTTAGTATTTTTCATCAATTAATGTAATATGCCGATAATTAGCAGGATTTTATATCCCATTGTTTCGAAATTACGCGTTCACTAAAAATCACAAAAAAAACCTATTCTATTGTAATTATAAACTTTCCCGGTATATGTGATTAAATAATTTGATAATTTTTGCATGTAAGTATCTACTAGGTGAATATGAATGATTAAGCATTTTTGGGAAGATAACAACAAATGTAAAAGATATAATCGTACCTACACTTCTTTATTCTGGGATTCCTCTACTTAACTTGTCTTTTACAACTTTAGTTAAAATTTTATCCTTTTCGATTAGCTAGTAAATTAATATTGACTGTCTCGTTAATGAAAACGTTTAGTTTAATGACATTATTGCTTCCTGGTTCTATTAGAATTCGGTTGTTTCATCTTAATATCGGCGTCTCTAATGTCGTTACGTCTATTAAACATTACCTTATCCATTGCTTTAATGCATTACGATGTTATTTGAGCTTTTAAATTGTTAGAGGTGTTCACGTGCAGTTATTCGTTGTTAAATTTAGTTAGCTGGAAATTAATGGGCTCCTGGGAACCAACGGCACTTTTAAAAAATATCAAATTATCTGTACCTACATATAGGTACTTTCATCTGCACGCAAAGGAAGTTAAATAAAACAAATTTGGCAATTAATTAATCAGTATCAAAAATGTATTTGCAAGAAGAGCGTTTATTTGGTTACGATGGAAGTCTGAAATGTATCAAACACTGTTTGTGCTGAATTTGGATTTAGGCCCAAGAGAAAATCAATTTTCCGTAGAATCTGTAGTCAAAGCTTAACCGAAAATCGGTTATTCCAAACGTACAACTGAACCGTAAAAGTAATTTTCGATTCTTCAATAGATGCAAACTCCCGTAATATCCTTAATGTTGTTAACATCAATTTTCGGAATTAAGGTTTAAAATCTAGCCTTGTTTAATGTAGTGAACCCGCGTCTCTCTTGACAGCTCGCCCACCTTTTCCTATCCGATGGATCCACCTTTTTTTTGAATCATTGATTTCTGACAGCTTCCTGTACCTACAGCGATTGCAATTTTCATCCCGTAAATTTAAAATCCAGATCCAATAAGTTAGAGATTTTTCATCTTTTCCCGCTATCAATGAATAGATGGAAGTGTGCTCGTCCTAAATTGGCCCAGTGTGCGAAAAGAAATGCTCAAAATTACCCTGAGCGTTGTTGAAAAAAAGAAAAAGAAAACGTACATATATTTTTGTTTCTTTTGGTTAGAATTAAGATGCAGATGAATGTTAGAATTCAAAAGGTCATAGGTTGTTAAACGGCAAAGCAAAGGTAAATAATTAACTCTTTATGCACATCATTTCCTTTTGCATTAAGAAAATTATTATCTCCGAGTACATTTCAGCCAGAATATTCGCTCGAAATTAAATTTAATCCGAATTGTTTGTGTATATGACAGTTGAAGATAATAATGGGCTTTGATGTAAGTGGAATTTTCTCCATTTTGATGGAGTACACTTAATCCGTCGTGTTCTCCAGACAAAACCTTCCTATTGGGATTGTTGTGTACATTTTTTGTTGTTGAATTTGAATACCTACGAGTCTGCTTCGTACAATTCGTCAATAACATCTGTATTCTGTAATTATCTATTTTTTCATCATGAATATTAGTCACTATGAGTGTTTTTTTTACAGAAACACGATAATCGTGATGAAGAGCGATAATGATTTTTTGTATAAAGGTTTCTACTAAATCTGTTCTGATTCATAGGGGCACCTTGTATATTCAAAACCGGAGATGAAGCTCGCCTCAAGGTAAAATGTTAAGGTAATTATGTTTGTTTTTATTTTGATATTTCTTCTGGAATAGAACGCAAAATATTCCATACACAGATATCCATCCTATTTATAGCAACTGAAACAATGGTTACTGATTGAAAGCGTACTAAAGAGAGTATACTCTCCAATACAATACTACCCAATTACAAGTTTCTATCTAATAGGGCCGTGTATTAATAGACATGAACCGAGAAAATTTGGCTATTATAGTATGGAAATACATGGGCTGAAGTAATGTAATCGATATGGGTGTAACGTGAAATTAAGAGGCGTACAGGAAACTTAACAAAACGAAGATAATTAAATAAACATAGGCGTTCCAAATGGTCTAGTCGTTATCATTAATTTACGCGAATATAGCCTAGAGAACGGGGTTAATCTTCACATTTTATAACTTATGGTTTTTACATAGATACCTATAAAGATAATTTCATATTTATATTAATAAATCATTCAATCTACAAATCGCATCCGTATAGCAATACGTAATTCCCATTAGTAATTACCTTTGGGATTATCCGACTATACATACATACATACATATGTATGTTGCAAGTTGCCAAGCAAAACAAAATTATTATTCAGTCAAAAGCAGGAGAATTAAGTTTTTATCTACACGATTATTATAAGTAATTATCAAATCCAAGATTATTGCTACAAACTGGTTTTGGTTGCTGCGGTCTCGTCATCTCGCAGTCATCTCAAAAGATTTTACCCAGACACTTTAATTCACGTATGTGCCATGGATACCAAAATATTATTAGCAATTAATTTATGTATTACTGGTAAGTACTATTTATTTCAATTAATTTCCGTTCATTGAATGGACTTTGATCTATTTTTATTATGTAATAGGTTGTTATGTATTATTCCGTAAATAAACATAAGCAACGAGTGAAAAGACAGTTTATTAAGCGAATTCTGTGCAAATGTGTATTACAGCTAAAATCCTGCAACAAAACCGACTTTATATTAAAAAGTCCTGTGATGTCTCCACACCTTAAGGTGAAAATAAATTTTACTGCGTTATTTGCTTCCTGGAGGCCAGGTCGAACTGAATAAACATTACCAGGTAAACGGTTACAGCTCCAACAATCTGCAACAAAATCGATGATTATTTACCCGATTCATCCTACTCATTTTATTTTCGATTAATTTACTGCCTAATAACTACAAATCCGAAATGCTATACATCGAGTTTTACTAATTTTAATTGAATTCAATTAGCGTTTTCGACGAAAAATGTTTTTCATTTAATAAATTGGGGGATCGATCCCTACCATTAACAGTAATGCACAATTGATGCTGAAAAATCCACACGCCGTAATATCGAATTGCTTGTGCATTATGTGGAGAGAGAATAAATTGATCTGCAAAACAAAAGAACATGTTATTAAGAATGTACTCACCGAAAACACATGAGTAATTTAGTAGAATTTTATTATCTGATGATGGAGATATTTCTATAATAAATAATCCCTCATGTAGGATGAAATATTGTTCAATAAATCAATATAACAATAAATATACATTTTTTGAATTACATACTTACTCTTTGCATTAATGTTCTAGCGTTTCTGTTTATTGGTATTCGGTAAATTATTTTTCCTGTTTGTTTGGATTCTGAAATGGTGAGTTGGCAAACGATTGCAATAGCTAGTAATTGTCCACCTGGATGTATTAGAGACATTAAAGGCACCAGTAAAGTGCTCAATGAATTGGGTTTAATGTAATTGCCGTTGATGTAATAACCGAAAAAGCAAAAATATAGCGAACTAAAAATCGATATAAATTGATTGGCTATAATAAGAAGCAACGAAAACGAATGCACATAGTTGATTTCTTCTCCTATCCTCAATATTTCGCTGTATATTTCTTTAAAATTTTCTAAAGCATCAATTTTATACCGTTCCTTTGGTAAATTTAATGAAATCACATATCTTTCTTCGGATAAATGCAATATGTTGCTATTCAAGGTACAGAGCTGCTTGTAGACGATACTCATGTGAGATATGAAACGGGCTAAATTCACATCGAAAATTTTCGTTATGGTATACATCAAATACCAGGACCCTAAGCATTCCGCTAAGTTACTCGGGCAAGTAATAACGTAACTTATTAAAAAATAAATCCAAGAGTTTAATAAATAAATTATTTCGGCGTAGGCGAATTTTTTAATCCCTTTGTAGCTGATCGATTTCGGGTACTTTTTCAATTTGTCGTTGACTTCGCATAAATCTTTCATTACCGTTAATATGCGATTTTCGAATAAGAAGCTCGTAAAAATACTCGACACTGTTGCGGCAATGCTGGATAATCCATTCAAAATATCTCCAGCTTGTATAACGACGTTCTTCGACGGATCTAATTCATATGAAAAATTATAGAAAGAAAGATGCAGAGCTATAGAAACTGTAGCAAACCAATAAACAAATTTTCCTACATTTCTTTTTCGCGAAGGAATTTTAGTTGAAGCGATTGCCTTGGTGGAACTAAAACACAAACCGAACATTTGACAGAATACCCATACGGGCAGAGTCGCTTTTACCACATCATCGTCTTGCGACATTTTTATTACAACTAACAAACAACAAAACAGCGTTTAAATGACAAGATAATTGATTTTGAATAATTTATTTCCCTTAACTATTAATCAAAGAACACACGTCTAACGCGTTTTAGTTGACACACGTTCCAACAGCGCTTTAATATAATTTGTTTTTTATGTTGTAGTTTTACCATGCTATTGTGCCGTAACGACAATTTTACCCAACGGAGATATCTTGGAAATCGAACGCCTGGGTTCACCAAGCTACGGGAATTTACCGAGGTTTCCGCAAAATAACAGACAACCTGTTACTATAGAAGTTATCGTTCCAGAGCGCCAAAATCAAAATTACCACAATTATTACAATTACAATCAGCAATTTATGCAGAATCGCCCGAATGTTTACAATCCATACTGGAACCAATTTAATCGACCTCAAGCCCGACCCCAACCTCAACCAAAACCTCAGAGGTATCCTCAATACGGTAAACCTCAGAACGAATTTCAGATTGGTGACAAGCATTATATTGTTAACAAACAACATGCAAATAATCCGAACATTGAAGTATACACAGTTGATCTTGTAAACCCAGTTACAAATATGGGAAAAAATGACGACGAAAAAATTAATGGAAAATACGAAGATGAAGAAAATAATAATAACAATGCCGATAATAATGAAGATAACAAAAAGGATAAAATTGATCACTACATTGACAACTTCCCTGTTGTTTTATTAAATGAAAACGAAATTAGACGTTAGGTATTTTTGTATACAATAGTAATAGTTATGATAATATACTATAATTACCACATTAGTAATTGTTTTTTATAAACAAAATTAATTACCTTATCTGGAAATTCCTGAAGAATTGTACTAAGAACTTGATCCAAAAATTTTATTATACAACGTATATATTCATATTTTATTTCGAATCAAGGTGAAATGAGATCATCCACAATGAGAAATGTTTAAAAAATTGTTTACGAAAAGTACTGGCTTATTACAGAATTAGTAAACAAATATTTCAGCTATAATCTGTACACTGAAAAACATTCTTCCTACTTACAATTAATAGTTTTTGCCACATTCACAGTATTAACAGTAATTAAAAGCAAGGGGATTACACGAATCGATAAATGGATGCATTTTCATGTAGTTGTTGCTAGCCAAAAGTGACCAAAAATCTTTATATAGAAACTGATTTTATTGAAATTATGGTATGTTGAGAGGCACAATACAATGGAAAAAATACTTGCATAATATTGCAAAAATGCTTAATAGGCATACATAAAATTTCTGTACATACTAAAGTATTTAAAATTTAAGATATCAGTAAAATATGTACATATGTATGTAAATATGATATATTCTCAAACAATTTTACCCTTCAAAACGTTGCCAATTCCAGGAAAATATTTTTAGAAGAAGCAAATTATGTACAATGAAAACTTTAGCAGTTTACATACCATTCAGTAACGACTGAAAGGAATAATATTTCTTTAATCTATAATCCTCTGCCTACATCTTTTCTGCTACCTCTATATCTTATCCCACGCAATTCGTATGCGTGGGACAATACACTAACATTTTGCAAAACAGCCATAATATCACTCGTATTTATTATACGGCAAAATTGGCATAATTTCCCTTCGCATCTCCTGTGCTAATAATATTAATTATATCGTCCAAAAATCGTGATAAAATGAATAAGTTCGAATGATCCACGCGCAGGCCTTGCTTGCTGATGCGACCTTAAGAGACCAGATGAACTTGACACGACAGATAAATGTCAGTGCATTTCGTTTGTGCATTTTTCACCACCGCACGCACGCACTCGAACGCATTCGTACCGATTGCGAATTTCGAAAATTATTGAAAAATAAAAGTTCGGACGGAATCGTCCTCCTTCGTATTAAAAAAAAAGTAGCGTTGGATAAAACGCTCGTTAAAGGTGATTTTGCTCACAAGCGATGCGAGATTCTCGAAGGATGTTGCAACTTTGTATTGTTTTATTTTCGTACGTAGCATGCGGCCTAGCAGGATATCCAGGTGAGTTAACAACAATTAATGTTAGCCCATTATTAAGCTTCTATTAAAGACATTTAAAATTAATTCCAGGTATTATTTAATATTCGCGCTGTTTTCGACGCTCGTTTGTTTATTATCCTGCGAATAAAACGTGCTAGAACAATTTTACAAACCGAACTGAAATTTTCAATTTTTTCGCATTATGATCGATAAAGTAATCGGCTTAATAACAGGATGTAATTTCGCTAAGAATTTAAGAATGGTAATTTCATTTAAATTATGTCTATTTAATTGAAGTAACCACACGTAAAACTGTATATGTGCATCAGAAGTTCATTATAAACAATCATATATTAATGATAACGGTTTGATAATCTCCGGTTTGTTTATGCTTTATTAAATAATTGAAGGTCGAGCTAAAATACATTTTCAAAATAATTACTCGACTCAATCAGTGGGTAATTACTGCCGCTGAGGAAGCTTAATTAATTAAATGTCTTAAACAGAAGAAAATTCTAGTTTCAAAGGCCACTTTGAATATCCTATTATAGTGAAGTTAACAAGTATATCCAATTATTTTGCAACATTAAGTAGGTGTATCTACATGAACACCAAAAAAACAAAAAACTTCTTGATGTTTTACTAATAGAATAATATTACAAAATTGCCGATAGCTTTGACGAAGTTAATAAGGTAATTTATTTTGAAATTCCTCGTACATCTCGTGTTTCGATTTGCATAAATTTATATCTAACGTACAAATTCCGAATTAAAATTTCGAGGATCTAAAATCCATTAATAAAAATGACATGTGGTAGAAAATTTTACAGATAAGCCCGCCGTAAACCCAAATCCTCTCTTTTGTGTGCTCGTCTTCATCCTCATATGTTGTAAATTCGTGAAACGGTAACGAATTCCAAATAAATAGTTTCGAAGTTCGGGCGATACAAACCGAGAAAGTCCATTAATGAGACGGAAAACCGACGGGCTTTGAACTAAAACAAATCTACGATACCGGTGTAGAATTAACAATGATCCTTGCAAATTAATTTCTAGAGAATACAAAAGGGGTCGCCGAATAAATTTTCATTATTACAAAAGACAAAAGTTAAACTTGCGGCGACAAAAAGAAAAGTGTTCTCGCGACGGGAGTGAACTCCAAATTAAATTATATTTCAAAGCATCAAACTTTATCATAATTCTCTGAAATGAAGCCCGACATTTTTTCAACTTTTGCCTTGATTAATTTTTTCATCGAACTGATTGTTTGATCGATTTTAATAGTAATAGATATATTCAAAAACGTATCTAATCACTTAAGTGCATATTTGTACAATTTTATAATATGTAAATATCCCTACTCTATAAATAATTTCAATATAAATTCAAACAATGTTCGTAATAAATCATATTTGAAATACATAATGATGGTTTTTAAAAATCATCCAACCATAGTATGTGTATGTACGTTTGCTTTGATTTTAGCTACAGATTCCTCATCCGGAAATGACTTAGGCAGTAATAGTGGATACGGATATGGATATTCCGGTAGTTTTTCAGGTTCCGCCCCGCCGGAAAATTTTAAAATCCCGTTTTTCGATTTCAGCAATTTCGTAAAAAGCTTTCAGAAATTTCAGGAAGAGTTGCAAAATACGTAAGTCCACCAAACCTCACGATGATCTCACATTCTAACATCCAATCTAATATATTACAGTTTACACCTTCTTATTTCACTATTCTAATTCGCATGTTTTTTATTTCATAGGTGCGAGGAAATGAAAATACGGTGTTGGTTTATCACGAATCTATCTCTCGAAGTTTATATAAATTTTATATGTTTTATTATTAATATTACGACAGCACACTTCCATATTTACTGTTTTTAAGATCAATTTATTACCCTTAGTGAATAGGAGGGTTCATAAAAACTTAGTCAAGTAATTAAGAGTTGCGAACTTCACTAACACATGACTTACCGTGGCATCAAAGAATTGATCTTTCCAGAACTTTGAGCCACTAACAGGGCTTTCGCGATGATGAACTTCGTTCCCACGGGAATAGCCGGGTTGACTTGTTTGAGTGAAATTTCAATAAATCCAGTCGGGATCAACTGAAGAAATTGCATGTTCTTTTTTAATTTTCTGATGTATGTTTATAGTGAGCTTGAATTTACTTGAAGTCTCTTTTTAAAGGTTTAGGTGGTGGTCACTCTTTCGCCTATTCTCATGCATCATCAAAACCCGGTAGTAGAGCCTATGCTTCCTCTTACATAATAATCCCGGTTAGACGGTACGTAAAATGTTTAGATCGATCTAATTTTATTAATATATGTATTTTATAAAAATTAACTCCTTTATCGCAATATCTTATTTATTTAGCATCGTAAATCAGGCTCATGTGGGTCAACATTTCGCTAACTCGGGAGGAAGTGGAGGTGGTGCAGCAGGAGGATACGGAGGAGGGTTTTCCAGCGGTTATGCGGGTGGAGCAGGAGGCTATGGAGGATCATTTTCAAGCGGTTATCCAGGCGCAACAGGAGGATATGGAGGATCGTTTTCAGGCAGTTTTCCAAATGCTGGAGATTTTCAATTTATTCCAGCTTCTGGAATTAAAGGCACTTTCAACCCCGGCCTAGATAATGCGGCCCATGCTTACGGTTCCGTTGGTCCTGATGGAGTGCGCCAAAGTGCCGCAGTTTATCCAGAAAATCCAGTAAATAGTTATACAATTCAAATAACAAACTGGGTAATTTATTGATGGATTTGTCTTTTAGAATTCACCTAACGTGAACGTGTATCATGGAACAACTAATACTGATCCGAATGGGTATATGAAAAGCGTATACAGCTCGAGTTCCAGCGTAAGCAAAACCGTTGATGGAAAAACTCAAACCTACAAGCATGCTATAACTTCAGTAAATGATAACGGGAAAGTTACTACTTATGAAGCGAAGTCGCCGTAAGAAAATCAAACTGATATTAAAAAAGTATATTGTACTTTTTGTTGATGGATTATTTGTTTTGTGTTTATGTATTTACAATTTTTGCATGTTTCGATTAAATAAATACGTATTGAAATACTCGGATGGTCATTAAAAACATCTTAATTGGGAATTCGGTTCGAAATTTATTTTCGTAGCAAAATACAAAAGCATCTATTGTTCCTTATTTCAATAAAAAATGTAATTATAAAAGCAATTTCAAACCCACGCCAAATTTATGTTTTTATTTTAATATCTTGATAGCGCAAATTATAATTTTTTCTCTGAAGTTCAAATGAATCACTGTAACTCACATTACATAAGTGAGTAAATTGCAGACCTATCATAATTAACTTTTATTTAAAAAAAATATCAATCATTACATTTAGCTATCTATTCAAGAGGTGCCAGCTTGTCGTTAATTTGTGTTCCAGGATCATTGTAAGATTTTCTTCTATTTGCCGAATAAACTTCGCTCCTACTATTTCTATTTATGTACCAATGAGGATCAGTTCTCCCATTTTCGTCTTCACAATAACATTTAACACCTCTACGTGATTCGGGCATAGCGCCGCGCTGGTTGAATTGGTTTCGCCATTGAGATACCCTCCAATTAGGTCTCATTACCTTAAATTCTACTGGATTCACTGCCGAAACGTGTTTCGGATAGAACGCCTGTTGGGGTGGTGGTGTTTCACTGTAATGATGGCTATGCAATGATGGATCGAAATATGGTATCGTCATTTCGGTCAAGCCGTTCGGTTGAAATCTATTGATTAACATATCCTGGACAAAGTCCATGGTGATTGGCGGTGAAGATTTGATATCTATGGTGACTTCAGGATTGGGATTTAATGCGTTTTCGTAAGGAGAGGTCGAGCCGAATTTTCTATTGGGAGTGTAGGTGTAGAATGGTCTGCTGGTACTGTATACATTCGAACCGGTATTTTGATAATAATTAGTGTTGCTTTTATCAGTGCCTATTACTACAGGAATATCTGGTACATCATCGACTACTTTAGTTTTTTCCGAATTCAAATCTAATTTAGTTTCTATGTGTACCACTACATCTGTCTTGATAGAATCCGACGAGGTTTTCGTAGTATTACATCCCTCATTAACGCATACAATGCCTATGTTATCGAAACCATCGCTTTGCTTATTATGAACCCCGCTCGAAGAATCTTCGATCGGTATAAATGAGGTATGTACGATGCCATCTTTGATAATCGAAGAATGCGAGGTTCGTCGATTCCCGAAATCCAATTTATCGTCTACACCAATCGCATTACCTGGAAATAAATTAAACTTATTAATACACTTCATTTGTGCAATATTAGGAACTCCAACTCCTGTAGGTAGTTGCTCGATTGTTATCAGTCAGTTTATGATAGATGTTCACTGTTTATGACAGGCGAATTATTCGAGTACAATATGAAGTGCTTTTAGTTAGTTAGGGAAAGTTGGAGGGGGTTTGTAGCACGCAGGGGGTTTCTTTATATTTCAACCATGAAATTACCCAACAGTTAATATTTCCACTCGAAGTTCAATAATCTTTGTTGTACTAGTTGGGATAAACCCTTGAAATAAATTCAGCTTCACTGGGTTGTCGTCGATATGAATTCGCGGTCTATTCCACTTAATATTCTTACTAAATGTTACCAGAAACTAATCCAAGACCTCGACCTCGTCGCTAAACAAGTATCCTGCGCTATAATTAACAATTCGCAAATTTCCAATAAACCTTTTCCCTATTGTATTAATTAACACCCTCCGTCGATATCAGATTTTATGGGCCCGAGCTTCCAGATACTCAAGCTTGGAGGAATTTCACTTTCTCTAAAATAGTTTAGCCGCCTTTTGACGGATTATAGTTGGGAAAATCAATTCGAGTAGACATTGGTATGCCCGGAACGCCGTGTCGAACATTCATACACACAAACTAATCATTTTTGCCGTTTTGTTCGGAACTCTGGACTCGAATCGAATTTATAAAGTTCCTGTTTTCTTGTTGTGTCGCTATTTACATTTACATGATCTGCGACTTTCTCGACCAACTTTGACTCGTAAACTTTTATTTTTATTCGTAGTCTGCTCTCGGGATAATAAAACGAAAAACATTGTCGGGACAGTGTACCTGGAAGATTCGTAATTCGATATTTTACTGAATTTAATTATGTATTTTTAAGCAGTGGGCGGATTGGAAATGCTGCTAACTAGAATTTTATATTGGGAAAATGTATTCATTAGATTGTGCCCTGCTGGTATTTAACTTTTTGCGCTTCTTTGCATATACCTGTTACCTATATGAAACTAAGATTTATTTCGCATTTTGTGTAAATTGAAAATTCTTTCGTTTTTCGGAGAAATAAGGAAATATAAGAGAAAATATAACTTTTTTAACGCAAAACGCGATATATCAGATACTTACCCTGAGTCGTATCTAAGCAACCGTCGCGTCGGTGGAAAATGTCTCTGGAAAATTATTGCGAGTCTGAACATTTTCCGTCAATTTAGCTGAATGCGATTTTAACGTGCGAAACGCTCTCGGAAAATATCCTTAACAATAACGTACTTAACTCTAATATATCATTTTCATTGTTGTTGAAGCAAAATTGAATTTTTAAGCGAAACAAAGAAAATCTAAAAATCGTACTTACACTTACTGCAATAAATAACGAATGCAATCAATAGAGCCGAAAATTCCAATCGATAACAACTCATTTTTCGCCACTTACAACTTGACTAAATTAATTCCGGTACGATGGCGACTCTAATTCGAAGACACTTAGCTGTGGCGTGACAAATCCCGATCACATTTATAATATTCAAAACTGCTTTATTCACGATATAGATGTTGATGTTGGTCTCCTTCATCTTATTGTCAAGGTTATAAATAAAATATTCTTCGATGATCGTAATTGCAGTCATTAAATATTTTTCAATTTAACCTGTAGAAAAAAAACCGCCTCGAAGCAGAGACGAAGTCATATAAACATTTAGTATTGTTTTCTGTTTTGTGAACCAATAATAGTGTAGATAGAAAGAATATATTATATATACTAGATAGAACAGTATTGATAGTAGTTTTTATCGTTATTTTGTAGTGCTTATATTTATTTGCAGGGTTGTAATTAGACCTTAATTGTAAATGTTTCAGTACGGTTCTGTTTACTATTTAATAATATTCATAATGTATAGTAATCAAATGGGAAGTATGCACTTGTATACAGTTCATTGATGAATCAATGCATTTTATTCTTTTTTATTATTATACTATTTCACTATTTCTCCTTAGTCATTTGCTTCATGTTTGTTACTTTAATGCGAAGGACATTTCTTCCACGGATTTTACACGAAGTTGACAGAAACTTCATTAACTTTGTGTTAGTGTTGTTGTGAGACTAGAGTATTTACTTGAGGGATTGCTGGCGATTCCGAACATCCCGGACTTTGTAATTAAATGTGAATTTGATACGAAATCCAATGTATATTAAAACCCACGAAGTTAGGTATAAAGAAGTTGCAACTTTTCACACTAAACAGGGCTGTTGCGAAACCAGTGCGAAAAAAATTAAGGGGCTGACTGTTTGGTGATAAAAGGATTATTTTCTAAATTGATTTCGTTCTTGCCGAGTTAAATAAATCCCCAAATAAGTTAGCCATAAATGTTTTTTAAAGAAGTTCATTTTCAATACTTACATTTGTCATAATTTGAAATGTTTTTATACTTTCATGATGGGTTTAATTAATTCAACAAGAAGAAAATTTTAAATGCTTTTGTATCGAATTTTCGATATGATCTGGCACTGGCAATAAGCGCAGCTTTTTGATGCGGATTTTACATTTATATAGCTATTTTAGCTAAAAATAACGGAGCAATTTTCGTAGATTTACATTTACTTAGAAAATAGAAAATGGATTTTAATAAAAAATCAAATGGAAATTTGGATTTTTTAATATTCTTCGTATAAAAATACATTTAATAAGCTAAAAACCACAGTAATTTCTTTCAAAACGTGAAACTCAAAAATTTCTTCCACTTATTGTCGACGCAATACTTTATAACTTTCAGATGAAGCAATAGTTTCTTTAATCCCACAAGCCTGACGATACATTTCACGATTTTCAACATTGAGATTCGAGTTAATTAATAATTAAGTTTAAAGCGATTTTAGTCCAATTAATCTTTCATTAAAAAATAATAACCAAAAATAAACAATTATCCTATTTTGAGTACACCATACATCAATTTCTCACATTACACCAGAAGCCCTTGATATTAATTATTAAAGAAATATCTAATTTTTGAATTAATAACACGGAATGCAATTTGAGAAATATAAAACAATCATGCTTATGTGTAACGTAAACTATAAAAAAATATAAATCGAGAAAAATTGGACTAATTCCTAAAAATAACAGTCAATTACAATTATTAATTATTCTATAAAATAAAGGAAGGAGATCACAACATTTTTAGGTTCAGTTAAGAATCTGTCCGGTTAGATAAAGCTAGGTGAAATTGAACGGCAAATTAAAGGCGACTGATCGCTATATTTTTGTATGACTAGATGCCTCTTCAATTCGCAATTCAATTTTACAACAGCACATCTACGTCAAATTTGTCCGAGTTTTCAAAAAGTATTTGAACTGAATCGAACTACTGCCAGAGTTGCATATAAAATCTATATTTCACTGGTTTGCAAAAAATTCGTCCATTCTCATAATTGCTTATCTACAACAACCCTACAGTTGTTCTCTGGCAATTTACATAAAACATAAACACAAACTTACTAAATTATAATCCAAAAGGTTCTATTCTTTACGATTCCACTCATTCAATTGGAGAGATCAAATAAACTAAAATCATCTATCCTAACATAAATATTTGGCGTATAAAAATACAGGCTTATTAACATCATATGGTTTTGATAAATTGGAACACAGATTTGGCACTTTTAGCTTAGATGGTGACAACAATAAATATAATACTCTATACCCAACGGCCATAATTATTAGCTGTGATTATTAGCACTGAGCATCTAGCGAATCACAGTACTCGATTCTCACTGTTTTATCAAACAAAAATTCTCTCAATTCTAATTCTCTAATTCTTTCACTTCTAAGTGAGGTCAATAAGAATTGAGTCTCTAGTGAAAAACAGTGCTCGATTGTCACTTGATTATATTACCAATCAAAAAGATCTCTGGATGAGCAGTGATGTAAATGAGAATCTATCGAATCACCGCACTCGAGTGTCACTTGATCCAGCCAATGAGAGCTGTCGCAAAATGACGTCATTGACAAGACTTACAGCCATTGGGTATAATGAATTTACATGTAAAAACTTGAGGCAATGGAATTGTCACGATCGAAGGAACACGGTTCAAAATTACACATATCTAGTAAGTTGTGCGTAAAATTCTTGCAAGCATACGTTCAATTGGGTAAAAGTCGGTCGTTCTTCGGCGCTCATCGCCCAACAGTACGCCATCACAGCGAATCTACAAACGAAAAACAAATTATTCACCTATCTATCTCAGTAATATTGTATTTACTCACAATTCGTCCGGGCAATTGATGGGCTGGGCGAGCCTGTAGCCATCTTTCAAATAAGCTGCCATTTCGAAGGGATCAATTTCGATGTAGGGCTGCTGGGCCAGGGTGGTCAATTCCCAAAGCAGCACACCGAAGGACCAGACGTCCGAGCTCGGCGAGAAGGACTTGTGCAGCAGGCTCTCGATGGCCAGCCACTTCACCGGCCTGTTTTCGTTATCTCCCAAACAGTGGTAATCCGATGGGAATAGATCTCTAGACAACGCGTTATCGGCTACTAGTATGTTTAGCTTATCGTCGATACTGCAATATGAAATAGTTTAATGGAAATTGCGAATTGTAGTGGAGAGTTTGGTGGTACTCACACGCAATTCCTAGTGGCAAGGTCTTTGTGAAGCAAGTGCTTCTTATGCAGGTACTGCATGGCCTGGATGATTTGCAAGGCCATATCGACGAGTTCCTGTGTGGTTAAGGTGTGATGCACGCCTTCGGAGGATACTTTGCATTTTTGTAAGAATAGTTTTAGATTCGTGTAATTTTTGTATGGGTAGAGCAAGAATGGGGCCATGTGTTCCTCGACTGACACTCGAGAAATCGACAAAATATTTTTGTGATTCAAAGCGTACAAGGACATGCCTTCCTTCAGAAGTAATGAGATTTGTACATCGCTAGCGTGATCCATAACTGTTTTTACTATGGTGGTTTCTTCGGTTCCTTCTTCAGTTGTGTAAGAGCCTTGGTAAATTTTTCCGAAAGTGCCTTCCATAATTATGCTGCTGAGTCTTACTCGACATCTAAACAAAAAATCGCATTATTAATTTATGAAAAAAATCTATTAAAATTCATGTGTTACCTTTGTATAGACAGCTCAGTAATTTTATCTTGCAAATCCTTGGATCGCTCTTCAATCAATGAATAACTAGGCATTCTTTTTAAACTACCATAAGAAGAAACATTCACGCTGTTTCTGGGTAAAGCAGCGAGGAACGTGGTAGTGGTAGTTGTAGGTCCACTACCATTTTCGGTAGATCTTCTGGTTTTGTTCCCTTTCACGTGGTACAAAGTCACAACAATCACCAATATAAATATGAACAATATAGCGCAGCATATGGCTATGTAGAGTATATTAACAGAATTGGAGTAGGGAGGCAAAGAATCCACAGAAACGTAAGCCGTTGACTTTTCCAATTCCAAGCAGATCTTCTTCCTTCGAAAGGTCAATGTAGTTACGTTTTCGGGCGTCAGCATTATGTTCATTTTTATTTTGATGTCTACTTCTGCTTCCACCAGCCCAGTGCAGGGTAATGATATTTGGAAGGTTTGTACGGTATTGGAAATCACTCCGGCGTCTGATATGTTCAATTTAGGGGTGGGTAGCGCGGCCAAATTCGAGGAATCCACTTGAATTGAATAATGCACCTAAAAAAATAGTACTTGTTAGATTATTGTATTCCGATAATATTAACACTAAGATAGAATGATTGAAGAATAAGCTTACTGGTTGTCCAGGTGTTAGGCTTTCCCATGTGAAACATAGTGAATCGATGTTGGATGGTATTGGTACAACAAAATTAAGTGCGTAATTGTTGATAACTCCTTTTCGAATGTAAAAAAGTTCAGCATGTAAACCTACAAAAGAAAATATTAATAATTGTAGCAATCCCAAATGTTTGAAGTAAAAAAATCTTAAAAAACATTCTTTTTAATTTCCATATTCTTCTCATCTAAAAATTTGCAATACATCACTCAACTTGGATGAGTTAATATTAAGAACCCTACTTTAAATTAGCTAAACGGGGCTTTATAATGCATATTCTCACTCGCTAATTGGTTTTTAAGTTTCTCTTTCACGCCGAACAGAAGTTTATCCAGTAGTTAGCGAAGTAATCTAAGTTCAACAGTTAATTTATTATTTAATAAGCTTGGTTAACGCTATCATATTTACATTGCCAGTATTGCGACAAACGTTCTAACGATAACTTTGTCGGTAAAACGGAACTACTTTGACAAATTCCCGTAAGAGGTATCTCGACGTCTTATCAGCGTCGCTGTTAATTTTAAAATTACTGTTTAAATAATTACTTAGTACGATTTTTACTTGTAGAAATTATTTCTTTGGTAAACAGCAGCTGGTCAAACTATTTCTTCTATGCAAGAGTATTGTCATTAGTCCCACTTGAAATTTTATACTTTGTATTAAGTACACCTCGAGATCCAAGTTCATTAGCATCCTTGATGAAGCACCCTCCTCATTAATAAGCGTTTGTTCACGTCGCTTATGAGATCGAAAAATCTCTATTACTCATTCTGTAATAGGGGACAAACCTCCAGTGTCATTATTCAAAGTCTATGAGGAATGACGTGTACTTTGTAGGAGTCTTATTGAATTTGCACTCCCGAAAAAGGGGGTTCGTCATGAAAGAGGGCGCGAAATGTCTTGATTAACTAACTGACACTTGACGAGACACGAGCATTTTCCATTAATCGACCATTAGTCATATGAACTAGGAAAAAAATCAATATTTTATTCCATTTGATGGACACTTTGCTTTATCTTGGAGGCAATAAATTATGAATAAGGAATCAATCTGACGACGTTTATGACTCAAAAGATAGTAGGCTTAAAATAAATTAAGTATGAGCTGCAGTAAACAAGTCGAATTTCTGTATTTGTATTATATTGTTTATGTTCCAAATAATTAAATGTGTTCGAATTTCGAAGTTAATTGGATGAGTTCTCAAATTCCAAGCATACTGGTTAAGAAAACAGGTAATATAATAACCAGAATCCACGAGGAACCGAGACGAGAGAAGCAATATTTAGATATTTTTAAAGATAAAATGGGCCATTTGGTTACCTGTAGGTATTTCCTCTGTAAATATTTAATACAAAATTCAAACACTGTTGTGAAACGAAAATCTATATAAAACAAATGAAAAATAATGAAAACAACGTTAATTATTGTAAATAATAATAATAATAGATGTCTCTATAAATTGTACTTGTGGGAATCCCCTCTATATATTAATATGCGTACTTATAAAAGATGAGTAAAACTCTGGCTCTCATATATCTAATAGGATATTGAGTTTTAATTAATCATTTCAAGTGTGAAGAAAAATTTAAGGGTTGTTTTACTCATTAATCTACACTAGAGTAAGCAAAGCACGTTGGTCGATCCCACGACACATGCGCAATACTTTTTATTTTCTATTTATAAACATTTAAAAATTTACACAAACACTTACCGAGAAGTCTCTGAACTTCGGGCAGGCTCAAATACAAATTTAAATAACCACTAACGGCAGGTATGTACAAATAAGACACCAGAATCGTGTAACTGAACAAAAATATCTTCATTTTCGATCTAAAAAACGGCGGAAATCACATTTTACGACTCGAAATTATCGGGTTACGTTCGCACCGATTTTTATTCCACTACATCGTTTTTACTTTGTTAATTCTCGTCCTGTCGACCATCCACTAACGTTTGTATTTTGTCAGCAAACGGCTGCTGAAACGGCAACAAACAGCAACAGCAACGCCCGCATTTCACCATGTGCCACATTGAATTCCGCCATTGCCACGTTATCTAACCGAAAAGTATTCAACAACTCACGATGGGGTACAAGTCTTAGGGACTAGTACACCTTTTCAAATCTAAATTAAACCACATAATCAATAAAATATATTAACTATGTTCATAAAGGAGTGGAAATAGATATAGGATATAGAACGATAGTGTAGTATAGATTGGAGTATTAGATGCAGTATTAAAGAAGTGTGGAAATAGTATATTTTACTCTAGACAATACCTATATCACGTTTGAGAGCTACTAGCGTGAGTTTTGCTATTGGAAAATAGAAGAATTTAAGAGACATCTAGAGCTAGAACTGCAGGTCTACCTGCTGCATATATCAGGATTGCTATGCTAGGTTATTAAATAAAACAATTCCAGCAATTGTAGTAGTTAGGGGTATTATGATATTATCGCATTTTGAACACGAAACAACTCTCGACTCGATTCAACAATAGGTTGAAATAACCCACATTGCTGGCTTTCGTTTCCTGATACTTCCAAACAACTGAACCCAAAACGAATTTCCGCTGGAATTAGGATAAACTGTCGATGTGGCAACGCAGCTTTTACCGAACTATAGTGACCCGAGTCGGTCGAGGCTGGAGTCACACAATTCACACTCCACTCCATCTCTATACTCCTCATTTGGGCCTATGGACGAAGCGAGTCAACGAGATGTGCATGCATACACAAAGCGTGTTTTACACGAAGCACTCCGCTTGAATGGGGCGCCGGTTTTTCGAATTTGAATAGAGGCAGGGCCATAAAAATAACTTCGCATTGGCGACCGGACAATAAAATCTCACGAAAACATGTTGCGTTAATAACGCCGGGAAGGATGCGATTTTATTTTTTTGTTTTAAAGCACGAACTTGTTTTTTAAATAATTGTTGGGAATTTTTCTATATTACATATATTGCAGATATCAAAACCACCAATAATTACGAAAAAGTTTATCAATATTTTATTGCTATTAATAATATCTATGTACTAAAAATAAATAAGTTAATATTCGTATTGTATTCTAATAATCTTTGGGACAATTTTTATGATCCGTTCGTATGAAATAAGCCCTAGATATCCCGTGTTTATCTAAAACTTTATAAGCTTTCTCCATTATTTTTATTGTGGGTTGTTTTTCTCTCGTTAATATCCACGCATTACCTATAAATAACCTTATAAAATGTCACGCATCATAAATCTATTAGTACTTCCATAGATAGACTTACGTGTACTTAAAATTCCGAAATCAGAGCACGACCATACAACAGAATAATTATCATAATCTGTTCCGACGACCCAATAAGGGGCATCAAAAGTTACTACAAAAAATTTACTTTAAATATGATTTTATGTAACTAACAAAAACACTCACTTGGCAATGACGGGAAGTTAATACTCAACTTCGCTTCCTCCGATCTGGAAATTTGATTGGCATTTCCTTCAATTAGACTTTGAATACCTGTACTGTAAATTACGAATAAACATACAACACTTCACTAAAATCGAATAAAAATACTTACAAAGTACTAATTTGCTGATTTACAATATTTATGAATCCGTTATCGTCGATTTTATAATCGGCAGTAACGCATTTACTTCCGAATTCAAACACTGCAAAATATCTTTCGACCTCATACCATTTTCCGGCATACTAAATCAATTAAAACAAACGTTAACATGGACTAATCGATCAATCGTAACTATTTACCTTTTTTACGTCGAAATTGGTAACGGTTTTAACATCAGGACACGGCCCGAAGTAAGGAACTTGGCCCCAAGCCATTTGACTAACTGTTACGACGAATATTACTAAAACAAACATTATATAAAATGTGCTTTTCAACTTCGACTGAATCCTCTTGCAACAGAACGGAAGAATAAGATCTGCAGTCGACGTTTGTCGTTCGGCCTCTTGCACCACTAGGTCAAAATAACTGTTCTTATAGTGCCAAAGATGAGTTTTATAGTGGAAACTGATGAATTTATATGCATTGGTTAACAATAGAATGTGCATATAATACTTACTGTAAAATGTAGGTTTTCAATTGCTATTACTGCTACATTTTAAATGAGTTTTAATTAATACACAGTTATTTGAAAATTATTTTATTCAAAATTTAATTCGACTAATACTATAATAAATGAAAATTTGTACATTTTACGACCAATTAATATGTCCGATTAATAACGTCTTCAGTTCGAAGGTGCAACCTTTCCAACTGCACCCGATTGTTGTTTATTATCCTGTAAAACTTCAACAACCGTGGATGGTTTTGATTCGTCACCTACTGCCGATTTCACAGGTTCTGATCTACCAGCTTCATCTTTAACCTCTTTTACATCTGCTTCGTTCGATTTATAATCATCAGAAGCAATACTGGCCGCAGAAGCACCTACTAAATTAGCAACACCGTTGATAGGAATATCTGAATTTTCAGCATCTACTTTTATTTCCGACAAAATGCCTGTAGATTTGACGGCTTCCTTTGGATTAGTAGCAACTTGCTCGTTAGTTTTTACCGAATTCACTACTCTTTGCGGCAGACCTGTAGCTTGAGGTATGGTAGATTGAGCTGTTATACCATTCGCTGCGTTTATGTCCGATGCAGCTAATGCACAACCTTCCTGGTCCGTCTTCACGAAGAATGTTCTGCTGATTTTGAATTTATCCAGGGCTCCGTAAATGTTTTGAAGTACCGGACCGGCTGGGAGACGTTCTCTGGTCATCACCCAGGCGCTTTCTGAAGAAAATATATTCGTTTATAGCAGTCCTATACAACAAATTAAGAAACTTACGAGCAGAAAGTGGTCCGAATCCACTGCAACTCCAAAGAATAGCGTAGTTTTCGTAGTCAGTGTCGAGTACGAGCAGTGTGGCTTGAGAACTCAATGGAGTGGTTGAATATTTAACGTTAAGTTTGCCTTCCCCTATTCTTCCAGATAATTCCAGCTGTCCATCGATGACTCGTTTGATTCCCGTTCTGGATTCAAACAGTATTAATAGGATTTACTTTACGACAAACGCCGTATACTTACAATCGGTTTGTAACTTCGTTTGATACGAAAATTTTGCCGCTTGGAGCTCTCGCGTAGTCAGTAACGACGCATCTGGAAACGATGTCGCTGAACTGGAAGTACCTCTCGGATTCGTACCACTTGCCCAAAAAGTTGTCGATATCGAAATCCGTCATGGGAACATAATCCGGGCAGAAGCCCAAGCTGGGTATTTGGGCACTAGCAACGACCAAGACGCCGAAGAACACGAACGCGCCAATCATGGTTAACTTTTGAAGTTCACTGTCGCTCTTCGAGAGGCTTATATAGGCGAGTTTTCAAAGGCGGCGGATCGGGGTCCATTGGTAATTCGAGTTTTTTACCGTAAAAAATGCCGTGTCAAAATTCACACTCAAATAACAGAAGGATATGGTAGTTTAAGAGTGCTCATTGATACATAGCTATTTAAAATATTTGCATTTTACTGTAGATAATTCTTTTGGCTGGATAGTGCAATGGTTTAAAATTTTTGTACATTGCGACGCTTTATGGAATATTTGATTGTTGTGTAAATAATTGCAAATATTTAAAGTTTTCTTCATCTAAACTTGTTAATTCATTACATAAGAGGATCAAAAATAATTGCAATAAAATAAATTGTATATATGAACCAAGACTTGTATGATTCTCTAATGGTATCAAAGTATATTTCGCATGTTTACTATTTAGATATACGAAATTATGTAACAAATAAAACAGCGCCTCTTCTACGCTAATGAAGAGTCCTGCAACCGCTAGATGGTTGACATTTTTCCAACTTCTCGTATTAATTAATATGGAATCAAACGAGTAAAATATAGGAGCTACCTACACGCGGACGTTTTGATTAAATTTTATTCATTACTAATTATCAACGGTGCTTTGAAGTGTTTATATTTCTCGAAAAAGGCTAATAACCGAGATTGGCCTTACGAACTTGTAGCTGGTTGTTAGAAAATGACCTACAGGTCTTTGTATAATGTCCACATGCTGTTCATCCATTTTAATGGCGAAACTTAAATTTACCTACTCAAGAAGGACTTGACTACAGGAGGCATGCTTAATTAAAAATATTTTGTTAATTGGAGAATTTTTATAAAAATTACAAGTTTTGTTTGGGATAAAAATAATTTTGGCATGAAAGGGTAATTAATCATAAATCACTTATTAGGAGGATTGTTAGTTCAATTCATTATAACAAGTAGTGAATTTGATTTAACTTTATTAAAATTGAAATAATTTTTGTTAAATAATCTTTTTTCTCGTCACTATACTGGTATCTATTGAAAAATTTAATAATAAATTAGAGGTATCTGTTGTATGTTTTAAAAGCAGTTGAAATAGTACTCGATAGATGGCATCACGCGCAAATTAAATGTGAATTAAATGTTAATAACTACCTACCTATTTAAATTATATTTGTTTTCAAAAAAAAGTAGGATACACAGTGATAAAAAATAAAAATCAATTAGAATTTTTAGTAATCATTTATTAATCAAACCATAGATGATTAAAAAAGAATTAATCAATCTATTATATTACTTTAAATTTTAAATCATTTTCGAAATTATTTTTTTAATTTAATTCAAAAGATGCTTTCATTGAGACATTATTGAACTGGTTAATTTTTATCCGTGAGGACACAAACGCCGGAGACTATTTTTGGCACAGCGTGTCGTAGTTTTAACCTAGTTTACACAACACCAGTGTAGTTGTTTAGATAATTCGTACATGCATCATTTCTGCCAGTATACTAATAATTAACTATTTAAAATTGACATAAGTATATGAATAAAAACCTGTAATTATTAATATGATAATAATATCTATAATAAGAGTAATCTTAAAGAAAAAGATAAGATTACAATCACCAAAGGAAATTACGAAATAAAAGACACTTTAGATGAGCATGTATGAATTGATTTGAATGAAAAGATAACCCTAGTGAAAATGACCAGGAGACGTACATGAGCATTATTCACTTTGCGCTAGCAATGCGAAGGGTCAGTGAATGAATTAAGAAATTTAAGAAAATTAAGGTCAACTGATGAATAGGCGCCGATGCTCTGCTAACTTCTACAGACCTATTTCAGGATATCCAATTTATTTTTATAATAATCTACTGCTAGTTCTATTATTGTACAGTAAAGTCTCGAAATTGGAGTATAATGTCTCAACAATGGTTTGATTAAACTCGATATGCGTGTTTGTTTGAATGCGAACGCTAGGATGTGTTTTAAAATGAGATTAGTCCGCTTTAAATCGCTTGCATTATGTAATAAAGGGAGAAATAAATACAAGAAAAAACATTTTTTATTGTCTTACACTATTTACAAGCTAGTTATTTACAATTAACAAATCTAACAAAATACTAAGTTACCACATTTGTACCACGTTTTATAATCAATCGTGCCAGAAGGATATTTTTGTTTTCAGCAAATTAATCCATTAACAAGAATTTGAAATAGAGTTATCAGAATTGGGCCAAACTAAATTAATACTTCTACAACAGTTAAATCCATATTTGGGAATTGTGTCAATAAGAGTTAATATGAGAGCGAATAAAGAGAGGTGAATAAGTTATAATGACTGCATATTTCGACTTAATTTTTACTTCTTTGGTGTGTATATTCAAAAAATATACGATCATACGTTCCAGTTTTATAGTAAAAACTTTCTAGCAAGTAATATACAAATGTTACATACAAAAACAAAAAATGCTCCGAAGAAAAATTAACCATACCCAATTGTAACCGTTCAAGTTAGATTTAATAATAATGGTGATGATGTTATAGTTTTAGTTAGCATTTTTCGTTAATGTATAAAAATTATCCACTTGTGATGTATATAACAGTACAGGCCATTGCTCAAAGGCTGATTATATTTATTGAATCCTAAGTTTTCCAACACTGTTACTTTCTTCTACAGGCTAACGTATTAATTAATTCAGTCGAAATATCATTAAATTTTTAGTTAAATTTACAAACAAACCCTACAATCAACTTACACTTTATTAGCGCTAAGGAAATAAATTAGTTTACGCGTCTGAACATCGGCCTAATATCGGTGAAATAATTTAAGTGAATATAGTGGTAAATCAAATCGGTCCAGCCGAAATAAACCAAACGAATAATAAAATTAATAAAGCACCTGTCATACACACCACGCGTAGTTTAGGTACGTAAAGTCAAATTGAACACAACGGTTGAGATTATGTCTAGACAATAAAAACTATTAACACATTTTTTTCAACGGAGGGCGTCGATCAAAGTGGAAAAAGGCACAAGTGGTCCCGTAGTTTACGTGCCTCACCCTTCGAATTTATCCATACTCTTCGTTTAGATTATCCGAAGGGCTATCGACTATACCTACGTTTTACACAGGAGCGGATTTTAGCGGATAGAAGCCGCAAAGTTGATGATCCCGGGTTGATGCTATTCAAGAGAGAGACTTTTACTAATAGCAATGACATTTAGAATTAACGAATATGTTAGACACATGAATTCTTCCCACCCAAGTAACCTCGAGTGTTTGGACAAGCATAATTGATCGTGTGGGATCGAATTAAATAATAAACGTGTCCTTAAAATTAAAATGTCGTACCTAACGTAAAAAATTAGATATACCGCAAATTTAGTCACTCGGGTAAAAAGACTTTATGAGAGCCTGGTACATAAAATATTTTCCTTTGGTTTTTTTTCATTGCTAAAAATATAAAATAAGATCTCTTTTTCGTTATAAATTTAGTCACACTGAACAAATACTACATTAATTGAATGCGTTGTCAAATAACATTTCTTGTTAAACATATCCATGCATTACTTTCTTTTCGTTGAAGCAATTTGAATATTCGTAAAAAATAGTTGTCCCGGGTGGTCGGATTGTCTGGATCCGTCCCTGCGTCCACACGAGATACATGGAAGAAGGCACTGATAGGATCAGTATATCACAAGATTTGGTCGTACCAAAAAAACTGTACTACGACCTCATCAGTGGGCATTGGAATGTAAATGTTTTGCTATTTGAGCTCGTGCATGTTTTTGCTTAACAACAAATTATTGTGAGGTCCCGATAAATGTCTAATTAGTTCGGGCAGAGATTCAAAAGACAATGGGCAGAAGCAACAGTTAAATCTTCCGGAATTTCCGTCGTTCGAAGATATAACGTTCCTATGCACAGAACACAAGTGTTTCAGTAAATGCGCTTTTTGTTTGAACATGGCGACGCACAACCGACACGCGAACGGTTTTTCTCCAGTGTGCACTCGCAAATGAGTCTTCAAGTTCCACGACATGCCGAACTGCTTGCCACAATATTCACAACGGTATTCGCGAACTTGTACAGTCGGTAGAGATTGTTTACTACTGCCCGTGGCGTGAGAGGAACTCTCTGCGGCGTCGTCGTTGCTGCTGGAGAACGAAGGCGGATGATCGCGGGAGTCGTCGTTTCCCGATGGAGCGTTCACCTGCGTCTGGCACAACGACCACGCTCCCCAGGTGTGTTCGAACGCTTGGTACGAATCTGAGGCTAAGCCCTGATCGGCGCTCGGGGGTCTGTACTTGACGACGACGTTGTCCGGAGGTCCCGAGGTGTCCGGATGCTGGCCCGGCGTCGGGGTGTGGGTTCTGTCCACCAAATAAGGTGGCGCCGACAAGGATAGCGGGTGGTGGGCTGCTAACAGAGGAGGCAAGTTTTTATACCTATGATGATGGTGCGTGGCTTCCTCGATGTACGAAGGAGAGAAAGGAACGAATGGTGGATTTTGCGCGGGAGAGTTGTGGAAACCTGGCCTTCGTTTCCTGTGCGGCGTTACGACGTAGTTGTCGGGACTCTGGACCAAGGAGATCAGTTTATGGTCGGCTATAGGCGGTTTCAAATGGGATAGATCGTCTTGGTGTTTCAGATCTATCGGTTCTATGTACATGTTCTTACGTTTCATCCGGTGGTGGTGGAATTGCGAAAATTCGTGCACTTTCGGTGCTATTTTTACTGTAGACTGACCAATTTTTAGTTCATCCGAGTTTTTATTCTCAGATTTCTGAAATAAGAAATTAAGAAAGCTGTTAGCTAATCTAATGTTAGACAGATGCTTCAATTCTTCTTTTGTGAAAAATATAATCAAATTAAAAACAAATTAAAAAAATATCTTACCACAGAATTCGATTCGTAATCATTAATTTTTTCATCGTCATTTCCATTTTTACTATTCAACGATAAATTTACTGGGTTCGGTGATTCCGTATTCTGTTCATCAATGTTGCTTTCATCAGCGGTATCGTCGTCGTCGTCCTTAATTTCACCCTCTTCTTTTTCGTCGTCGTCCGTTTCTTTCTTCACCGTTACAGGTTCGGAAGCATCGTTTTCCGGAGCCGTCCAGCTGCTGTCATCCTCGGATTGCATTTTGGCCTCTTCCGCGTTAGGAGACTGCCATATGTCCGATTTGATCTGGAGCAACTCGAACAGCTCTTGAATACTATCCAATTCACTCGACTAAAAAAACACTTATTTGGTCAATAAAAGAGTTCGTCGACGGAGGAATAAGGGGATACCTTAATGCAAGCTTGCCCTTTGTAGAGGAAGTCCAGAAGGTGGCGTAGATGATTGCTCTTGATTCCCGGTATGAGCACCACGCTGGGTCCGTGGGCATGGGCACTTTCTCCAAGGATACGGCGGACTAAGGGACTGGCGGACGCCATTATAAGCTTATGGGCGCTCAATGTTGTTTTGTCATCGCATACGAATGTCATGTCGGCGTAATTTTCAGAAGCGAAACACGTTTTGATCTCATCGACTATGGTAGCATGGTGTTTCCCATAATGCAAGGTTAATAATCCGTGCGTGTCTTGTTCCTCCGAGTACATGGCGAATTTCGTTATAAGGAATAGGATAACCTGGAACAACACGAACAAACTGAGTGCTAAATCATGGAGATTGCAATGAAATTTAATTACTCTATTTACACTTAAAAATTTATCGCTGGTAATAGTTGACGGTTTGTAGTTGAAATTATCGACTTTTTTAATTAGAATGTTAAAATTTCAACACGTTTCTACTAAATGTTAAATTGTTTCCTTTAAAAACCTAATAATTAAAACCATTTACAAAATTAATTGTACAATATTTTAGTGATAGTTAGATTTTGTGTAAAAAATCTTTTGAAACAAACTACTTGTATACTACAAAAAAGCTATCCGAAAATATAATATTGTTGCAATCATCGAAAAACGAGGTCGTACATCTGTGCTCAAATTTTAGTTCATCTATTAGTAATGCTCGTGGATGCTTGATTGCCAAAATTAATGATTGGAATTTCGAATTCTGAAAAATATCGAAATTTTCATAAAAAAATCCAAGCTTTAAATCAATTTTATTAATGATGGCGTTTTCATCTTGCGCCTTTCATATTCCAAGCGTTATTTAAATTTCATTTAATAGCTAGAAATGTTCTAGCAGTTAATTATGTTTATATTATGTAATAGTAATAGACTCCAACATAGTTTATAATAAATTTACATAGTAAAATGTAGTTCTCGTGTGTTTTTCTTCCAATCGACTATAAAACAACATAAATCTTGAGGATTTTAAAATAATTGTTCTATTTCGCTTCAGATATTGCAAAAACTTTATTGTGCAACGTTTAATTTGAAAGTATGCGTATAAAAATTCTTCTCCCAGATACTCAAACAGTAAGAAACGCAAAAATGTAACAAATCGCAATCGCATTAAAAAAATACACATGTTTATGTTTTAAAATAGAATGTAGTAAACTCGCTTTAGTATATTTTCTTTAATGTGTACTAATTAGCAGAAACTCGCTAATTTATTATAAATATTATTTTTATCTGTAGTGTAATCCTAGTGCCATTTGATTTTTTTATCGCGGCATTTTTAATTTCGCGAATTTTTTATCAATTTTAGAATTCTTGGGATAAACGCAGACGCTAGCTTCCACGCTTTTTACGAGAAATGACACGCCTTTTACGTACAGGTGTTCATTTGAATATGCTGCATGCATTGGTTAACGTTATGAGATATCTCGGATTTACTTTCATTTTCAAGTAAAGTTACACGTCGGCTTGTTTGCAGGATCTTGTACTCCAGTCACGAGATCGCTATTCGCAAAAATATTTTTTTATGAATCACCACTTGCTGGTACATTCGAAAAATCGGATTTTCTTGTTGCATTAGAAATGCTTATTTATTCCAACGTTATAAGCATAATGATAAATATGCAAATCAAAGCGTTAAAACTAGTTTTTTCGTTGTGTGTTTACAAATTCAGTGAAAATCAATCGATTATGAGATAATAGGTATGAATAAAAGAATGTATGCTAATCAAAACAAATTAACCCATTCAAACTCTCTGTTTATTAATAGTCGTTGGGTAATCGTATTAGCTTGATAAATCGAAAAGAAAAATTATTATTTACTAATGTATCACTTGCGCTATTAAAACGAGGGTGGTCTTCTAGTCGAAATGCATAGTGATAAATTTTAATCGACCATTCGAAATTTATTCTAATCGTGTATTTTATCAAAAATAAAATTTAATTTCAAAAGCAATTTCTGTTAGTAAAAACTCGAAAGCAAAATATATACTTAACACTCCCTCAACAATTGTAATTTTTTACACTGATTCATTTATAGGCATTAAGCATATAAGACAAAGGACGATGGACGTATGTCGAAGGAATCACTATTGCCTGTTCCTATTTGTTTGCATTTAATTTCCTCTTCCATTTAATCCCCTTTAATAATTTCCTCTTAACGTTTTTTTTTTGTAACGTCGGACTTTTACTAACAGGGACATTCAGTCCGTGACGATTCCCTGTTATTTATGCAATTTATGTCCTCGGTTAACAAGGTTACTTAGAGAGCTCGGAAAGCCAGCGAGAAATGTTGAGGATCTACAAGGTCTTCGGTGCCTGGTCACTATAAAGAGTTTTTGCTCCCTTTAGTAACTTCAATTGATTTGTTATGTAGAGAGCTATTAAAATATGAAATAAAAGAAAATCAGTTGGGCGGCCCCATTGTTGATTTTTTTCTTTCCAACTTCCAATAAGAGCTTGGCTTTATTATACATCTTCATTCGGCTTACTTGCTTTCACTTTTCACTCCTACTCTCATTTACCCTTTAAACATTAATACCAGCAAAACGTGTTACATCAACACTGGTTTAATACAATTACAGCGAATTCGACGATTTAGGTACGCATTCAAAAAGTATATGGTTTCATCATACACCTACTGCTTGAAAAAAAAAAAGCATTGATCAAATAATCACCCACATTTTTGTTAATTGCGAACTACCTACTCATTAGCATATTGAAAATGGCCGGTGTGTTTCGTACATCTCATAAACAACATTGTACCTATTTAGTTATAAGTAGGCACGTTTTATTTAATGGTACTTTTCTTCTTATCAAACAATTTCTTGCAAGAAATATCGATTTAGTAAATCCGAATCGAAGTGCATGATTAAACCGAATTTCGTAATTACTTATTCAATTTTTGCTAAAAAGAAAGTGGACTGAATTGAACCAATCAACAATCATTCGACCGTTTAAATGAATTAAAAATTTTAAACATTTAGCACGGAGAATATATTGCATAATTTTAGCAAGAATAAAAAGGAACGTTAAATGTGCACATGTGATTTTCCGCTAAATTATTGAAACTAAATTTTACGACAATATCCTCTATTTCGTTTTTATTTCCAAAGAAATTGAAATTTTATTAACCAGAACAATCGAATGATAAAGTTAATATTTCATTATTTCATAGTGAAAGCAATTATTGTTGATAAAATAAACTGTTGTGTTTTATGAATTAAGTAGTATGGTAATGCAGCATTGTAGAACAAATACAAAATTCTTTAAAATAGAGTAAGTATTTTTCCGAAATTTCGAATCAAGATGGATTCGAATTAATTCGAATTAATTGAATTCTAAGATGTACTCTTCGGTGAAGCAAAGAATGCAATATTTACGAAACATTTTAGTCGTACAGTCGTTTTAGAAATCTGGCAACGAAGCGGTGATTTTACAATTAGGTAATTAACAATAGATTATATATTTTTAAATATGTGGAAAGTAAAATTAAAGAAAACTATTCAACTGTCACGTTAACCAGTTAAGTTAATTTATTCGGATCCATTTTCACAAGCCGCAAAAGTGTTTCTGGTTATATAATTGAGATACATTGTAGTACAAGTATCAGGACGAGAGATTTGATTTGAGATAATTTCATGCGGTAACGGATATAATTTTACAATTCAACAACGCCATGGAGATGAATTCGAAGGAGCTGGTAATAACAGAAATTTTGTTCGGTGGAGAAAAACTAACTGCAAACGATTCCAAACAGCGAATGTAACATTTAAAATGACCCATTTAAGTGGTCTAATGTGAGTATATTACGAACAACACATGCTTTCAACTTTAGAATTGTCAAGGTTCCGCGAGGCAAATAAATGTTAGAGCTTTGTAAATCTAAATCGACCACAAATTTATTCCAGTTTTAAATTATCCGTTTCCTCTCTCTCCTTCGAACCCAGCGGCGACTGTATAGGGCAAAAAAATAAGATTATTAAAATTATTTAGACTGACGCTGGTGACGCAAACCAAGTCGCATTTTCAATTAGTTACTATTTCTGTAACCGATTCTTTTCACTTGTAAATAAGCGATTACGCACTTTCAAATAGGTGGCTAGTATGTAATATGCATAGCACATGTTTGAAGATGGAGATGTCGATGAGATAAGAGGGAACACATCTGGATACGCCAATGAATTCTACGCTCATGACTTCACGCCCTTAGTTAGGCAAATCGTTGTGAAAATTCTAGTTCATCCTTTCGATGTGTCGAAATCAAACGTAACCTACTTCTGGAGGCCACCATTCAGATACACTTGAATCATAATACCAGAGTCTTTCGTTTACTTTTCGAAATGAATTGTCACGAAATTCATCGCGAATTGTTAAATACTCTCCTGGCAATAATTTCATTCGACGTTTTTGACCTTTATTACAAACAATTCGCCAAGATTCGCCAAGATTCGCCATTTGAATTTTCCGTAGATCTCTAATTAGTGACTATCGCTACTTAACGACAGTAATTAAGTTTAATTAATTGAATCATTACATTTTAGTTGGATCGCAAAAGTTTTTGGTAAAAATTTACTAAAATACTTGAACTAGATATCAATAGACACCAAATTGGCCAAGGTATGTTTGTTTATCAATTTATATGGTGTCTATTGGAAACTAAAAGTGGTTATTTAAGTATTTCGTTACCTAAAAGCAATAAATTGGCAGTTTTTTAATCCACAATTGAATGTTACATGGTTAAACCTCCTACACGGATTAACCATACCAAAAGTAATTTATAGATTAATTTCTTATATAACCACTAATATTAGGTATAGTTAATTAATTTTAATCGTGTACAAAATACTAAATTGTAGTTAACGAAATAAACAATAAATAATTGTAAGCTATGTCGCAACTGAAATTATATTGATTATATCGCTTCTATATTAAAAATATATGAAAGTACGGTTTTTTGTAGCAATCGTTGAAAAGCAACTATTGAGGTAATCCGAATGCATACGCACACTTTTAATAGAATTTCTCAATTTTGTACCGCCGAGCGTGTAATGTAAAATTTAAGTCTCGAACGAAATAGATAAAAATCTAGAAATATGTGGCAAGTGTTTAGTTCCTCCATTTCAAGGAAACTAATTGTTGCAATAAATTTAACCAAGGGCAAAGAAACTGATTCAATTCACAAATATTTTTATTCAAACTATACATTACTTATCGAAAGTTAAATTAGAGCTAAAATTACATGAGCTCTAATTTCTTATACGTTTATCCCACCAAATATTAAGAAAATTGATCAGCCAATAAAGTTACCTGATTGAACTTAAACTTTATAATTAGTTCCGATTTACGATAGATTCGTGAATCTTTAATGTACGAGATTTTATAATTGGAAGAAATTATTAAGAAAATTAATATCATATGTTGCTGCCACTGATTACCAGTATTAATGTATAAGCGGAGGTAAATATTTACAGAAAAGCGTTGACGAGATGAGTAACTTAAACAATATTTGGTAGTATAAAATGTGTGTCACAAATATTTGTATTAAAGGAAAATCTAATACATTACGAATTGATAATGCAATTTCCAGGCGTAGGTACGGATTTCGAAAGTTCCTAATTTTTAAGCTAATAAATAAGATTAGATTCATGAAGTGCCTTCGAGTTAAATTGCGATATATACTTTGAACCGTTTTTCTAGCGGAAAAAGGGCACGTGATGAGAGTATAAAAATTCCTGCAGATCAAAATTTTAGATAGGAATTATTTTTCATTCATTCGTCTGTTCATTCATCACATGAATCAAATATGTTGAGCTATTTCCGTTCGGCAAGAATCGTATTATTCGCGATTTGTGGTTAACTAATACACTCACTGAATTAGCGTGTTTGTTGCTTTTTGTATTGCCATCAGTTTTATGACTAGAGAATGTGGTAGTATTTCGATTAGTTTTACATAAATTTGCGGCAATGAGCCAAAACAATAAGCGATGAAAATTGCGATTATATTGAGAGAATCATTTTTTGACCTTCTTGCAGTGTTTTAATTTGTATGTGGAAATACAAAAATTGCATATATTTGCATAAGTAGATACTTTAATTGGATTTTTGGGACATTTTTTTGTTTTAATGCAACTTAGTTAGTTATAATGCTGATTATGCCAAAACTTATCTGTGTAAAAAGTATCTAATTAGCAAAGAAAAGGGCCATTATGATAATACACCGTTGATATACAAATGAAGAGGAGCGATAGCTCTATACAAATTTAAAACATCAAAATATGTACCTATATTATGTAAATGTCTCATCTTTTAATTTCATTGTGTATAAATAATAAGAATATGATTTATCCTTAATTTTTAGTACCCACTATTTGCGACCACTTTGTTAGTGGTTTTATCAAGAATCAGACTCCGTGATATCACTATTCCTAGAAATTATTTAAAAAACACTATATTAAAATTCGAAAGTAATTATTTTCCACATTCAATGCAAATTGTTTCGAATTATAAACGTTTTGTTGCAATTTTCAGATTACGGTTACCAAGAAATCCGTTCTGTTAGCAGTTTATGCAACGATTGAGCGATAAAGCTGCGCTGATTTATCCTAGATAGCACAGGAAATTTTAGCAAGCTAAAAACGACTTCTCACATCTAAAATTATGTGAAATAGGTAAGTGAATATTTTTCTCCAATTATCCCATTGCTCAAGTTACTATTATATTTAAGTTAACAGAAATTCGAGATACTTTTAATAGCTCTGTTAATAGAAATTTTAATGAAATACACCAGAAGTGAGGAGATGATTTTGTTGTTGAATTTAAAATTTTATTTAATTATCCAGATGTAATCTTTTTCTATAAACGGAATGAGAATACGCATAAGAAATATTTAAAAAAATTAAGTATAGGTACCTACTTTCACAAAAAAATTGGCGAAGTAAAGTTTAACATTTAAGCTAGGATAAAAATAGCACGAAATAGAAGTGAGATAATTAGAAGAAAAGTAAACGGTGATGTAATGGAAATAATAAAAAGAGGTTACATAATATAAACTGAAAGTAGCCAAGTATTTGCACGAGGCGCGCCGAAACAATGCGCGACTCTAATTGTTTACGTAAAGTCGCAACGCAACAAGTTGGTAAAGGGTGGCTTACCCGGAGAAATAATTAGTCCTTAAGAGGTTCCCGCGACTTGTAAATCCTCAGGGTGGTCGCGAGCACCAGAATATTCACCACCATAGCACTGAGCCATAGCTCCACACCACACTACCACTCCGAGAATCGCCGTAACCGAAGAGTGTGCACCGCGTTCGATCGCGTCTTCTCGCTGTCCTGCCTTCGCGTCGAGTGTACTCCGCAGTATATTTTTGGGGCACGAGTTTTCAACACCAGGTTGCGCCACAAATGAAAGTAAAAGTGAACGAATGCGAGCCTTCACAATCGACTCGGAGTGCACGGTGTGTGTATTCAAGCAAGTCTCCTATCCCAAGTCCTGAAATTTCAGCGAAACGCATCGGAATTTTCTCTGAAAAGCATCGAACTAACATCATAATACGCATTATAATCGTCTCCCCTTACTTTCCCCAAAACAACTTGCGCACTGTTGTACGGTTTTTCTCGCAGCGAATTTTTTGCTAAGGTCCGAATTTTCCTAAGGTCGGCGAAGCGCGCGCGATTACTCGTCCGACCGTATTCTATTTTTCAGCTCCTGCTTCACCAAATGTCAAATACCAACAACGACCGGATCGTCGCCGTTGCCGTCGGTGATCTCGCTACAGTTCTGCACGCGTCCCTCGCCGCTGATTGTGGATGCTCGTCGTGTCGCTTTTTGCTCGTAGATTTGCGGCGATCGGATCTCGGATCGGCGGGCAGCATTCCGACCGTTTCGGTTTGCTTTCACCGGCTTCGCCAAGGCGACTCGACTCGTCGCTAAAGCGAACGGGGCCCGAGAAGGGGCCGCAACCGGACTTTCACAATACCCGTATGTCGAATGGGGGGAAACGCTGTTGCTGTTGTATAATACCGATGCAATAACACACACTTTTGCTGGGAATTCGTACCTCCAAATGCATCTCTCCTAATTCACAATTTTTTTAACTTTTCCTCCTAATCTTCTACATATAGTACATACCTCCATATATGCATACAAAATTAATACTACTCATACTTCAATTTAAACTAAAAAACAGTGAACTAAATCCATTTACCTCCCTATAAATACAACAAATTTTTAGAGAAATACAACGACGAGCCTATTTATTAACTATCTGATGCCGTCATTACTTGCAATATCCAAGACCTATTGTTAGAATTACGTTATAAGAGCGAGGGAAAGTAGTCGTGTTGTAATACTTTCACTATCGCGTAACGTCTGTCTGGACCCCTAGATACTCGACTGACCTCCAAACCGACATTACACGCACCGTTTGTTATATTTCCAATTAAATATTCCAATTGTATCCAGGAAAATTGCGATTTACTAACGCACAAATGCGAATTGTCGATAAAAGAATGTGGAAGTATCGCATGGCGAAAATTAGGAACCGCTTCCTAAAACATATTGTGCGAGTACCGATTCCAAAATTCTAAAATGTAATGATGTGAATCTCGTAAATAAGAAATGGCGTAACAGCCTGAGCGTTGTATTAAGTAATTGATCGTTTTGTGTTTGGTTCGAGTGTCCTCGAGACTGATTTTACCTGTTTGAAAACTTTCAAGGTCCCCGCTCCGTGGGGAAGTGAAAGTGGTCTTGCTCGGACTGACACGGCAACAGACGCGGTGCCGATGCGAGAGCGCGAGCCGCCGCGGCAGAAGCTATAATACGCGCCCACCCACCCCCCTCGGACCCGTCTATGACCCACGTCTCGGAAATTTCACCCACTTTTTTTTTCATTTCCACAGCTAGCGCCAAATCGGCTATAGCCGAGTTAACGAAACGAGCGATACAAGCACCCACTACATCAAAATTTTAAGGTAATTGTTGCACCGAAATGATATTTAATACTAGGTCAGGATCTTGGCAATAGCAGCGTATTGCTACATAGTCGAAAAAATTTGAGATATTAAGCCAAGGCGAGAAAAGAAATCTTGTGCATTAACCACAATTTTGTTATCAGGGATAATGTATTATGTGTCATGCAAACAATTTTATTATGTTGAACAAATAAATATGGATAGAAAAAAAGTTGTTGTGTAGAATTAGATGGAAAATAAAAAGTTAAACGTTAAAGCGAGGAAATCGTGTCAGTGTTAACTCATTGTGAAACATGTCTTGAGCAAGAAATTTCTTTAATCACATTTTTTCGGTTTGTATAAGGAATTTGCGAAAACTAGTTTACTCGGAGATTTTTTAATAATCTTTGAACGTACAGAATTGGCAAAATTTGAGAAGCATTTTCATCCGTGAGATGATTCTTCGGGGAATTGCGTTCGAGCGAATAGGCAATAAAAAAAGAAGCCGAGTTTAATAATTGGATAGATAGCATTAGGATCGAGTATGACAAGGAGTGACTCGATTACATAATCGGATATGGGTCGATAGTCACATGGTAATTGTTAAGTACGCCGACGAATCGTCGATCGGCTAAATAATGAGCGCGACTGGGACGGGAACATAAAAGAGAACATCCTTGAAACTTGGAACATCCGCCCTCCCCGTCACGTCGCGGAAATCACTTTGCACTTACTTGATCTACAGGTATAAAAAATCGCTAATCACCGATCGCGGTTTTTGGCAGTGGCGTTTCAAAAGTCTCCGCCGATCACACGAAATTTTCCACAATCACTTCAACTGGATCATCGTAAATGCGAATTTGTGTGTAACGACATAGAAATAACATCATTTTATGAAAAACAGCTTTAAGACAGACGGTATTGTTGTTGCAGCGAATGGAGACTCTCACATGGATGTGTTGTGTAATACCTATTTTTAAATATATTTAATTCGAAATAAACCTTGCAATGGTCTGTTCAAACAAAAACAATTGAAATTGCTATTATTACTATCACTTTTAACGCTAATAACATTCTTAAATGTAATTTATTTATGAATCTAAGATCTGTGTTTCTATCTAATCATAATTATTCGACTACTGCTCGGTAATAAATATAAAAGTAAAATTTAATTAGTAATTGTAACAGATTGTTATGAATGAGTATTAATATTTACGTTGTGAATTCTCTTACTAAAAACTTCCTCCAATAATCCCAGGCAGTAAAATGATTGTTTATTTAAATTTTGCAAGTAGTAACTAATGCTATTCAAATTTCGTTTTACATTCAAGGTTGCTTCTTAAAAAAATAATTGTTGCTCAATGTAAATATGAAACAATTTTTTACTCTCCAACAATGAACGTTGAGCCTGGGGTAAGTACATACATATGCCATTGGAGAACAATATCATGATAGGCGAACACTTTCACATGAAATATCCCACATAATTAAGTTACGTATACTTAAGTAGGTGTTTTTTAATAACAAATAATTGCATTATTATTTTATTAAATTATTTAGAATAAGTATTATTTTCGGTATAACATATAACTTATAAATGCATTTAATTATTTAAAACCATGATAATTTAGTTAGGTAATGTACATGTATTTTGCTCTTTACTGTTGTACGCATAGTTTAAAATATTACGTTAAGTATGATATTGAAATAATTATTAGAACACCCACGCATTATGATTTCTCTAAGTAGAATGGGTTCACGAAAAATCAGATATTACGGCATGGGAGAGAACAATTGAATTATTAAAGAACATCATGTGTATTATCATTAGCCCGAAAACTGTGCCGCAAATTAACAATGTAGAAAATTTTTCAAATAAAATGGTAAACTACACGAAATATTTTATACATAATGCCAGGCGAGTTTACTTTCACCGAAACCTAACCAAAGACGTTCTGCTTATGTAATAGGTGTGTGCACATGTAGAAATAAGTTTTGATACCTAAGGCAATTTCTCAATGCAACAGCGAACAGAACAGATGCTCTATTTACAATAATTTCGGTGTTACTAATATTTACATAAACTAGATAAATTGATATTAGTTATGAAAATATTATGATTTTTAATCCTACATTAACAATTAGTATAACACTTTTTCAACTAATTTATTGATATAGTAATTATTTCATGATCGATTCTAATTATTCTTTAGCTTTTAACTCGAACATCATTCATCTGATCCTACTGTTAATTTTGTTTAATTTATTTACACGCATATTAAATTGCATCAAGAATAATTTTGGAACTTTATCAAGGTTAAAGGAAGGCGTAATAGTTTATTTCAGTATCATTTTTCCTATTTCTAAGCATTAACCATGAGATTAGAATGAAAGCAATTTAGATTTTTTTCACAATTAAGCATTTGCAAAGTCCGGCTCTGATATGGAGTGAAAGGCCACACATGAAGCAGATAACTCCCCGGCTCTTCGTATTATCAGTAATTATATGGACAATAAAACACTACTTTATCAAAAATTTACATAAACGCAGTAAATCAAGTGTGCAATCATTCGTACTAATTGATATTAATTAAGAAACATCATATATGTTAAAATGAATGGTGTATTTAGGCTGTTAGTACCACTTTTATAAAATTCGATAGAGGAAAACAATTATAATTTTCTTTTTTCTTTATGATTCAAAGTTGAAACGTTTTAAATTCGATGTCGGTATGTAAGCAGTGCATTGTTTTCGCAATTCTGCGTTATAAATCAGAGCTCGTAACGAAAAGAAAAAGATGACTTATTCCTTACTAATAAGTAAAAAGTAATAATAACATACCGAATATATGATTAAAACAAATCATTTCTTCTTCGAATTACGTGATTCAATATTATTGCATTTGAAAAGCAAAATATTTTTTTAACTTAAATGAAGACTTATAAGTTATTTATAAACCAAAGTGCTCATTAGGTACTCTGTTCCACAAGGAACGTGCTCTACATTTTATTAATCGAAAACTTTTGACCTAATTAAAGGAAAATCTGAATCGTTCCCAAATGATCGTGGATAATTTTTAGATTTTAACATTTAAATTTATAATACCTCCAATTTAGTATTTAGGTCATTGCCAACTTTTATACTAAAGATAAATGTTTGTAACACAAACTTAAACTTTCGTAAGGAACACCATATAATTACACCGTCGAGCATTACTGTGCTATCTACTTTGGTAAATCGTTGTATTCTGAGTGATTTTTAAATTTAATCCTTACAAACAAGAACAATATTAATTTAAGATGCATTTTAAAATCAATTCCGAAAAAGGTATGTAACTGTAGGTATTGCTGTGTGAGAGATGCTACAGATTAAGAAGAAGAATTGTACATAACTCATCGTCAATTTACCCTAATTAGTTTTAATATCTAATTTTTATAAAAAAATTGTAAACCCTTGATAACCCAAGCAAAAAATGTAATAGGCAAACAATTTTTATAATAATACCTCAACAATCCTATCATCTAGTTTAGCATCTATAAATGTTTTTTTTTTTGTATTACAGCATTTAGAATTGTCTTTTCGCCGAGTGCATGATTTCATAATCTTATTATTTCTAAAAAAATTGGTGCAAATAGGTTGATTTTTGCAGTACTTTCAGAACTTTACTGAAAATGCACATGTACTGAAATTGAGGGTAATGTAAACAATTAGCAGAGCAACGGCTTAATTGCTATTGAAAGTTATGTATGGGACATTTTTGTATTTGTATGTACATACATACATATGTATATACTTTTCTACGTTTGTATATTTAATAATTGCAGCATTTATTCAAGTACGTTTGTAAAAAGGTTGCACATGGATATTGTTTATTTTAATTATGTAATATTTGATCGCCCAGAAAGTGGAGCAAAACCTACATGACATAATGATTTTCGTACTTTTACTCGCGAATTTAGCCAGGTTCTCATAAATTTATTTTATTAGAAATTTCAACCTACTATCTCTTTACATTATTGTTCTTTTCTTGCAGCGAAATAGCGACTATAATGGAGAATGTGTGCTGGCATTGACATATTGATTAATGTATTCTGGTTTATAAATATTATACTTGCTTTCTATATTGTTTTTAAATATTATGGATAAAACGGTGTCGGTGTTTGTAAATTTTCATGCATAAATTACGATAATTACTAACAAACATCAAATTGAACAGCTTAGATTGATCTGAAGACTGTTGTTAAAAA